TGCGAAACAATAAAGGACTGTCAACATATGCGCGAGCCACGCCACCCGTGCACGCGTCTCTGGAATGGCGTGCGAATTATTGCCCAGGAAGATATGACATTAAATTTAATGAAATGTTCAGAAAATGCTAAAATCCATGTACTCCAAACGGTGTCCAAGACTGTGTTTTTCGCAAAAGTAGGGTGTAAAATCGAATTCGTGGGGAAAATAAAGCTTTTTAGTTGAGACAGCCTAGATTTGTGGCAAGTTTTGTACTTAAATTTAAAGAATACTTGTCAGATATCTTAAATGAAAAGGTTTATGAATATATTACCAGAAATCCCAAATGAAATGGTATATAAATCTGTTTGGATATTATTAAATTTCGGGTGAATGAACAATCAAAGTTTAGAATGGATGATAATGGATGAAAAATATAACCAATGAACTGATTTGAAAACACATTCGGTGTAAACATTTTAAGTATTACTTTTACCAAAATCCTACAAAAGAATCTCTACTAAAAAAACACACACAGACACATCGATATATGAATATTATAAAACACAACATCGATATGAAGAGAAAAACACTTGGTTAAAGACACAACATGCGACACCAAAAACAGAATAGATCGGTGGCTATTTCAAGTTGAAAAGACATAATTTTTAAGACTCAGAAATATTGTAGTCAAAGTTGTTTAGTTATCTGAAGGAATTACAATTAATAGCACTTATTTATGAACTAGCTTTTAAACCCTTACTGAACTACATACAAATTACTTCATGAAACCAAAAGGTTCTTCAAACAAAAATATACTTTTCTGATCTTTATTTATGTAATATCTAATATTCAGAAGGAAGATGCTTTAAAATCTGAAGTAAAAATAACTATTAAGAGAGGATTATAATTTTATAAGAAATTACTTAGTTTGGAAATGTTTTAGTTGATTTCTAAGTGGAGAATTTAAACCACAATCCCGAAATTTCTCATTTTAGAATCTAATAATTGCTCATTAAACCTTTTGCATTAACTGTAAAGTAAACTGTAACCTATTCTTCAATATCAATTATTTCCTGACCTCTAACCAACTTCAAATAGCCACCGGAAGTTAAGGACAGGGTACAACCTTTTTGCTGATCCCATTCACTTTGCCAAGGACTTCGTCAAGGAGCCACAAGAGCGCATACTTACTGACACTGAGCGGCATGAGGGCACTCTGCAGGTGACTGAAGATCTGCCGGTGGTGGTGATGGTGGTGGCCACCCAAGCTGGCGCCGCTAAAGTACAGGTGGTTCTGGTGCAGCGACAATTGCTGGTGATGGTGGTGGTGGTGATGATGGTGGTGCTGTTGCTGCTGCTGCAGCTGCTGCTGCTGTTGCTGCAAATGGTGATGTTGCTGCTGCACCACCGAGTGCTGCTGATGGGCCATCAATTGCTGCTGCTGCTGTTGCTGGTGTTGCTGATGCGACAGATGTTGCTGCTGCTGGAGATGTTGCTGCTGCTGTTGCTGCTGCACCGCCGAATGTTGCTGCTGCTGCTGCTGCTGGGAGTGTTGCTGCCCATAGGCGGCATGTTGCTGCGGTACTGCTGCTGTAGTTGCTGCTGCCGTCGGTAGGGCAACAGCTGCTGCTGCTGCTGCCGCTGCAGCGGATGCTGTGGCCGCCGCCGCTGCTGCCGATGCAGTTGCTGTTGCCGCTGCCGCTGCCGTCGCTGTGGCCGTGGCTAGAATGTGATGATGGGTGGTGGTTGAGGATCGATGCTGGCTCTGGACCGTATTGAGGCTGTGAATGGAGGCGTGCACCGCCGACTGATAGATAATACCGTTGTTCGACATGGCCGTCATTGACTGGTGGTGGGCATAGGCAGCCATCGTTGGCTGCACCTGCACGCCCATCGTGGGCTGCACCGCTGCTGTGGCAGCCACAGGAGCCAGTGGCAGGGATCTGTAGCCAGCCATTATGGCTGCTGGATTGTTTTCAGTTAACTGTCACTGATGATCACCGATCACCGATCACCGATCACTGATCACTAAGTCACTTGATCTGTTCCCGATTATATATCGTTTTTGCTTTTTGTTTCCGCCTTGAGCGTCTTTTCGCCTGGCGCTACGAGAGTGGACTGAATGGACCGCAACGGGGTCGGATTATTTCCTACAATTCGTTCGTTAAATTTGTAAGTTGAATTATTTTGTTCTCAGCCATAAATTAGTGGGGGGAAAGAGTAGATCTTAGGCTTAGTTCGGGTTGATAATGTCACTCCGTGACGATGATAAGGTCCGCGCCGCTTATCTGGACAGCTCCTCCAGCCTCTTCTCCGCTCGACTCGTGTGTCAACAGAAATCTCAACCACACAAATTTCACAAATTTCCTGGACAATCCGAGCCACTAAACTAACTTGGCAAATGTTGAAATATTTATTAATGTAACTTTGCCTAACAGATTGTGGTTACTTTTTAGCTGTGATCGCAGATATTACACGGAAACTGAACCTTGAACTGGAGTTCAACGGCAAATACGTTGCCCAAGTTGCTGGCTACTTTTAAGAAAATATTATTTAAATATATATACATATATATTTATCCGACTTATCAGCTGACAGCTGCCAGCTAAAAACTAGACTTTTGATAACAGAGAGAGCTCCAGTCTCGTGTCCCTAAACAATGTCCAAGAATTTCGTGAATCACAAAATGCCGGGGAATATCAAAACAATAAACGAACTTATCTTAATCTGCCTTAAAGTATTTACATTAAAACACCAATTAACAACATTGATCAACCAATAAAAAAACGACTACCAATAAAATTAAAAGGCACACTAAACACACAGATATATGTATATATATATACTATATATAAATAGGAGTCCAGGTCTTAAGTACACCAATTTAAATTGACGACACAACATCGAGAGGAACAACAAACAACATGAACGGAAGAAGAACGGAAGGCAAACAAACAAACAGAGTCGCTGGTACTTGGGTTAAAGTGTAAACAAATTACATAAACAAATTGTGGCAAGATTCTGCGATTAAATCATGTTTGCCAGATCAACCAATCCGTGGACAAATATTGATGGCAGCCATCTCCTCTGGCTTCACGTAAGCCAGCCTCAGCCTCTCCCGGCACCGGGATACGTCAAAAACGGTACGTAACGCGATGGCTTTGCAACGAAGGCCTCGGTTAGAGCCACATCCGACACGCTTGCCCAAGGTCTGAGAACTGAAAACTGAAAGCTGAAAGCTAACAGTGGCAAGCGGAAAGCTGGCAAGGACATTCGGCTGTTTGGAAACCGACAGGATACGAGGCGAGTTCGTGTCGAGTTATTGCATTTGTGCCCGGATTCGTCGGTTGGCCAGCAGCTTGGGCCCTAAGCAAGTGCGAGCGAGAACGAGAGCAGCTACTGCCAGGTTCAGGGAGATGATGGATAATGGTTGTGGAAAATCAAGCTTCTTAAAAACTACAACTACTACTAATAGTTATCTAGTGGGTGAAGACTAAGACGCCATAATATCTGTATTTTTTCCTTACATTCAGTCATATTTTACCTTAGATATATGTACAAGTTTTAAGGCGCAACTTAATCTTGGAGCTATAAAGCCCCATAGACATTAACCTAATTTTCCTTAGAAATACCAAAGGAGCCACTGTGTGTGGGTTGGTCGACACAACACAGCACCTACACAAACACACACACAGAGAGACACCCGCCCACACACACAGCTGAGTTTCTATTGCACAACACTGCTGTGTGTGTGTGTGTGTGTGTGGGTTTGATAATATTTTTAGGGGTTGTTCCCGACCATTAGAGACCTGCGCAATAGATCAAACCCCTGCCACCTAAAACTGGGTAGGCTCGTCGTCCTCGTTTGTCGTCAGCGTCGTCGGCTCCTCTTGGTCCTACCCCAAAAACAAAAAGCTAGCAAAACCAAAACAATAACAAAGTCCTCGCACAAAAAAAGGGGTGAGAAGCCTGCCCCTGCACGTGCCTGGAAAACCCTTAGACACCTTACACCTTTCGGGGGGAGGCCATTCAAGTCCTTGTAGTTGTGCTGGAATTTTTAATCAAAACCAAAGCGCAACTATGCAACACGGACACGGATGCATGGCAGCTATTTAATATATATTTTAATATAATAATAAATACAGACTGTTTGGGCATGTTAATAATTGGGTTATTGATGATAGCAAATTCCTAGGCAGGTACGTATTTTATAATAACTAAAAATAGATTAATAGTCTGGCATTGGGTCAACTGCAAAAAAATGGGGAAATATTTCATAAGCTAATTTTACACGTTAGTTGTTTAGATAACGATAATCAGAGTAATATTAATCGGTTGCCTAAAATAAATCAAGCAAATATAACTCATTTTTAAAAATTACAACTGATTACCAGTATTTTTCCAACAATATATAGAAGATGGATATTTATCAGATAACCCCAGTTAGGTTTGGGTTTAGTTTTGAACTTGGAGCATTAAACTTAAGCTTTTACAATAATAAAAGTCTTAAAACTACCATAAACAGTTCGGCAGAGTTCTTTAACTATAAAGCACATAGAAAAAAGCAGCATTTTTAAATATTTCAAATGGAAATCATTAAGAAATTAACTGACATGAATCAGATATTACGTGTTATAGAAAAACTAAAAATATTTACTGATTATTATTACGGTTTAACACTGATTTAAATTTAATTGAATATATTTTTGTGTTAGTTCACGAGCTCGTTATACAGCTCCAAAAAATATTTTTTTCCTATTTGGATTTAGTTATCCCAACTAAAGCCATGTGGACAGTCATATTGTCATGACATCCATCAAGGTTGAGAGCAAGTTCAAGAGTCTTCACTGTAATATTCATGACAACACTATAGGAGAATTTCCAGTTTTAGAATCAAAGCCATAGATCGCTTCAGGAATACTATCAGTGTTACCTTCTTGGCGAAAAAGGCCCGAGAGAATATCATGGTAATTTCTTATAGTACCTAAAAAATGTATTAATAATTAAAATCCCACCAGGTGCGAGTCGAGACGCTGAAGAGAGCCAACGGCTGGCAACCATTTCTGGCAAGCGCAATAATTTTCTTTGGAACCTGGGCTTTTCCTACCTGGAACCATACCTAAAACAAAGCTCCACTTGCCCCTTGAAGGTATTAATCTGATTTTAAAGTCGAAAGAAAATATAAAATTCAGTATTTAATTCACAGATCAATGACACAATTAAGTGTAAAAATTTGGAGGTGGATTTTGAGCAATTTCCTGCTCGTTTTCCAATTGAGACTGGAGAATATGGCCTGAGACTAGGATTTTATTACAATGGAGGTGTCACGGTCTCTATTAATGGTTCAGCGCAGTATTCCAATTACAGGGAACATTAAATCCGAAATGATGCATGGATTGATCATGATTTTTTGAACAAATAAAACTGTTTACTTTATGGACCATGAACACATTAAGAAAACTAAGGATACACTCGTAAAATTATTAAGAGAATTTGGGAAAAACTAGCGTATAACACTGTAAGTAAAAGAGATATTAAGGAAAGCACTGAAATAAAACACTATAAGTATAACAGTTCGCTTTTCTTTTACTAAATACATAATCCATTGCTTTTTGGAACATGAAAATATTAACTAAGGAAAGAATCGTCGTGTAACAAAAGATTTATATGAATAAATAAATTACCGTTCCCTCTGTAGACCTTAATATTTTATCACACCAAATTTAAACTGTTATACAGATATAAATCAAATAAAAATATACTTTTGGTTGTTGAATTTTTCAAACAGAAATGAATTTTTAATGGTTTTTTAATTAACCGTGGTTTAATTTTGCTATAGCACATATAAGCTTAAAATGTCTCAACAAGTTTTTATATGGTTTAGTTTTCTAAGCAAAAGCCATGTGGGCAGTAATCTTATTAACCTTTTTCCTGGTGACCACCGACGGTCATAAACTGGAGAGCAAGTTCAAGAGTCTTCACTGTAACGTTTACGATCCAAGTGTTGGAGAGTTTCCACTTTGCAAAATCAAAGCTTTAAATCGTTACAAGAACACTATAGGCGTTACTTTCCGATCAAAATTATATCAAGATAAAATAATGGTAAGTCTTAAAGAGTCTTGGAATATAAAAAGAAGAGATTGAATATTTCATGAGCTAATTTTACACGTTAGTTATTTAGATAATGATAATGATAATCAGAGTAGTATTAATCAGTTGCCTAAAATAAGTCAAGCAAAAATAACTCATTTTTAAAAATTACAACTGATTTCCAGTATTTTTCCAACAATATATAGGAGATGGACATTTATCAGATAGCCCCAGAGGGTTCTTTGAGTTGGGTTTGGGTTTAGTTTTGGACTAGGAGCATTAAACTTAAGCTTTTACAATAGTAAAAGTCTTAAGACTACCATAAACAGTTCGGCAGAGTTCTGCAACAGTTCAGTTCAACACTGATTTAAATTTAATTGAACATATTTTTGTGTTAGTTAACGAGCTCGTTATACAGCTCCAAAAAATATTTTTCCCCTATTTGGATTTAGTTTTCCCAACTAAAGCCATGTGGACAGTCATATTGTTAACCCTTTTCCTCATGACATCCATCAAGGTGGAGAGCAAGTTCAAGAGTCTTCACTGTAATATTCATGACAGCACTATAGGAGAGTTTCCAGTTTGTAGAATCAAAGCCATAGATCGCTTCAGGAATACTATCAGTGTTACCTTCTTGGCGAAAAAGGCCCAAGAGAATATCATGGTAATTTCCTATAGTACCTAAAAAATGTATTAATAATTAAAATCCGATCAGGTGCGAGTCGAGACGCTGAAGAGAGCCAACGGCTGGCGACCATTTCTGTTCAACTTTACGGTTAACGTATGTAATTTCTTGGAGAAGCGCAATAATTTTCTTTGGAACCTGGGCTTTTCCTACCTGGAACCATACCTAAAACAAAGCTACACTTGCCCCTTGAAGGTATTAATCTGATTTTAAAGTCTTATCGAAAGGGAAATATAAAATTCAGTATTTAATTCACAGATCAATGACACAATTAAGTGTGAAAATTTGGAGGTGAATTTTGAGCAATTTCGTGCTCGTTTTCCCATTGAGACTGGAGAATATGGCCTGAGACTAGGATTTTACTACAATGGAGGTGTCACGGTCTCTATTAATGGTTCAGCGCAGTATTCCAATTACAGGGAACATTAAATCCGAAATGATGCATGGATTGATCATGATTTTTGAACAAATAAAACTGTTTACTTTATGAACCATGAACACATTCAGAAAACTAAGGATACACTCGTTAAATTATTAAAAGAATTTGGGAAAAAGTAACGTATAACACTGTTAGTAAAAGAGATATTAGGAAAGCACTGACATAAAACACTAAGTATAACAGTTCGCTTTTCTTTTACTAAATACATAATCCATTGCTTTTTGGAACATGAAAATATTAACTAAGGAAAAAATCGTTACATTCGATACACTCGTCGTATAACAAAAGATTTATATGAAGAAATAAATTACCGTTCCCTCTGCAGACCTTAATATTTTACCACACCACATTTAAACTGTTATACAGATATAAATCAAATAAAAATATACTTTTGGTTGGTGAATTTTTCAAACAAAAATGCATTTTTAATGGTTTGTTTAATTAACCGTGTTCTAATTTTGCTAAATCACATATTAGCTTAAAATGTCTCTATAAGTTTTTGTATGGTTTAGTTTTCTAAGCAAAAGCCATGTGGGAAGTAATCTTATTAACCTTTTTCCTGGTGACCACCGACGGTCATAAACTGGAGAGCAAGTTCAAGAGTCTTCACTGTAACGTTTACGATCCACGTATTGGAGAGTTTCCACTTTGCAAAATCAAAGCTTTGAATCGTTACAAGAACACTATAAGCGTTACTTACCGATCAAAAATATATCAAGATAAAGTAATGGTAAGTCTTAAAGAGTCTTGGAGTATAAAAAGAAGAGATTGAATGAATGGAATCTGGAGCAGGTTCTATTGGAGGCTTTGAAAAGAGCCAATGGATGGCGACCATTTCTATATAATATGACACTTGACGCGTGCAACTTTATGAAAAAGCGCAACAACTTTTTAGCGAATTTGGCATTTTCTTACCTGGAACCGTACCTAAAGCTGAACTACAGTTGCCCATTGAAGGTTTTTAAATAATATTAACTTTATACATACATTTCATTATAAACTATGTATTTGATTCACAGGTCAATGACACATTCAAGTGTGAAAATTTGCAGTTTGACATGGAGAAAATCCTCAAGCGTTTTCCGGTCGAACCGGGAGAATATGGCATGAGGATGGGCTTTTTCTACAAAAGCGATATCAAGGTCTCCATTAATGGTTCAGTTCAGTACTCTAACTACAGGGAAAATTAGATCAAGTTTCTCTTCAAAGACCCTAAGAATTCTTTTCAAGTCAGTCAACCTTTTCAAAAGGACATTAAGTTTTACTGTAAACATCTATTATAAAATAAATATATGAAAAGTTTGTTCAACAATAATTAAGCTATTAAATGCTATTCAAAATTGGCTAAACTTGCAATATTTAGTTTCAGTTCATTAAATATCAGTTCAAAGCTCAATATCAAAGTTCATTGTGAATAAAACATTATGAAAAGAAAAAGATTTAACTTTGATTTATGCAATACCTTAGCCTCAGCCATGAAATATAAAAGAAATATTTAATTACCAAACATACCATTCATGTTTTAATGGTTTAAATATTTTAGGTTTTTAAATATTGGAATTGCCTAAAATTGCACTGCTGTTCAAGTAATTTAACTCTTTGATTGGTCACCATTTAAGTGAATCCGTCACCTGATTTAGCCCGCCTTATATTTTCACCTTTATTTACTAAACAATTCAGTTCTGTTTTTGCCATCCAGGAGCCATGTTAGCCGTGGTCATCTTTGGCCTAATCCTGTTGTCCTCCGTGCAAGTGGAGGCCAAGTTCAAGAGTCTTCACTGCACCAACTACAACAAAACCCTGGGCGAAATTTTACTATGCAGAATCAAGGCCATCAACCGATATAGAAACTCGATTAGTATTCAATTCAGGCAGAAAACAACTGTCCATAATGTGCATGTTAGTGAAACAAGAAAAATATATACTATATAGAGTGAAAAATTACAATATCATAGTGAAAATGATAAAGGACATTCGGCAAAAACAGTTGAATCTGTTAAAAAATCTAGTTACTCTTAAAAGTGATGATAAGAAATTAAGTTTCTATAATAATTAATCTAACAAAGCTCTAATTAAATTAAAAAATACATGTATGCTTCTAAAGTCGTCTTTAAAAGTGTGAAATCTTTGACCTAACTGTTGAATATTTTCGTACCTCTTTATATTTCAAACTAAATAGTCTTTATTTTCCTTCCTTAGATGCGTCTTGAATTATTCAAACGCGCCAATGGCTGGCGTCCTTTTCTCTACAATATATCATTTAATTTGTGTGACTTTCTCTCAAAAAGAAACAATATGATCGTTGGACTAGGCTATGAATATATTAAACCATATATACCCATCACCAACTACACTTGCCCCTTTAAGGTATACAAAGGTTTCGTGTCTATAATTACTTTCATTAATTTCCATTTTTTTTTTTCTATTTCTAGAAAGGACACTTGATTAAAGTTACGGATCTGGAATTTGATATTGAAAAATTTCGCGTTCGTTTTCCCATTGAAACGGGCGAGTACGCTTTGCAATTGAGTTTCATAGTAGCGAGAATTGTGACCTTGACCCTGAATGGATCTGCGGAATATCACAACTATCGAGAACACTAGCTGCAAATAATGTACGATTTAAAGTTTATAATGAGCAAAACTAATTTGTAATCATTATAATAATTAAATTGATATCAATAAAATTATAAATATGTGAGCATAAATATAAACTCTATTTTAAAATCAAACATGGAAAGGATTTAACATTACTTTGAGGTTCGAAATTATTTAAAATTATTATTAAATATTTAGTTTTCCATATAACACACACTTTAAACCCTAAAACGTTTTTAATAGACTTTTAATGAAGTTAATTTATAATGCATCAAAAGGCAGCCAATAATGAAATGTGATTTTAATGACAAGCTGTGAACAAGTTTAGCAATATTTTTGTCATTTTATAAATCAGTACAACTCAGTAAAGATCATGTTGTGTTTGCTTATACTTTGCCTTTTCTCTAACCTGCTGTCAGTAGAGTGCATATTCAAGAGTCTTTACTGTACCATTTATGATCACAATTATTGAGAGTGTACTATGTGCAAACTGAAAGCTATAAATCGATACAGTAACTCAATCAGCGTTTACTTTCGCCAGATGCAGCCTGCCGAGAAAGTTATGGTATTTATATGGAACACGTTGATATTTGAAAATATTATATAATATTAAACTTTGATTTATGGTGTGAGTTTCTAAATAATCTGATTTGTAATAATGTATCACAACAAAATATGCAATTGTATGTTAAAGGGTATTAAAGGAAATATCAATAAAGTGTATTATTTTACAAGTACTCAAACCGAGAAATTGGAGTATGTACAGAATATAATAATAAAACTATAATTATAATTAATATTATGATATACATAAAAGAAAGTTCTATTTATTGAGAAGGTAATTAAAGGTGAGGGTATTAAACTCACCAGGATCTTCATAATCAGAAAACAAAATAATTTTAACTTTCTAAATGAATTTTAGCTCTTCTAAGGGAAAATTTTAACACAGCAACAAGTTTAGCTTTAACAAAAAAGGAAAACAACTTAGAGAAACCAAAGTTTATATACCTTTGCAATTTGCAATTGAATTTTAAAATAGAGTCGAAAATCGATCGCTTAAAATATTCGCATTCTTTGAATCGATATTTATCGAAATTTTTATATGAAAAATTTTCCCACAAATCAAAATTTTAAACGCTTATAACTAAGTAAAAAACCTATAAATTTAAATTCGGAAATCGTTCCTATTTTAATTGTTTTTAGATCAATAAATCTGCATACTCAATTTAAAAATTAAAAAACTAAAATTTTTGCCAATTTTTGATTCCAATTTTGATGCTAATTAGGATTATACATATATGATTTATAGAGTCGGAAATGACTCCTTTATAGCGTTACAAGCTTCAGACTTAAATTATAATACCATGCAAAGGTCTTAAAAAGGTTTAGAATATAAGTAAGTTAAAACACACAACTAAATCCTATTTCAAAATTTAAATAAAAATGTTGATGTCACCAAACTGTAATTAAGTCTCAAACATTTCGCTTGAATAAGCATCCATTAAACAAAAAAGAAGAGCACCGAAAACATTGTTTCAGTAAATATGTGGAATGTGTGATTAGAGTTCTAAAATGAAATGCGGCGCAAATGGCCAAAGCAAATCAGGGCAGAGCAAACACGGCCTGAAAATTGGGTAAAAGGCCAAAAAAAGAGAAGGACAAGCCAGCCGCCAGGACTTTGACACAATAATCAAACGAAGTGTCCTTTGTGTGTGTGTGAAGGGAAAATGGGGAAAACAAGTGAAAGAAAAGCAAGGGCTTGCAAAAGTGGGCGTGGCTGGGTCAAATTAGGCACAGTGTTATCTAATTAGCCACCTACAGGAGGAGATACTCTACACGCTTTTCCACTGCCACACTATCTGTGTGTGTGTGTGTGTGTGTGTGTGTGTGTGTGTGTGTGAAGTGGTGCCAGGCGCCGGCCATCATATTTTGCAATTTAACTCACACGAAAAGATTTTCCTTGCCTTTGTTTTCTTTTTTTTCGCCAATTTTTTCACTCACTTTTCTGGCACTAGCCCTGGTTTTTTCCTCTGATTTTTTCTATTTTATTTTTTTGGAGGCGCTCAAGTTTCATAACAACGGAAATGCAAAAGTTTTGTGCAAAACAAAGCGCCAACTTTTTTATTTCTCTTGGCAATTATGTGCTCAAGGAGAGAGACAGGAGCAGGAGCAGGAGTTTGGGAAACGGACTCAAATAATGATAATGAAGCACACAAGGAAGGCACTCTCTTTTGGGCTTTTTGAACAAGAAAAATGCCCAACAAAAAAAAAACAGGTGTAATGCTTTTTTCCACAATTTTTATTTCCAGGTTTTGCTTCTTCTCTTGACGGGTCTTGCATGCAAAAGTATCTCATAGATACTTTCACACACATGTGTGTGGGGGTAATTTGTTTAATTTGCTTGCCTTTCGGCTCGCAAAAAAATAAAAAAGAGAAAAAGAAAACTCAACTGATAGAAGACCTCACCGAAAGGCAAATTTCGTGGCTTTATTTCACTCGCCTCTTTATTTGTATTTATTTTGAAGGTTGGCCGCCTTTTAGCTAATGGCCATGGCGAATATGATAGGGATAACATGGGAAAAAGGGTGCCGACAAACAAAAACTAAAGTCAAACTAAATTAAAATATTTTTTAAATTCAGAGCTACCAACTTCTACTCCATACTGGGGGCTTGGCAAAAGTTTTATCAATAAAATGCAAAGCGGGCAAACGTCGTCTGTTCGAGGTTTATTTGCTTGCTTTGCTTTTAGCATTTGTTTAACTGCAAATCAGATATAGATCTTCTCCCAAAATGTCTGCATTCAGCATACACACACTCGCTTTGTGTGTGTACATATGGGAGTGTGCCGGCAATTGAAACATCAGCAATACTTGAGCTTTGCAATATGCTCAACAGCTCAACACCCCCACACAGAGAACGAGATGTTGCACGAATCTGGCTTAAAAATCACTTAGACTCTTCTCGCCTCGTTTTGGCCTGTCAGCAGAAAACCCAAGGCGCCAAGACGACACTCATGTATCGAGTGCAATAATCAACACTACTCCGGGCTCATCCTGCTCCTCCTGGTCTCTCACCCTTTGGACTCTATTTTTTCTGTGGACCTAAGCACATTGTCCCAGGGTCCTCGGGCTTTGCTCGCCAATCGTTTCCAAGAGTTGTCCACTTGCCTAATCTGCACTTGAATCTCGGAAGGAATGTTTCCAGGAACATTTATTACCAGCTGCCAAAATGCGTGGGCAGGGGCCATGAGATAGTTCAAGTGCCTCAAATTGTTTCTAATCGGTGGGGTTTTAAGTACTTACAAATAAGATTTTTAAATTTAAAGAGAATCAAGAGATATACGAATGTTTTTTACAGCAAAAATCCCAACCAAAATTTCAACACAAATAAATTGCTTGATATAATATAAATACACGAAAGGAAACAAACTTCGGAGAGCCGAAATTAATATACCCTTTCAGTTTACAATTTAATTAGAGGATAACATTAGAAATCAATCATAACATATCCCAAAATATTCCCATTTTTTGTATAGATATTTATCAAAATTTTTATTTGACAATTTTTACCACAAATCAAAGTTTTAAAAATTCATAACTAAGTCAAATGTTAATATATTTGGTTTCGAAAACCTTTCCTATGCTAGTTATTGATTGGTCAATAAATCTGCATACTGCATTTAATAATTTAAAAAATACAAATTTTTTGCCAATTTTTGAAAATTTGAACGATGTAACCCCTTATAAAATTTTGAAATTTTGAAAAATTTTCAAAAATTTATTTTTTGACTAGCTATAGCTAGATCAACTCTGTTGTTGATGTTGATCAAGAATATAGATGATTTACAGGGTCGGAAATGACTTCTTCACAGTCTTACAAGCTTGTGACTAAAATCATATTACCCGGTTAGGGTATAATAATGGTATCCTTTCATATATTAAATTTGTAAATATCGAAACATATAAAAGAAAAATGTTAGTTCACTTTTTATCCTCCATTAACCAAAAAATATATCGGGTTTGATATATATATAAAATATACGCAACTAAGCAAACTAAGCTTAAGAAATGTTCAAATAATTAACTCTTCAACCTATTTAAGTATATTAATGTTACAAATTTTATAGTACTTCAAAAAAAAACCCCTCTATTGCTGTATATATAACAAATCCCTATTAAATACAAATCCCTTAAGTAAAGTTGTAACTCTCAATTGGCTCAAATTGGTATCGTTGAGAGTCCTGAGCACTTTATTCCCAAACAAATTGATTTCTTTTCCTTTCTTTTCTTTTTGGAAATCATTGAGCCGCTCGCCACTTGCCAAAGCTCGTGAAAAGTTTGCCAGAATAACTTGTTACTCAGCACACACAGCGCTAATGAAGACGGTACACACACAGAGACACACCACTTCCCTCTCTCTATCTTGGAGTTGGCCAAAACACTGGACACCAGGGAATGAACTTAGAAGCGCTCCCAGACATTTTGGGTGTGAAAATCAATGGGCAATAGCATTCACAGCTGAGTGCAGCCGCCAAACCCTGGGGGCGGTCCAAGATGCTTCTCGATTTAATTGAATAATTGTTAGGCATGCCACGTACACCGAATTCTTGGTAAATCAGCGAAATTTCGACTTTCGAAACAAAACAAAAAACACAGAAATGGCTAAAATCAGCCTCAAAATAGGCAACACAAAAAGAGGGCGATACAAAGCAAAAGCCCCAAGCCTAGGCGAATCTTTCGCCCCGGAGACTGCGTCAGGCTTTGTTTTTCGGTCCCGATGCAAATGCACCTGCATCAGCAGCAGGAACACCTGCTGGATGGATACCCCTATCCTATCCTATCCCATCAATTTATGCGCCGCATTTGAAATTCGTAGCTATATGAAATCCTCGAGACTTACCGTTCCCAAGTGGCACATTCGTTGTCGATTGTTGCTGCTGCTGCTCGGACGTCACCGCGTTGGACAATTTATTTGATGTTGTGGTGGCTGTCGTTGCCGTTGCCGTGGTGGCCATTGTGGCCTCCAGCTTGCTGCTACCTCCGTTAATGGCCAATGTGGTGGCGCTTTTGCCTAACCTCAGTATAGTGGTGGCCGTCGATGATGATGATGGCGCGTTGACCGCTGTTACTCCCGTGCCCGATGCTGTCGTGGTTGCAGCCGCCGCTGCCTTGAGCTTGTGCAGTGCTCCTGCCACACCCTTGGCCGCCTTTGTGGTGCGTGTCACGCTGAGAATACTCGATGTGGAGAGGGAGTTACTCGCTGGCGGTGAAGTTGCCATAGAGGTATTGGCAGTCGCCGAGCTGGCTGTGGAGTTACGTATGACCAGAATGGACTGTGACTTCTCCAGACGTTTGAGGGTCTGCAGCACAAAGGGTGACTTGCTGTCGCAATTGCTCTCGGAACTAAGACTTCGCGAGGCCTGTAAGTGTAATCAATTTATTAATAAATATTAATTACAATATGATGTGATTTCCTTACATGTTTCAGCATAAAGGGCCGCTCTACTAGCTTGGTTTGTGTGGCATTGGCCGCCTGCTTGGAACGCTCCTGAGCCTTTAGCACGCTCTCCAGCTGGCTGGCATTGATGGGAGTCTGCAGCAGAATGGTATTGCTGCTGGCCTCCTTGCTGTTGCCACTGGCCACAATGGAAATGGTGGAGTTACTACTGGTGTTACTGCTGCTGCTGGAGTTGCTGCCTCCATTCGAGCCTTGGACAATGGTCTTTCTAGCCACAGTTGTGGTCGTGGGCAGTTGATTGAGCGTAATGGCCGTGGACGAGTGATTCTTCTCCTGCTGCTGCTGCTGTTGCTCGTTGAGCAGGCTGAGTATGTCCTGTTTGTTTTGAATAATGATCTGCCCATTCTCGTTGCGTGTGCCGCGCAGCAGGATAATATTGCTGCCGCCGACTCCGTTTGCAGTCTGATGTTGCTGTTGCTGCTGCTGCTGGTGTTGCTGCTGCTGCTTCTGCTTCTGCTGTTGCTGTTGCATGGCCCCGATCTTGAGCTTGGCCGCTCGCAGAGTCGTCGTTGTACTGGATTTAGCTGATGCCTTTGTTGATTCAGCTTCATTGCTGCTTAACTTGCCGCTGCTCTGCGATCTGATCAGGACATTTCTGGAATTAACTTGGCCTAAAACGGGGAGATAGGAAAGATATATTACTATATTGTTTAAAAGTTAATCCTAATGGTTGAACTAAAATAAATGAGTAATAAAGACTTTGCAACATAATAATAATTGAAAAATAGATTTCCTTTATCTAAGAACATGTTGAATTATAAAGAAATCGATGAGTCTATCTATTCACCTTTCAAATCTGTACTATTTATTGCTTTCCCTCTACTTTAAATTAAAATATATTCGATTTTATACCCAAAAAGAATCATAAAATAAATATAAACAAAATCTTCTTCCAGAAACCCTGATTATAAATCATTCCAGTGACGTTTTACTACTACTACTACTACTACTACTCCTAGTACTACTAATACTACTACTCCTAGTACTACTACTACTACTATTACTACTACTGTTTACTACGTTTTGTTCCCGTTTCCGAGAGCAAAGTCTTGAATTGAGCAATTTACAGTGGCCTCAAAAACGTTGACAGGTCCCATTGTATGCAGATTCAATGGAAACTTTATAAGCGCCACAAGATTTATGACTACATCTCGATCGTGGAGAAGGAAAGGCATTTGCCCCTTTTTGCAATTTTGCATTAGAAACCCCGCCTATGGGCAGACCAGGGGGCGCGTCTCTCTATTGTTGCACTTTCCCAGGGCAAGCGTATTACGTATACGCCGCGTATGGCAAGAGCGGTCAGTGGCTCCTCTGGACACTGTATTTTGTTGGCCCACAAAAGCGGGCATAGGGGGTTGGTGGGTAACTAAACGCTAAATCAAGCGAAAGACGACATGTTTATGGCAGGGACGAAGGACTACTTAGCGAAGCAAAAGCAACCCCAGCACAAAACGCAATAAAAGTGCAACAAACAAACAGTGAGTTTAGCAGCCAAGAAAAGTAGGGGAGGGAGAAAGTAATGGGGTGGACTGGAGTAGGGTTATGGGAGAGGGTCTAAGGGCTATGGTCTTTGGTCTCTTGGTCCCTGGTCTGTGTCACTGTCTCTGTCTCTGCCCTGCATGCGTTGCCAAATATAGACTCTCAAGGCTGAAGGCGACACGGAACGTAAAGTGCGCGCCGGAAACATTTCAAAATGTAGCCTAAACACTTGTCCGGCTCCCTGGCTTTCCCTCAAACCTTTTTCAACCATCAACCATATGTGTGTGTGTGTTTGTTTTTCGGAAAAACGTGCGGGTCATAATTAGCCGTTGACGCCGCCTTCAACTGACTGTTTTTCGGATAAAAGATGGTAGGTAGAGTTGGCAGGAAGAGCGCCACATGCGACCATCTGACCCCAAGTGGACTGTGTGTCTGTGCCCCCTCCCATCCATGTGTGCGAAAAGGTCGCCTGCCGCCAGGCAAAATAAACCGCCTGAATCGCGGACTAGGATCTGGCCAAAGAATAGGTGGGGAGATATGTATCCCTTGGCTGGCCATCCATTCGGGTGCACATACTTCATTGTAATGTATGGAGCCACAACAACAACCAAAGGATTTTGGGGGATCGGGCAGCCAAGAGAGACAGGGAGACGGGAGCCTGGGAGCTGTCCGCGTAACACATAAAACACTCTTGGCCTGGCCCAGGCGGCTGCTGAAGTTTCGCATATTTTTGCGTTTGTCGCGGCTTTTGATGTGAAACGGACCAGCACAGTGGGTCAAGTTATATTTTATATGTTACTTGATAATAGAAATTATTAAAAAAATTTATAAATTAACTTGGTTTACTTGTGAACAAAACGAAACAATAAAATATCTTAGTTTTTCTTTTTAAAAAACAAACTAAAGCCTGTATAATTTTAAGATAATTTAATAGATACCCACTTTAAATTGTATTACATTACATTATTTCATTGTATAGAACCTTATTTTTATCTGCTTTTCGGTGTTAATGTACCTTGCCCCACTGTGCCCTACCACGTGCTTGAAAATGTTGATGGAAGTGCGGCAATAAAGGCAAGGGGAACACAAAAGTTTCTATGTAGCCGGACAAATTGCAAGTCTATTGAATTTTTATTAGAAGCATAAATCAAAAAGAGCGTTAGATATGCCAGCCGTGGAGGGAAGGAGTTCGATAAATATGTCAATAGATTCTGCACATAAATTGTCGCCGAGAAGGGTTAAGAAAGAGGACAAATCAAAAGAGATCGAGCTCTCTGGTTGGGGGTTAAGTAAACACATCATCACTATCACATATGGTTCATCATAATCAAGAAGTTTTTGTTCTTTTTTTTGCTAAATGCAGAGTTGTGCTAATAACTTTTAATACGGTTTATCAATAATGTTGATAATGAGTCAGTGTCTAGAAATTAGAGTAATTCTGTTGGTTTCTGCTTTTGTGTATGTTTTCTATGTTTATCAGTTTATTAAACATTAATTGTTAAAGAAAAATCTATATATTTACTTCAATATAAGTTTTTAAATTGTTATTATTATTGTATTATTATTTATTTCCTCATTTTTAAATTCAAATAAAACGTTTAGTAACAGGGTTGCCAGACCTTGTCCAACTCCTGAAATCAGCTGATTGTTTGTAAAGGAATGTCCAACAAGGTTTCCCCTTCTATAAAAACATCTAATTAGACTCCAAACTAAATCAAAATCCGAAATAATTAAGTCAGTCCATAAAGGTCTCAATATTAGCCTTCAGGCAACAATGGGTTAATGGCCCAAAGAAACCCCCCCAAAACAACGCGCAAAACAAAACGCAAACGCGCAAAGCGAAACACAACAAAACAACAAAAAACTAATTGGAAAACCAATATGCGATGGAAATCGAGGAACGGAATTCGTAATCGGAAGGAACCTTATGCTTATCGGGTCTGGAATCTGGGTGGGAGAGATACCACAGATATCTGGAGGGGGCTATGCACGGGAGAGGCAGGGGGAAGGTGGCACTTACTTTGGAGTTTCAGTGTGGAAGAGGCAGTAGAAGAAGAAGACAGAGACGAAGACGAAGCGCTGGAGGAAATATCGGGCACATTTTCCATGTGCGCTGCTGCTCTGCCGTTGTGACAATTTATAGAAATGCACTACAACTTTTTTTTTAGCGGGTTTTAATCGGGTTGGCACATTTTCAATTCGGATGCATTTCCATTTTTGCACACCAGCTCACACCCACACACGTTCACACGCACGCACACAGCGACGGCGACGACGGAACACGCACACGCACACACACACGCGCAGGAATTGCAGGGCTCTCGGATATCGAAAAAAGGTAAACAAAACTTTTTCACTACGTCCGTGGGCAACTTGCGACTGTTCTTCGTGCGGAATTCGATGCGTCCCGGCTGGCCGATGGTTTAAATGCAATAAAAAATCAATAATATCACCGTTTCACACACGAAATTATTAAAAAAAACCATAGCGAAAATATTTTGTGTTACTTCAAAACTGTGACTGGCCAGAGTGCGTGTAAAACTGTATGCTGACGCTAACCAACACTGGGTGTTTTTGGTGTTAAGCAATGCATGTGGAAATCGATAAGTTTGTTATCGTCAGCTGGTCGAGAGCGTTGCCACTTGGGGTGGGTTTGCTGTTGGCGGGAATTTTAATTTAAATTTCATTTTTTTGAAATTGATTGTTCTAAAACTGAATGTGTGCACTTAAAGTGTTTGTTTAAGGGTTTATTAACATTGAATATTAATAATTTAATTGTAGAGATTTATTAATTCCATATATTTATTCCCACAAACTGAATTAAAGAGGAAGATACTTTTGTATTACGATTTTTAATAAATTAAAGAGAATTACTTAATTTATTTCTAATTAAATTTGAAACATTTAGTTCGGTAGATATTTCTGTCTAGAAAAAAATATAGAAAACTGCCATATTTTATTATTTAATTGAAAAATATTGGTGGAATCCCTTCCTTTTCCTGGAAACGATAATCCTTGTTAGCCCAATATTTTTCTGCTGCAAGCTCACTTTCGCCAAACTTTCCTTGAAATTTGCAGCCCCTTTTAGACCCCTCCCCCCCCCACGTTAACCCCGCTTCGGCGGAAGTCTCTGGCTCTATCAACGGGCGGCGACCAAGCGAACACAGAATAATTGCTGTGTGCCAGTGCCAGTCGGTGCCAGTGTGTAATCGACGACAACATCAGCTACAACAATTGCACCAACAGCGGCAGCAGCAGCAGCAGCAACACATAGATAACTCGGCACTGCTGCTGGGTTGTTATTTTATTGTCGCTTTTGTTGCACATTGAAAATAATACACAAAATAATTGAATTACTCGAAATGTGAGACGGAGCGAGAGCGGGGAGGGACTTGCGCTCGTGTTCAACGCTTTTATTGGGGGGCGTTCAGGGCTCCGCTGATAAGCTCTGATCATCAAGCTAAACGAGATAAGCGCTGCTCATTTGCATTCCACAGTCGAAATTCCATGGAGTGAACCCAGCATTTGGATAAAGACAAAAGTTATACTTCCCCGAAAAGTGCACTTTAATTAAAATTATGTGAGAAATTTATATGGGTTTATATTTGTAAAACATTTTTATTAAATTTTGCAAAGTTATATTATTTTTGCCTTTTCGATAACCCAATTGCTTAAAAACATGGTTGGGCATCAAATAACAAAATTGGAGATCAGATAATAACCAGCTTTATGTGTGTGTTTCGTTTTTGTAAACTTTATTTCTTTTTAAATATTGCTAGGTTAATAACATTTGAATCATTTTGTTTTGTATTTTAAATTCCTAGAAATATTTGTGACATTCCTTATATCGGTGATTAAGATCCATTATAATAAATATAAATTATTTAAGCGTTTCTAAAAACATAAAAATGGATAGTAACTTTTAGCCGATGCCAGATTATTTACAATTTAATTCAATTTTAATTTCTAGTACTAAATTTATATTAGTTTTGTTTTTTGTTTTGTTTTGGGGGGCTTTCTTGGTTTTTTGTCAAGTGTGCTTTTTTGTCGCAACGACATGTGATAAGGAGTATGTGTATGGGGGAATCGGAAACGTGACTCTCGGCCGGGGCGGGCATCGGCACGTAAATTATGCTGATGACACCGGCTCCGCACCCAGGCCAAGCCAGGCCAGGCCAGGCCAGGCTCAAGCTCAGAAAGCTCGCGGAGCAGCGACGATTGCGCTTGAAATATTAAAGAAATACCAGCACGTTCCTACGAGCTGCAACGAGAATAACTGGCTCCGGCTCCGACTGCCATTTGATCGGTGCACACAAAAATATATTTACAATTTACTACCATTTTAATGACATTTTGCCTTATAATGAAACAGTGTGTAAAAATGAGATTTTTTTCTGGTTTTTATGCATTTTATTTGGTTAATTGGGCCTTTGAACTCTATGGCGACGCTGATGAAAACGACGCCAAAGATAAAGTCATGCGCGAAACTTGATTTGAAACAAAGGGGGCCTCGACGTTCCTCCTCCTTCTGCTGTCCCTCAACACATACCCCCGCGCTTGCTTTCTGCGTATCCGCTGTCAACGCCCCTCTTTGCGGCGATAACAATTATAAAAATACTCAAATCAAAATGCAATTGTGCATTTTCAAAGGCTATTATGGCTTGCAAATAAGGGGGTGTTGTTACGCCCACACACAATAAATGCAGGGAGTAAAAATGTTATTGGATCGCAAGGATTGTTTATCAACTTTTTCCTCTGTGTAGATGTAGTACACGGGTCACCCTGTTGCTGGACAGGAAAAATGTCTCAATGAATGTCCATTCCAGGCTTTTCCTTTCGGCCGGCGGATAGCCAACAGGTAATAAAATTGCGGCGGGAAAGAAAATGCCAATAATCGTTGTGGCAGCAACAACTGCGAAATGCAATATCAGCCGTCAGCAGCGCAGCGAGCCTCTAACTGTAAATGGCCAATATTGAGCGGGAGAGCAAGAGTCCAAAACAGGAGCTCGAGAGGCTGAGAGGAAGCGAGAGATCAGAGTGCCCAGAGAGCGGGTGTGGGAATCCAGTGGCAGGTATGTGTAGATGTAGATGTAGATGCCTACGATACGACAAGGAGAGTACAATGGGCATAAAACTATATGGCAAGTTTCAAAATTACTACCCAAATAACCTAAGCGCTATTCAGATGATTAATTTCATTATTATCCTTAAAAAATATATAGTATATATTATATACATATGTATATTATTTCACAGAAATAATTTTATATTACAAATATGTGTCAGTTAAAGGATTTACAACATAATCTATGTATTTTTTGAATCTATGTAAAGTCTTATATAAATAAAAATAATAATACTTTGTAAATAATTTGTTTCTGTGCACTGCAGTTGCCTATAACCAAATATTCATTAAGTTGCAAATGCCAGAAACTATTTGTGGTATTTAAGCTTTCACGCCAATTTAATTTGCTAAGTAACATTTCCGCTCCATGGTGCCTGCATCCAAACCAAAACTCCAATTGCAGTTGTCACACACTCACACATACATACACTCTCACACACACTCATACTCCTTTATGTCAAGCCGGTTTTTGGAAGGGGGGAGGGGCCACGGCCCAGGCAACGCTCAAAATGTGGCAAAGTGGAAAAGGAAAATGTGTACTGGAAAAATGCAAGGCATGCAACAAAACAATAGCTAAAGCCACAACGACAACAACAAAGCTAGACGGTAACGACGATCATCGAAATCCTGCTACATTATTATACGGTCAACTCGGAGAACCTGTTTTTATTGCAATTTGATTTCAAGCAGCCAAACAGCACCAGAAATTACGTATCACAAAAATAAAATATATTTTTCTCGTTACTGCTGCTGCTTCTTCTTCTTCATCTTCTGCGGCTAACAACAAAAACAACAACAGTGGCTTTGTTTTTACGTCAGGCTGGGATTACACACTCACACAGAGATCTAAACTAAACCACCAGTTTATACATATGCATGTATGTGTACGAGAGAGCACTTGCGCCCACCTGTTGTTGGCAATTTTTAATTTGCGAAAAGCTATTCGGTGGAATCTCAAGACAGCGCCGTATGTTCTGGCAATTGTGGAAAAATCACAATTCTGGCAAAATGTAAAACAATTGAAAAGCAACAGGTAAACAAGCAGAAATACCCCACACGCACACACACCACAAAGCTGACGCGGACATATGTTTGTATGGAGAGTGAGTGAGTCCGCAGCACCAACCGCAAAAGAGAAAACTACGGCCGATCACCTACGCTGGAAAAATTGGGTCTTATGGGTACAATACTCTTCAAGTACAAATGCACTTAGTCCATATAAAATTATAAAGCAGGGAAACCATTGTTATAGAGACTTTAATTTTAAAATAGTAGAAAGCTAATCAAAACTGTACTAAGGGAACTGACCATTATAATTAACTGAGAAGAAAGAAAGTTAACTTCGGGAAGCCGGATTGTGCATTCCGTGCAGTTAGCCATAGGACCGTGGGTTCCAGTATGCAATCGAACATAACTAAAACAAATGCATTAATTTTAATCTGAAAATCTTTTTTGGGTTAATTTTTTATTAGGTTGGCAAACCAGCTTTTATTGTTTAATATTTTTGTCAATTTTAATGACGAATTTAATATTTGGTAAAAATGTAGTACATTTATTTACGATTATTTTCATATATTCTACTTCTTTTTAGTTAAGATGATTCGAATGGCAAATCAAAATATAGGCATATGACTTCTGGCTATCATACTATTTTCGGACATCATATACTTTATTAAGATATTTACATGATAATTTTTGAGAAAATTAAACATTTTCCGAATATCAAACCTCAGTCAAAATACATTAGACACAATATTAGGTTAACAAACTATCGCGTTATATTAAAAATTAAAGAAAATCTAATTTTTTGTGTTTATAATACATATTAATGATGATGATTTTACAACAGGAGGCTAGATCAACACAGCTGATCAATTATATACATACATGGTTAATAGGTTCGGAAAATACTCCTCAACTTCCTCGAAAGCTTTTGACTGAAATTATAGTACTCGCTAAGCTATAAAAAGGCTGTTTAATTTGTTTAATTGTTAATTGTTCGATATAATATATATACATAGATCCAACATTAATTTGTCGTAGGGCACACACTTAGCTCTTGCTGGCCGAACACCTGTACCATAACTAGTTTTACATCTGTAGCCGACCAGGGCTGGTCGCCGCCACTCCACCGCCCATCCCCCTCCCAACAAACTGCATTCAAAAGAGAGCCGGAGAGCGGGCCGCTCACCTGCAGCCCTGGCGCTGCAGAGCCACCGAGGAGAGCTGAGTCGTGTTTTGGTTTCAGTCTCTGGACTGTTGGGCGCGTGATCGGTAAATCGAAGTAGCGGACCGTGAAGGTGCAGAGGATATTCCCCACGACTGTTGTTGGTGTTGTTGCTGCTGCTGGGTTAACGTAATTTCGCAAAAGAGAGACGGAGAGCGCCAGAACGGTTGTTTTTGTAACGCGACGAGAGCCGCCCGCAGATCCGATCCACCATCCATCCTTGTCACTCGCTCCTTGTCGTCGCCGTCGTTGCCTCGCGTGTAACTAAGAAATAAGAAATAATATAAAACTGTGCCGTCGTCGCATCAATTGCACTAATTTCTTCAATCAGCGGACAAGGCGAGCATAACGAAAAAGCAGAGTGAAACTAGCGAAAATTGTTTAACAGCCAGCAAAGTAAGTGAGCGATTAACAAAGGCCCAAGCCGCGCTTAAAAATCAGCAAAGCGATTTGCGTTTGCATTTTAAACGTTTGTTTGTCTTACACGTCATTTTCTGCAGAGTCATTAACGAAAGGCAGGTCAAGAGAGAGCGAGGGAGAGAGAGAAAGAGAGGGAGCGCTGAGTGGGAGGAATGGGAAATGAGATGAGGAAAATGAGACAAGAGAGTCAAACACAGAGGCAGAAAGAGCGGAAGAGCGAGATCAAGACAAGTCTTTGTTTAGCTAGAAATTTGTTTAATGGCACTTGAAAAAATTAAAATTACAAATCACCATTGCTCCGCTCTCTCTGCTAACGTCTCCGCAACCGCCTCCCCCTCTGGGCCCCATCTAATATCCGCCAGTAAATCTTTACAATTGTTTATCTCTCTCGCGCGCTCTCCCACTTGCGTGATTGTGTGTGTGTGTGAGTGCAAGTGAATTAAACGAAACGAAACGACTTGAAAAAGTTGGAGCTGGGCTTTTTTGTTGTGTTATTCCGTTTCTGTCTCCCGTCGCTTTCGTTTGTGTTTGGCGCCGTGGCGCTCCAGAAATAGCGGTGAATTGTGACAGCTCCTACACCTCCTGCTCCAACGCCTCCTAGTCCTCATCCGTCGACGTCGACGTCTCCTTCCACTTGTAACGGTATGCGTGCGTGCAGAAAAAAAACTGCGAAAGCAAAAGGAAAAGTGCTCAAAAAGCAATTACAATAACCACTGAAATTAACGTTTTATGTGTGCCAGTGTGCCCTCCTAATGAAATCCCGTTGTTTACTAGTGTGTTTTTATACGAAATTGCAACACAAACACTGCCATACCAAGTCATATACACTCGAAAAAACAGTCACGCACAAAGGCAAAAACACGCAAGCTCCGCGTGTCCGTGTACCAACTTCTCAGCTTCGCGGCTGCCGCTTCTGCTAATTATGAAAGTTATAGTTGTACCAAAAAAACGCCGATGGACGCTTCATTTGTTTGTTTCTGGTAGCCTTGTGCAATGCTGTTGCTGTTGCTGCTGTTACTGCTGCCTCTGTTGCTGGCCAAACACCTGTTGAATGCCAAAGAAAGTGTCTTGGCCAGCAAGAAAAGCAAGCTAAGAAAATGCTCATAAACACATGGCAATAGCAGCAGCAGCAGCAGCATAAAACAAAGCATGAAAAACCACAGAGTCGGCGAAAGAGAGTGAAGTGAATAAAGGTAGTGGAGGTGGAGGCCGACAGAAAATGGCTCACAACAATTTCACAGTCGGTGCGCAGGCCCAATTGAATTTGAATTTTCAGTACAAAAGAGCCTCCATTGTCCCCTACCCCTCCTCTACCCATGCGTGCATGCCTGGTCATATGTACACTTCTCCCAAGATATTTACATATTCGATGTACATTACGACTTTATCTAATCTCAGTAGTCAGTTGGCTGGCAATCAGTGGTAATCAGTGCTGAAAATCTTACCTGTTTATAGCCAATTTATGTTTAAACAACTAATGAGATAGATCATAAATTTCATTATGAGGCCAGGAAGCTTAAAGAAAGCCAACCAATTACCAAATTAACTCCTGTATACATTGTAGACATTATTCACTTCCGCTCTAAGGTGGAGAATTGTTAAAGTTTTTAAACATTTTAGAGAATGTACAGAGCACTCAGAACTATGAAATTAAAGCTTACACAAGGCTTTCCTTTAAACTTTATGGTTGATTATTGTTAACATGCTCCGACATTGAAATTCCGTTTTAAATAAACAATCAGATTCTTTGGAATTATATTCCCCATTACTCCTATCTCCCTTATCTTAATACAAGACAAACAAAGAAATTATTTACAAGAGGATCATAGTCGTGAAATGGTTTTTAAAGGCAATTTTGTAAACTTGATTTAACAAACTTAATCCAGTGTTAATGATTAGAAATTCTCTACAGAAATAAAATGCCCTCCAAAAACTGTTTGTAAAATGTAACGAGAAAGCCCCTCCCCTCTCTAAACACATTTAAATTCGCGCAATTTCTCTAAAGTGACATCCATAGAGAAACAGAGAAATAGTGTCAAGTTGCTCTCGACTGCTAATATCAATTTAGACGACAATGTGCGGGCCAGATCTGGCACGCAGCCTGCATTCCAAGTGCCGCTGATGCGGGGCAGTATGGTGGAGGCGGTATCCACAAGTCCGAGAATCACTTCCGCGACATCGCCTTATCTCGGTGCGGATGGGGGATATGTACATATATGCGTAGATTCACTGTACATAAGCATATGCATATCTGCGGTTTAGTTGTCGACATTATCTTTTGTTCGTCGTTTGAAAAATTGTGTGTATAGAGTTGTTTGGGTAATTGCGCACAATTGGCAGTGAAGGAGGGACACAGGGTGCTGCCTCTGGTCGTGGGGTTTTCTAGCAAAACGCTATTTATTTTTATTTTAGGTCCGAAAGCTAGCGTTGTGCTATTTTCGAATTTTGTATTTTATAACCCAGGCTGTCGTCATCGGCGACGCTGGCCGTTTTTGGCCAATTTAGCTTTCGCTTTTGTGCGATTGCCTAACGAAACCCCCCATGCCTCATTCCCCAAGCCAACTCCTAAATAAATCAAACTTAAAACACTCACTCACACATGCGAGTGATGAATAAGAAAAAAAAAGCGAAAAAAGAGAGCCACAGAAGAGATTCATTAATTTTTTGCAAGATTTTTCTTAATTATGAGACAGCACGAAATGTGAGAATTGCACGAGACATACATAGAGAAAGAGAGAATTCACAAAAGATCCATCGTCACATCATCATCTCAACCCAAGGTGTGACTTTGATCCGCTTTGAGCTTAGCTTACCTTAGCGACTTTGTTCTAATTTTGGTTTATGTTGTGTTTTTTGTTTGCCTGTGTGTTTCGTTTTTTATTTCTGAGAAACCGGTGTCCCATTGTCTTTGGGGACCTGCGAGACAATGACTGCGGTTTGAGTGCAATTTTTACACCTCAGACAGTGCGTTTCGCAACTCATACAAGGGGTTACAAAAGTGTATAGTTAAGGTCTAAGAATTAAAGTTAAATTGGTAATATTTCTGCCTTCAGATTTACTCGAAACGTGTGACTCACTTTCGTCATAAAAACTCGTATCTGGTTCTTAGTTAATAAGCGGTTAAGTGACCTCATTTCTGATATCAAATTATAAATGTGCATAAAATCCACATTTAAATATCATAACTACATACTATATATAGGAACCCTTTGGCTTGCACTTGTGATATTTATTGCCAATGATAAAGCTCACTTCAATGTTTAATAATAATTTAGTTTCAACTCTTCTTTGTACTGTGACGAACAATCTTTAAGCATTAACCGTGAGTTAATTCTCTCAAGGTTAATGAATAAGTGATTGAAATTTCTTGGAATTGTATTTGTATATTCCACACAAAGGAATACGTATACACAAATTGAAATAATAAGAAATATTGTGAACATTTGTTGGTTTTAATTCCGAAATGCGCTGTATGTATGTACATATATTATTTTTATAGAAATGTCTAGGTCCAAGTGCACCCATATGTCGACAGCTGATGTAGAGACAGGTTTAAGTCTGCCGGTGACGCAGATGCTGCCAGTTGGGATTGGCTTTCATGGATCCGAATCTCCCCTGGCCTCGCCCACTCCCCTATTCGAATCCATTCAATTCTATTCCATTGCCGTAGATTCTTTGCTGTTCCCTCTCTCTCTCTCTGAACACGATTTGCAATTAGCCAAAAGAATACATTCAGATTCAGTTGGTTGTATAACGATAATTAGCAGTACAGCGACAGCTGGAATTTGTATGCACATTATATTTTATACTCGAGGGATTTGAGAGGAAAAACCCGACGACAGGCAAAGTTCAATTCGCATCTCATTTATCAATTTCCTGGCTCTTGGTACTTATTACAGCTCACCCGCAACAGCACGAAAACGGCGCCGACAACGACGATGCCTTATCAGCCAGCCAACAGCGGCGGGACGACCGGCGGCAGCAAGGCGGCCGCCAAGATGGCCCAGCTGAAGTTCTGGAATAAGCAGAATAGCAGCAAGCAGCAGCAACAGGACAAGGACAAGGACAAGGATGCCGCCGACTCGGGCAATAACAGCAGCAACACCACCGGCAACAGCAGCAACGGCGACACCAAGGGTGAGGCGAAGAATGGCAAGCGCAACTGGCTGCACACGCCGGAGCAGCTCATCAATGGACATGCGGTGTATCTAGTCAAGGTGAGCATCGAGGGGCAGTGGCCTATGACGACCTTGTTGACGATCGTTACCAAACGGAGAGATTTTTGATCAAATTTCGATAGGATACATGCCTCTGTGGGTGATATAGAGTGTATATTATAGGAAAGACGCATTATATTTTAGCCAAAAGTGCAGGATTTCCCTTATTTAAGTATTACGTTATGCCTAATTAATATATTAATTGAAATCAATCTGTTATTATGCCTTTATTTGCTTTATTATACTTACCCAATTGAATTTTGTATTATGCAAAGCCAAGAGAGGGGTAATATAAGCTAACGTCTTATGTAAATACAAATTGGTATTAACTGCATAATTGTATACGTTTTGAAGGCTTGCAAAATCATCATGAAACCACAGCTAATTTAAATAATATATATTTTTGCAAAAACAAACTGAAAACTACATCTAATCCTGTTTTCTCGCTTTCAGTTCTTTGGTAACCTGAATGTGGACCAACCCAAGGGCATTGAGGTGGTCAAGGAGGCCATTCGAAAGCTGCAGTTTGCACAGCAAATGAAGAAAGCGGAGACGGGCACTCAGGAGAAGTTCAAGAAACTGGAGATCACCATCAGCATCAAGGGTGTGGCCATTCAGGAGCCGCGTACCCACAAGATCCTGCATCAGTTTCCGCTGTACAACATCTCGTATTGTGCGGACGAGAAAGGTGTTAAGAAGTTCTTCAGTTTTATTGCCAAATCGGTAAAGACGCGAGAAGGTGGAAGCGATTCAATGACGACAAATGGCCATGCAAACGGAAATGGCGATGGCAGTGCCAAAGTGGAGGAAACCCATGAATGCTTTGTCTTCATATCGAACAAGTTGGCCTCGGATATAACACTCACCATTGGTCAGGCCTTTGATTTGGCCTACAGGTGAGAAAAAGTCTTTTAATACAAAGAATAGAATAAACTAAAAGCTATTTTAAATTTCCAGAAAATACATGGACAGCACTGAGAAGACGAATTTGAGCAAGGCGCAGCAGCAGATCAATCATTTGCAGCAAACTGTCAACGCTTACAAGGAGCGACTGCGCGAGATTTCCGCCAAATTGCCAAAGGCCGAGCTAGATGCCCTGCTCTTTCAAATGGGCATCAAGGATATTCTGGAGGCGCCCAGCACTGAGCTGCAGCAGAATGGTATTGAAGTGGCCACCGAGGCCCTGAGCAATGGCAAGCTGGGTAAGATTATGATGGATTAAAGTATTATTCCTAGTAACTAACACTATTTGACATGTTTCAGATGACGACAAGCTGCTGATTGACACCAATTCCACCACGGCATCGACCCATTCGTCGTCGCCCAGCTCGTTCTTGCCCATTGTCCCGCCGCGGAACAATCTGTCCAGCCAGATCAGCATCGGTGGCAAGAGCAACAGCCAGAAAATGGATGAGCTGCTGCTCAATTCCGATTCCGATAGTGATTTCGATCCGCGGGCGGATGAGATTCAGGACAATGTGAGCAATGGTCGCAATGCCATCAGCAACGATCTGTTTGGCTTTGAGCCCTCAAAGAGCTTTGGTCAGCAGCTCTTTTTTAACAATAATGATCACAAGCTGCAGAATAACAACACGAACAGCAACAACAACAACAACAGCAGTCTACTGATCACCAGCAATAATACCAGCATCAATAGCAGCGGATTCTCCAGCGAGCTGAACATCACGCCGCCATTGTGTATGTTTTTGATATTATAATTTATAAGTGCATCGCAATTGTTTAATTAATAATTTGTTATTTATGTAGTGGCACCACCGCCAAAGATTGCTGCTCCAAGACGCCTTACCTCGGTGACAACGGGCAATGGCCTCAATGGCAACACGGATCTGTTCGGATCAGATCCATTTGAAATGAACAATGGTCCGACCATCTTCAAGGTGAGTGTTTCAACAATTTTATAGCTTTCAATGTATAATATTTATTTACCTTTCAGCAAAATCAACTGAACCTTGATGACTTCTCGCTGGAGAGTCTGGATCCTCTGCGCAAGTAGAGCGGTGCTAGTGCTACCAACGCCATTTTCACGCACGTCAACTCGTCGTTTGAGCCTTTAAGAACAACCCGCGAATGGATATATCCCAATTCTCCTTCTCCGTTCTCCGCTTCGCATGCATTCCCAGCCAATTGCAATTCGATTTGTTTAATGTGTATTATTGTTTATATATATATATTATATATATATTGTATTGTATTTATTATCATTGATTTTTTGTCGATTTTATATATTGCATATTATGATTTCTACTATTATTATTATTAATATACAGATACGTTTATTATCTGAGGGCGAGATCAAAAGAAAACACACGACGCAATGCACTTTGTTTAAACTTATCAATTTGTTGCTGTAGCTAAATAGTTGAATTGAAACAGGAAAAAATGTTAACAAGCGATAATGTGAGAAAATGCTAAACTGAATGTGAGAGAATGTTGTATAAAATAATTATAAAATGAGATGTAAATCGGAGAAAATAAATCGATCGATTATTGTATAGAGCCGAAGCACGAGAAGAATCAAAGCAAAATGAACAATATTTAATGTTATCGATGCAATACATAGAGAAATATTATTATTACTATTATTATTGTGTATGTAAAGAATAAAATTTAGTGCCTAAAAGAAAACATTTGTTTTATCTTCAACAAGTTGCATTATTTATTTTTCATCCGTATTAGTTTTATTCGCCTTTTTTTAAATAACAACACACGATAACTACACGTTACTGCCATGAATACAAATTTGAGTTGTTGCTGCTGCTGCTGTTGCACTTTGGGAATGTTTGCCTAGAGCTAGTGATATATATATCCAACAATTGGTTCCTGAATCGTTTGTCCTGTTGCGGTTGCCTAAACCTGAGTGGCTTTTTTCCGGAGGCTTCACTTCCTCCTCTTCAAGCGTCCTGGACAAAGTCGCTATAGCGTTTCGGTATGCTGGCCGACAGCTGGCGTGCATTCATATCCGAGCTCTAGAAGATCAGAGATTATCTAACGTGAGTGCATTCCCTATATTTTGTTAAGGAAATGAAAAACCAAAGAACTGCAAGCGCATCTCCAAGGAATACAGTCTTATAAATTCTTTAAATAACCATATAAATAACGCCAACGATTGGAAAAGTTCTGAAAGAAATTATCAGTTTGAAAGAAGTTAAATATAAGTAAAGAAAAGGTCAACAGAAGCATTAGAAAATTATAACACAATCACCTTTAAATTGAATGAATTAATTTATTAATCAAACATTAAAAGGAAATAAACTGTTAGGGGGAGGAAATAGAAAAACGAATAAAGGTGGAATGCAGATGAACCAGAGTAAAGTTTTAATAATAATAACAATTGATGTAACAAAACCCCCGAATAAACATAAACTCAAAATACAAAACATAAATAGACGAGAATATGTGTTTTTTTTTTTGTGTATACTTTTCAACAATTTGTTTATTTGTTTAAAACTTTCATAGCTTAAGCAATAAATTTAAATAGTGTATGCTCAAAAAGATAAATGTATTTTGACATTGCATGCAGTTCGGGCTATATATTATATATCGATATCCTAAATAAAATCCACAAATTATATGCTAATTTCGTAAATCTCTCAAAAACATCTGTGTACCTTGGAGTATATATGTATGTTCTTGTTTTTGTATATATATGTATATAAATATGCATCGAAATTAATGTCTACAAACGAAATTATATATAATGCCAAGGGCGCTGCGCCACTCGCTTCCCCACAAAAGAATATACAGAACTTCAGGCCGCATTTTGTGGAATGTCAAATGATTAAAGTGACAACAAATATTTTAAGGGACTTTAGGGGGAAAAGTTGGGGCACATACAATATACAAACAAAAGTCGTATTTAACATTAAACAATAAATAAACACTTTTCACTTGACTGGGTTGCGGATGCGGGAAGAAATGGGGTTGCTTGCTGGGATTGGATTTGGTGCAGGGTGGCGCAAACTCTTTACACAGCCAGGCGGGTTCGTTTCTATCTCATTCACTTTTTTAATGGTTTTTTGATTTCACACTTTTACTGGCTGACAGCGCTCGTCTTCTTCTTTTTAGCGTATTTTACCTGATTGGACCAGTCACCGGTGGGCACGGTGGCGCGATAGAACTTTGAGCTTGTCTTGTTGAAGATGGGCAGCAATTCGTTGGCCTCATCGGACAGAGCCTGCAAGCAAAAGGTATTTAATACAATCATAAAACAGAATATCATCTCAACGAAACTCACCTTTAGATAGATGATGGCATCAGTGCCAAAACCCTCGCAGGATAGCAGCACTATATCCCCGTGGAAATAACGTGCATAAAGCCTGGAGATCGGCAGGCCATAGCCATAACCCGCAAGCGGCACTGTGTGCAGATCAGACTTCGAGGGCTGCGGCGCCGTGCTGTACATGTACTTGAAAAGCTGATCTGTCTGGGAGCGTGGAATGCCACCACCCTGGTCGGAGATCTTAACGCAAATATCCTCCTTGCCCTTGGAAATGGCCACTTTCAGTGGAGGCAATGTGTCATTGTTGTCATGGCTGTGGTGTTCCACCACCGCTCGCATCGAGTTCTTAAAGACCTCGAAGAGCATATAGTACAAGTGCGATGGCACATAGACCGTCCGGATGGGCAGGCTGTCTGAGGGCTCGCAGGTGTGTTGCTGTATCTCCAGCGCCGGACTGGTCAGGTAGTACTGATCGCACAGGAAACGGGCATTCTCGTACGCATCTCGCACCACATCCGAGAGATCACAGGCGGGGTCCAGACAACCGATGTGACGGCCACCCGAATGGGGATTTCCACCAAAAAGCAGGGCTATAAAACGTTGTAAGAATATTTTAATATCAATAATAAGTAGGTAATAAAACCCCATTTTACTCACTGTGCTGGTTGATCAGCATCCGGATGCTAATTCGTGACATGTAAAGGCGGTCGAGAAAGTACTGAATGGAGCTCTCGGTGGGCGCATCCACCTGGCCACCCTCGTTCTCCTTCATCTCGATGACTCCCTGGGCCATCGTCTGCACTACGTCGTTGTGCCGATTCCTAATGAGATCCAAATCGGCCACAAATCTGGAATGTAAAGTAAAATCAGTAAAATTCACAATATCCTTAATATGTTTGGACTCACTTCTGTAGATTGTCGTGGGTGGGTTCAGCTTTCTCGTACTCCAGCACATCCTCGAAGCTTTTCACATACCAGGAGCTCACTTCGCTTACGGATCTGGTATGCAGCAGATTATCCGGCAGCAGGGCGATCTCCTTCATTATATTAGCCAGTCGCACTGGGAGCTCCTTTCGCAGAAATATAAAGGATTTCTTTTCACAGGCATTTTGACCTAAAAAGGAAAATTAGAAGAGATTTGGATTCGTATTCCAAACGTTTAAGTTAAAATAAAACACTACAAAGGAAGCTAAATTACTTTATTGTCTTGCAAACTTCTAAATAAAATTAAAATAGTCTGATGTAAATATTTATTACAGAGTCCTTAAAGACTTTCTTATACTTAAAACATAATGGGAGTTAAGAAAAAAGATTTATAAATTTAAAAATTAAAGCTGGCTATGTGTATGTTTTGTTTTGGTAATTGTGTGTTTTTGGTATTAGTTTCCCCATAAATGTGTAGATTTTCTTTTTTGACTAAAAACATGGACTAGAACAATATTTAGTATATTTTATTATTTCATTAACATTAATTAATTTATGACTTATACAAAACTTAATGCATTTTTAAAGCTCAACAAAACCTTAGTTCATTATCAGTTTCAAGTATTTTTATACCCTTGCAGGGTATTAAATTTTAAGTAAAAAATTGCAACGCAGTGAAGGAGTTATCTATGATCAGTAATTAACTATAATCAGTAAGTATCTATGACCAGTAAGTAACTATGATTAGTAAGTATCAATGAACATTAAGTAACTATGATCAGTAGATAACTATGATCAGCTATTAACTACGAACAGAAAGTAAATATGAGCAGTTATTAATTATGATCAGTTAGTATCAATGAACATAAACTTTAACCAGTAAGTAACTATGAATAGTAACTATCTATAACCAGTAAGTATGTATGTATGCTCAGTTACTAACTTTGAACACTATCAATGACTTGCACCTTTTTTTACACAATACATTTCTGAGACCTGGTTGGTAGAATTCACTTCGTTCCGGGGATGTTAGAACTAGTTGGGAATCATATGCACACATGTACGATATGTGTTATTGGATCAGTAAGTAACTATGATCAGTAAATAACTTTGATCAGTAATTAACTATGAGCATTAATTAAGTAAGTATCTATGACCAGTAAGTATCCAATGATCAGTAATTATCTCTGATCAGTAATTAACTATGACCAGTAAGTAACTCTGCACAGTAAGTATCTATGACCTTTAAGTAACTATGATTAGTAAGTATCAATGAAGATTAAGTAACTATGATCAGTAGATAACTATGATCAGCAATTAACTACGAACAGAAAGTAAATATGAGCAGTTATTAATTATGATCAGTTAGTATCAATGAACATAAACTTTAACCAGTAAGTAACTATGAATAGTAACTATCTATAACCAGTAAGTATGTATGTATGCTCAGTTACTAACTTTGAACACTATCAATGACTTGCACCTTTTTTTACACAATACATTTCTGAGACCTGGTTGGTAGAATTCACTTCGTTCCGGGGATGTTAGAACTAGTTGGGAATCATATGCACACATGTACGATATGTGTTATTGGATCAGTAAGTAACTATGATCAGTAAATAACTTTGATCAGCAATTAACTATGAGCATTAATTAAGTAAGTATCTATGACCAGTAAGTATCCATGATCAGTAATTAACTATGACCAGCAAGTAACTCTGCACAGTAAGTATCTATGACCAGTAAGTATGTATGATCAGTTACTAACTTTGAATACTAATAAACAATGACTTGCAACTTTTGTAACACAACACATTTCTGAGACCTGGCCGGCAGAAGTCACTTCGTTCCGGGGATGTTAGAACAAGTTCGGAATCATATGCACAGATGTGTGAGATTTGTTTTGGAACAAAGGGCAAGCTATTTGAATGAAACTATGGAGTTATTCTTATATATAAAATTACTAACATATAAGTCGGAGCATGGCGAATCGGTGGACTATATGTATACATATATATAGCTGCCATAGGAACAATCGGAATATTGTAAGACTTAAGAAATGTAACTTTGTTAGTTTTCAACAGATTTTCATCACATTTAATATATATGCATTAAAAATTAATCTCGAATTTTGTGTAAAATTTTATGAAAATCGGACTACTATATCACATAGTTGCCATACAAACGATCGTTAAAAATAAAGCAACGCAGGCATTAATTTATCGTATTTTAACGTAAATATATATAGATTATAATAATATATAATTCCAAGTAATCGAATTTAAATCTGCAAGGGTATACAAACTTCGGAGTGCCAAAGTTACCTTCCTTTCTTGTTTTAGCTCAAATTGAATTGAATTTCGTACTTAATTAAACATTTCCCTTGTTGTGTCATTCTGTTTTAATATTATTTAAATTTTTTTCCGCTTTTGCCTTATCAATGCAGCTAAAGCTAAGCCATTCGTTGATCATGAGCTCATGAGTGAAAACCTCATGTGAATCTACTAAAACAAAAAATAAAAACAAAATAAACAACAGCCTAGTGGCGTACAAAAGAAAACAATTCTGAAAGCCACATAAATTCAATTGGATTAATTATCAAGAGAGTCCAAAAAGTACTTGAGCCAATTACATACATATCTACAAAAGTACAAAATGTATATATATATACTATATAGTGCCGAGTGTGTACTTTATAAACAAGCTAAGTTCAAAGCTCTCTGTGGCAAAAAATGTGAAATAAATCAACCGCAGCAAACTTTGGCCCCGTCAAGCTTTTGCATATTTCCTTTGCCTTTGTATTTGTTTTGTTTTTTTCTGTTTATTTGCTAATAATTCTCGCAGTGTGTGAGTGTGTTGTGTGTTGTTTGTTTGCCGATTGTCAACAGTTTCGTAACAAAGAGAAAAGCAAGAAACGAGCGAGTGATAACGTCGCTGGCGGATTTCATGTCTTATCGATGGCGGAGCCTTGACCGGGGACACGCCTTCTTTTTGCCAAAAAACAAAAAAAAATTAATGGCTATAATAATCATAAGTAATTAGTGAGGGTATGTCCAACGAAAAAATTCGCCACACTTAATTGGAATTCCAGACAGAAACGCAAAAACAAACAAGATATTGAACATGGCTATTTCGTATAAATTAGACTGAAACACCGCCTTTATATAGCCCCACATTTATGAGTCAATTGTAACGAATTGCCAAAACAAAACAGAATCAATAAAACCAGTTATAAAGGCAAAAAAAAAAAAAATAAATAAACAACAAAGAATACGGAAAGAGAGGCGATTAACCCGAAAACAAAGCCAAAGATTCCACCTCATCGAATTTTGTATGTAGAAGAACCTGCCAGAAAACGATCGAAGACCCCAGAGTATATGAGTTATAGTGAGAGATATAGCTTTGAGACTGGACCCCAGAGAGAGAGATAAATATATGATGAGATATAGTGAGAACTTTGAGAGAGTAACGTCGCCCCTCTCTACACGCGCTCCATTAAAATTCCCTACTTGCTGACCTCAAAACAAAGCTTTTAATGATATGTTTTTGTTTACTTGTTTGCCATTTTAGACCCCCTTTTCTCTCTCTCCCTCTCCCTCTCCCTCTCTCTAGCTCTAGCTCTATTTGCTCGTCTTGATAATAACAAAAATAAAGAAACCTCCAGACCCGATCCGTTTGATGTCTGGCACTCTACAAAGCGTAGACTTTGATGCATTGCCACTTGGTGCCTGATAAGTTTCACCCAACCACCCTCGCTTTCATTGGCGATAAATCGCAAAAGGCATTAAGTGACTTAATCATAAGTACTCCCCATATCTCTATATGCATTTAGATAATTGCTAACCATAAAATAATAATAGTTAAGCTGGACAGTCGGTTATGCCATATGGTTACCAGGGGAAAGTGTAGTATAACCCCTAGTATTACGCCTGAGAAGGATTAGTAACCTATTTATATTATTTATTACAATTTATAAATAATACCCAAATAATTCGAGATATGCCCAGTTGGAGAATGAATACATTAAAATTGTTGTCGATATATGTATATAAAAATTCGGATAATATTTAAGGAAGACACTCATCTTGTTATTATAAGGTGTGCGATTTTAACCCTCTAAACATTAAACGTAATCTTAAGATATTAAATATCTTGTTATTATACAATAAGATCTCTATCAACATAAAGTGTAATAATTGTTTGAGAAATTGTTCCAAATACATCCATCCTATCACAAAATTTTGATGCTGATCTTCAAAAAAATATAGTTCAAAAGATGTTTCTCGATTTGAAACTGAAACTATTGTATACTAGAAGCATTTCTATATATTTTGAAAGGAAAATGGCTCGATTTATGTGGATTAAATAATCTTACTTAGTGCTCATCTAACCCTACAAAAATATTTTAAAATACTTTCGTCAAGCAAAATATTTACAAATAATACTGATAAGGGTTGAAGCCTCTCATAACACGGGAATGATTAATTAATGTTAACCTTTATAGTAAACTTTACTAAGAAATATAAGTGCTTCTTAAATTCGTATCCAAAATAGTATGAATCAATCTCACTTGTTGCATGTCATAGACGTTAAATTGAAAATTTATCACCGCACGAATTCAATTCCAGAGTGTAGAATCGAAAATGAGCTACGCTTTTCACATACACAAGTCCCACACACTATCAGATTGGACTGTATAATAGGGTATACATGTATATAGGGTAATTCAGTCGTCAATGGCGCATTAAATAATTTACAATGCCTGGAAAGGCACCACGCAATCAGGATGAAAGGGTGAAAGGCGTCTAAGGAAATGCAATTTCTGCAACGACTCAATTTTCTAGCTAACTGCAATTACATTAGGAGCAGCTGCTGACGTCACACTGAAACTGGGAGGGCATAAAACCATGACCTTACTCTCGTAGAACAGCTGTTCTACGAGCCCAATCCTATTGCATCAGCTTAAACCCAATTGGCTGTCAATTTATGGCCTAAATTGCTCTCAGCATTTCCTCAATCTCCCAATCCATATTATACATATTTGACTCACATTCGCCCTGTGACAAAAATACAGCGCGTGTGTATGACTATTATCGCTGCTCTCTTTCATTTTCTTGGCCATGTTTTGGTTTTTATTTTGGCCAACTGTTGACGTCTGGCCGGTTTTACGGTGTATCTTTCTCCCTAAAGCGATTCCAAAGTTCAGGTGCTCAGCATCCCTGGACTTTGGCCCCCGAAAATGGTCACTGTGAGATCCGATCCATAAGAAATTTTTCCATTACTATATATAAGAATGAATGTGAAACATTTGAATTGTCATACATTACGTTTTTGGCTCTTCTCTTTTCCGTTTGGTAATTAATTCTCTTTGTCACACACACGCAAAAATTGGCACATGATCAACCTGATCCAAAAAACAGGCCCCCCCTGTATATATACAAACATTCTTCTTTAGTTGATATTTCCCATTGATATCAAAACATGGCCTTCGCATTTATGCCTTTAAATTCTATAAACATTATATATGTATATACATGCGATAGTGAACGCCCTCGAAATTAAGCATTATACTTTAGAAACGAAACTCAGGCGTGAATTTTAGAACCTTTTTATTTTTTACACTTGGTTTACCAAGCGCTAATCGATGCCTAACCTAAATCATCACCTCTACCTTTGGTGGTATGATAATATATATTAACAATTTCCCGTAGCAATAATAACAAGCAACACAACCCTTACTCTATAGATATAGAACATAATTACCCCATGTTTATGGACCCCCAACAAAACACAATTAAGTGTCCCCAGGCTAGGGTACAGTTGGCGACAAAACACAAGCGAAAGCGTACCTTATCTATCACATCAAAGTTCAAGTATAGGCAGGTTTATATTAGTTATTTATTTGGTCACTTCGATGTGGGGCCGGCAGGAGTAATAAAAGCTTGTAAACTAATTTCGTTGTTGTCGCTTGTATAAATGAAAAAAGAAGGAAAAACAAAGCCTGCTTAGTCTGCTTAAAAATATCAAAACACAAGTGGCCCTAAAAGGCATTCACTGAAGCTTGTTGTTTGGTTCTAATTTTAGATGATAATAGCTCAGCCTCCGGAGGAGGCACCTCTTTTCCCCCTCCTCCACTTTTTCCCCCTTTAGGTGTGCTACTTGGCCTGGCATTTATTTCTGCTCACGTCAGTTGCCATTTTTGTTGCAATGAGAATGAGGCTAGGGAACTTTTAACTCGAGTTCAGGCTGTTTACACAGAAAATAAATATAGAAAAGTTAAAATTATACAGAAAACTAATTGATTTATATATTTTTCTGAATATTAAGTTGATTTATAAACTTAACTAACAGTTCATATATAAAAAGCTTGTGTTGAAATATGTATTGCATTTCAAAGCACACTAAATTGAGTTTTATGTAAGTTTAAGTACTACTTTCAACTATTAATTAGGGTTATTTTTTAAAGGTAAGACAGTTTCTTGATTTATATACATTTTCATTTCCCCCTTTAGTTTTTGTTTTATACCCTTCTAGTACTAAAAACATTCATAAATAAATAAACAAACACAAGTAGAATTTTCTGTGCACGAAAGCCACTCAGTTTGAGTGGGTTTTGGGTGGCCGCCTGCTGCGTGTTTGGTTATTGGGTCAGGTTGAAGGCCTGGATTTCGGGATATATGTACATAGGTATAAACATACATATCCTTGAAGTGGGTGGGCGTGACATTGAAACGTCATTGAAGGCCACGTGCCGGCTGTCATTGCCGCCGCTGCTCAATGAAGTGTGGGCGGGCGGTATATATGTATATAAAAAAAATAAACGCTTTCCTTTGCCCGTCCTCATGTTTCAGTGCCAAAACTTGTTTATAAATTCAAAGCGGCTCTCGTAAACAAGCCGAGTTATTCTGACTTCCGTTTTCTTTTTTTTTTTTGCAACAGGCAGCTGACTGAGCGTAGGAAAAGCCAAAAGCTAAAGCTGAATTGAACAGAGCAATTCAATTGTTTATACTGCAAGTTTGTGTCTGCCACTTGGTCTCCCTCGGACGCTCTCGTCGCACAATCAACAGTTTGCCGGACAACAAAAAATAATATAAATGCTTAATTGACAATTCAATGAAACGAAATTGGGTATTAGATAACGGGAATTTTGCGCAGTTTAAACATTTCGAGTCAGATCAGGTTTTATAGTAAATTATAAATGAAATTTAAGATAGAATTCGAATATCAGTTACTTACAAAATTATGCTATATGTATTGGAAAGAATTAATTTTCAAGTTCTATTAATTTATTGCACTAAAAAGGAAAGAATTTCTAGGTTATTAGGGTTTAAATATCTCTTTTTCTACAATTTTCTCAAAGGGAAATATTATAAAACACCCAATAGTAATCTTTACATTTAAAAGTCTCAAGTTCACCTTTTCAATATCCGGTTAAGTCTAAACTTCACGTTATAATAAAGAAAGCTCTTTTATCTGGATAACTTCCGGTTATTGTCCCTCTTTAAACTACAGAGCTTAAGCATCTCCTTTGAAATTAAAATTAAAAAATCAACTATTACTTAGCCCTTGGGTTATCTATTACGTAAGTCCTCACTTTCATGCACATTTAATAACAAAAGGCTATATTCTTCAATACACTTTCTGATAAGATTAATTAATATAAGGGTTCACCGCACACAGTTAAAAAATATTTACTTACCAAAATCCATAAACTGCTTTATGGAGAGCGGCGACGGGTTAAAGCCCGAATAGAAGTCGAGCATTTTGGCCAGGCTCGCCATCGAGGAGGAGGCCGAGGAGGCCGAAAAGCGGACTGGGAACAGGCGCATGATGTGTGTGTGTGTGTGTGTGCCTGTTTTGTATTTTTCTGGTTCGCGGGGGATTACTCAGCTGCTGATTGCGGTTGCCGGTAAGTCTTTGGGGCTTATCTTTAACAACTTTGTTTGCTACTTCTTCTGATTTACCAGATATTATAATACATTTGCCAAGAGCTGAAGAGACCGGTGTCCTTTCGCTCACCTTCGCTTTCGCTCTCTTCCTCTCCCTCCCGTTCTCTTTCCGCAGGACGTTGACCGGGCGGCAAAGCTCTCACTTTCTTTCCAAAAAATAAGGAACAAAAGAGAGACCAAGAAACAGCTGGCAACGTCTTGAAAACTCTCTGGCGGCGACGGCGGCAGTGCTCAATAAATCAATGGAGCTCTGGGCTTAACAACAAAAAACTTTAACTTTTGCGAAGAATGGTAGCAAATATATACATATATGTATGTTTTAGTTTTGGTTTTTTTTGTGTTAGCTCTCCTGCCTATTGTTGTTATTGTTGTGGGCGGCGGCGGGGGAGGCGGGGCGACGTCTCTGCTGCGGCTGCTGCTTCTTCTCCTGATGCGCCATAAACGTGTGAGTGATGCTATTTGTACGGTATTTTACACTTTGTTGTTGGTTTTAGTTTTGTTTTTGTGCTCTCTAAATTGCTGCTGCAGTTCGGCTTCCGTTCTAAGCGATCGTTGTTATTGTTATTATTTCTTTATATTGTTGCGCGACTCCAGAAATGAGCGGAGCGCTCTGGATTTACCTGTTTTTATATTGGTCGAAGCTTTTTGCCATTCGCCCGGAAGAGCAAAGCTCTTTTGATAATGATAGTATCAATGTTTTGAAAACTTGCTGTTATTTAACATTTTACATCTTACACGTCTAGGTAACATTTTTCCACGTTTCTGATGTAAAAATTAACAGAATTCTCTCTCGTTGGCTGTCGGGTGCAAGGCTGCCACTTAATTTTTGCTATTCGCCCGGAAGAGCACAGCTTTCGTCGGGAAAGCAGTATCGGTTAGCGTTCTAGCTGAATTTAAAATTGAAACTTCAACCTATGTTATTAATTAAAATTTCATTCTTGCTTGCACTTTGATATAAAAATAACCTTAAAAGAAAAACAAACCAAGAGTTAAGCGTTAACATTTAACTTAACATTAACAGTATTAATATTATTGTTCAAGCGATGGATTTATACTTGGCGCGCAATGATAAGAAATAAATCGATTTTTTAATCACAATCCAGCCTTTGGCTTAAATAACAAAATATTTTCAATTTAAAACTTTTTGTTTTTATTATCTTTTTTATTTATATTTTATTTACTACGCGTGTGCTCTTTTTTTGAAAATAAAAATATACAACAGTTGACAATAGAAATACCAAATTTTACACACGTCTTTCTAGATTTGTTTTCCCGACTCAACAGTAATAATAATAATAGAGTGCAACTTACTAATGATAAATTATAGAATTTTGTAGAGGATGCAGAAAATGTGTTCAGCAAGTAGTGCCTCCGTTCGGTTCTGGCTTGCGCACACACACGGAATGAAATGCAGCAAAGTATCTAGTTGGTATTTAGTTTGGAATACATGTGAAATACAGCAGCCGATGCCTCCGTCCGCCTCCCACTACTTCTCCGCTTCTCCACAGGCCACCTCAGTCCGGAGTTTGCTCCGGATTCGAAGACTTAGATCTCTGTCCCATACGATCGATCGGGACACCGGTCAGCTTTCAGTTCTTGACGGAAAACAGTTGCGCAATCTTGGAGGCGTGGCTCTTAAAGAACTCGTAGCCTACTTTGGAGGCGCCCTTCAGCCTATCCGTGGTGCTGCTGCTGTGACTGCTGACGGTGGACGTCGTCGTGGTGGATGTGGTCACTGCAAGATCGCTTGGCGCCGCTATAGCTGGCTGATGGTGCTGTCCACCCAAGTGGTTATGCGGGAACATGCGTCGCAGAACGTGATTGAAGCCGTTGAAAGCCTTGACACCATTGGATTTGAACCGCTCGAGTCCAAAGGCTCGAATGGCACGCGAGAATCCCAGAACTTGCGAACTGACAAAGGCTCGTCGCTCGGCCAGAGTGCTGCCGTCCGGCTGCTCGCTGTACACGACGATTTCTTCGACGTTCTGAAAAGGTTATTGAATAATAAAGGTATTTGTCATGACCCCAAACTTATTACCACTCACCATTATCTTCTTCATACCCAGATTTCGGGTATAGGTGGTGAGCGTCTTCTTGACCGGATCCAGCACCGAGTCCTCAACAATCTTGACCGGCACATTGTTGTAGAAGCGAGCTCCCCACCTTGGCACGGGATTGGTTTTGGAGAGCAGTCTACGCGAGCGTAGCTTGCCGTCGCGCACCTCTCGCGAGATGGTGTCTTCGGTGAGGACGTGCGTGCTGTAGGGATTTGGGTATCGGTTCCAATACGCAACCACAACGTCCTTCCAGTTGTAATCGAACACGGTCTCCGTGCGGCAGGTGGAGGCCGTCACAACCATTGTGATTGTCCGCTAATGAACTTGCCCAAGCGAGAGTGAAGAAAAGTGAAAACTGCGGCCTGCGTGACCCTGAGCTGAAAAGAATAGAGCAGATAATCAATTGCAATCGCATGTTCCTCGCTATAAATAGCCATCGATCGGTGGGCGAACCTTCAGCGGGCCGGGTGGCTTTCGGGGGGCTTCTGCCGGCTCGGCGTTCGAGCTTCACGGAGTGCGCGGTAGCGACTCGCTGGCACACAAACACACACACTTTGATTTAGCTGGCAGCTTGTGGCGTTGATAGTTGACTTGAAACGTGTGCCCCTGCCCCTGGGAGCCTACTTCTCTGCACAGAGAATTTTGTTGTGTAACTGCGTCACAGCGGAGCCCACACACAGGGTGCCTTGTCGAGTCTGCACACTATTCGTCGTCGTCCTGCTGGCCTGGGGGGCTTGTGGGCCGTGTGTCTCGCTCAGACTTCAGTGTCCGCGTCTTCTGGCTGTCCACGGTTTCATTGTTTCTGTTCTTACAGTTTGTTTTTGCCAATTTGGAGTCCAATTCACGCCTGCTGGTCAAAGGCCATCCGGAAGCTGCCTGCTCGTCAGTGTGTTCGGGAAAGTTCTTATAAACGCGATTGGTCACACTGCCAAACAGCTGTTCAGCAAAGCGACCGTTTTTGATGAGAAGAATATGTAATTGAATATTGGCTTGTTTGTGGAAATGCCTTGTGTACTTAATAATTAGTAAAAATTAAAATTAACTTTGTCTTTCTAAAACAAATTTATATTCAATACTCAGAGGAATTATTATTTTAAGCTATTAATGTTTGTTTGAGGGTACGGCAAGCACTTCTGAGTGATGCCAGATATTTAGTTTTTTTCTAATTGGAAGTTGAGATATTGGTAAACTAACGAAAAGGTCATATTACTGCTATTACTTGCCTACCAAAACAAAGATTACGAAGTAAATCTAACAAACACTTGACAAAATGCCGGTTGATTGGTTTGGTTATGTGTACGCTGCCACGGTGGCCGCCGGCGGAGTTATGGGCTACGCCAAGGCGGGTGAGTAGAAGAATATTCACTACAACACATCGATACAAACTCTATTGTGCAACCCCATGCAGGTTCCATACCATCGCTGGGAGCTGGCCTGGCCTTTGGAGCCCTGCTCGGCTACGGTGCCCATCTGAATTCCCAGGCCACGCCGCGTCCCCTGCTCCAACTGGGCACATCCCTGTTCCTGGCTGGATTAATGGGCATGAGGTGGAACCGATCCGGCAAACTTATGCCCGCCGGCATGGTCTGCATGTTGTCCGTGGCCGCCCTGGTAAAGAATGTTGCCACATACAATCGGTACCTTCCCATTCCCGCAGGCCCAAGGAATACTTAAAGCCTGCCATTGTAGGGAATTTCCAAAATGCTGGACTTGCCAGGAGATTTTTATAATACTTATTTTTCTTCATTTACACAACCATGTTAATTGGGCGTGTTCATTTAAACATCTACATTTGGTGATTGGAAACCTTGGTATAGCGCTGTGTCACTTTCTAAGCTAGCGATAAGATACTGTACTCGCTGGGCGATGAATAAATTTTATCATCTATGCTTTTATCATCTTGCTGGACTAAAATAAACCTTGTTTTTACTTGAAAAGCAATTTTGGCAATATGAAATTGTAGATTAAAAGTCAAACAATTTTTAATTATTATTAAAATTCATAATTTACTTAAATTTTGTGCTTGATGCTCCAACTTACTGAGCCTTGCAACATTGATGTGTTGCCAGTATAAACGAATGTTGTCGAACATGTTTCCAGCAACATAGGTCTAGAAACAAGTTGTTGCTGAGCCCTGCAACAATGATGTGTTTCCAGTATGATTGAACGTTGCCGAACATGTTTCCAGCAACACAGGCTTAGAAACAAGTTGTAGTTCTTTCTGTCACGTTAAATTTAAGTTTTTAAATAAATATACGCCAATTTAAACATCTTAGCCAACATTTTCCAATCCCAACTCTCAGACCAAACTAAATCCAGTGATAACAATACTCTCACATTTTTGTATACAAGTAAAATTATATATTTTTATTCTTAATTTATGATTTTGTTTCTTTTGTGTGTGTGTGTGATAAATTTACAGTTTCATTTATTATACGATGTTCAGTTAACTACAACTAAAACTTAGCTATTACACATTTTTGTTGTCATATAAAAAGAGAGAGCATTAGGCTAGGTAAATATAGAGTAATGATTGTTTTTTATTTAGAATTTAGACTTCTAACAATTGATAATACAATAATGAAATGAATATTTTAAGTTTTCTTGTAGGCAAAGTGCGGCAAGGTAAGTAAAATGAACGATTCTCCACCTTTCAAGCAATTTTCTAAAAGAAAATTATAAATATTTTGTTTTTTTTTTTTGTTTTGTTTTTGTTTGTTTAGTAAAGAGTACAAATTACATATGTTTATCACATTGGAAATTGGGATAATTATTGGTTTTCCTTTCGATTGATTTGTGGCTCAAAGAATAATTTAGGTTGTCCGCCAAAAGGTGTGTGGGTGTGTGTGTGTGTTTGGGTGTGGGTGTACATGTGTGTGTAGATGAACTTTTTACAGAATAATATGTACTATTTTACAAGAATTTGCATTAAATTAAATTATACAAAAATTATCATTACATAATATATGCATGTACTGAACGTAACAACATTGCTATTGTTGTTTGTGTTGCTTTTAACAGAGTATATTTTAAATTAGTTGCGGCTAGAACTAACAACAAATCAATAGTTTTTCATACGAAATAATAATAGTAATAAATTCTAGCTAAAAACACTTTTTAACTGCAAACATTTCCTCGTCCAATTTCGATGGCAGTGACGTCGACGCGTGCCAGCTCCAAACGTTCCCCAAATGTTGCTGCATTGCACTTTCACTAGAACGGAAACAGCTTCCAGTTAACCACTGTGCGGGCGGAATGATGGAACGGAAGCGGAAACGGAAGCGGTGGAAACGAGAAGGAAATACAAAGAAAATTAGTGAAACATGTCAAGTAGAAAATTTTTTTTATTGGCGTGCAAAAACAATGAGTTTCTTATATTCTTATGCAGTTTATAGAGATATATATTTTTGCGAACGCCGGCCATTATTTTGAATTAAGTGGGTGTGTGTGGTATGTGTGTGTGTTCCATTCCATGCGTTTCCATCTGCCAAATTACTTTTGTTTCACTTTTGTGCCATTCCGCTGCCTTATATTTAGTATGCAGAATGCGTTTATTTCAATTCCATCATTCTTGTTGATCAAATAATACTTAAGTGCTACGGTTATAGATGTTTCGATATATCGTTTCATATATATTGATATTGCCTTCAAACAGTGTGTATGCGTGTGTGAGGAATAGAGCGTGTATGTTGAGTGTTTCTATGCTGGAATGTGTGTGCGCATGTTTCAATGCCAATTTTTGTCATTTTCGATTTTATTGCGTATGTGTTGTGTGGTTGTGTTGGTGGTGGTATCGTATGTGTTCGATGCAATTTTAGAAAAAATATATAGAGGAACTAGGAGGAAATCAGCGATGAGTTTTTGATCTTTCGATATATTTTTGGATAGATTTTTGTGGTGGTAATGAGATAGTTTTCTGCAAGCATGCTTTATGAGGTCGAGGTCTGCGGATGTGTAAATGCGAATGTCCCTACTAACTGCCGTTTCGGAGGCGAGCGATGATTTCAACTGAAATGCAATTCGATATTATTCTAGTTCATGCCAAGATATTAGGTAATTAAGTTTCAAGAACTACCATTCGGTACTACAAAAGTTAAGAGGGTGTATATGATCGATGCAATGCCAGATGCCAAATGCTTAAAATACGAGGTAAATCCATATTATAGCTAAATGGACCGTTACGAATGCGTACTGCTATGAGTTTAGCCCTGGTCCTTTTGCGCTTCCCCTTGGGCCTCAGCAACGCGTCGGAGTCAACAACCAGGATTATATATTGAAAAAGGCAGGCAGCATAGTAATAAATAGGAATAGAGGACTAATACTATTAAACTATCGCAAATCCATGCTCTACTTTTATAATTCGTAGCGTACTTTAGGGCCAAGCTTTAGACTACTGAGTTAGGAACCCGACTGAATTGCTGGATTGGTTTGGGCTTACCGCACGCAAGGATAACGAATCGGTATCGCTATCTGTATCGGTATCGGTATCGATCAGTTTTGGCATTTACTTGTGTGTGATGCGTGTTGCTTTGTTTAGTGTGTGTGGATTTGTATTCTGATTGGTTTTGGGGAGCCGTTGAAGGTTTGCTGGAGGTTCTCCAAGCTCTCTGTTTGTTTTTCTTTATCATATTTTTTTGTTTCAGGCTAGCAGTAGGTAGTAGTAGCTTAGGCTAAATTGGTAGCAGAGAGAAAGAGTTCCCAGAGTTGCATCTTCTTGCAACTTTATTACATGACTCGTGTGCGTCTTATTAGTTTTTGTGTCTTGATTTTGGGTTTCGATTTCGGTGTCTTGGCGGTTGTCTCCGTGACATTACTGTTGCTGTTGTTGTTGTTGTTGTTACTGTCCAACACCTTTGGCAGGTTGTTTGTGGTATCGCCAATGTAGTTGGTAGTCTGTTCTTGGGGACTACTACTGCTACTACTAGTTTGATATGCCTTAATACTACTCCGATTGGGCGTACGTTTTAGGAAGGCACTGCCCCCGCTAGGTTGCTCCTGCTGCTGTTGCGCCTGTTGCTGCTGTTGCTGCTGCTGCTGTTGCTGTTGCGATGATGTTACCGATGATGACACAAAGGTGGTGGTGGTGGTGGCCGTCACCGCGCCATCATGCAAGGCTTGCAGTTTTTTAAAATACGCATCGAGGAATGATGATGTGGTTATCGGTTTGGCGGATGCTGTTGTCTTTTCGGTGATCGGTATCGGCGCAGCTTTGGTTGTGGCTGTTGTGGTGGTGGTTGGTGTGTGGAACTTACGTTTTTGCCGCTCAATCGCTTCATTGCTCTGAATGCCGGCAGTTGCTTCGTTCTCCTCATCGGGCAGGCCGTCCTGATGATGTTGCTCCTGCCGATGTTGCTGCTGCTGCTGCTCGTCCTTGTTGCTGTTCGGTTTCGTGTTGCTGCTGCTGCTGCTGGTGCTGGTGCTGCTGGTTACACTATAATTTGTAAGGCGTTTTTGTTTCTGTACCAAGGGTATTTCGACTATCGACTGTTGTTGTTGTGACTGCTGTTGCTGTTGTTCTGGTTGCAATTTGGTTGCATGTTGTTGTGTCTGTAGCATGTGTAAATAGTATTGGATTTGTTTGCGTAATTCGTGTGTATAGATTTGGAATAGGTTCGGTGTTTGTGTGGTTGTTGTTGTCGGTTTGGGTGTTGTTGAAGTGGCTGAGGGAGCAACGGAATTGCTGCCGCTGCTGCTGCTGACGCTGCTGCTGATGCTCGTCTGGACCAGGACACGATTTTCGGGCAGAATGCGATGCAGATAGCCAAAGGATTTCGATTTGGGCCTAATGGTGGTCGTGGTCGTGGTCGTTGCAGCAGCAGAGCCACCGGCAGCAGCAGAGCTCTGCTCGATCTTGTTGTCCTGCCGATTGGCCTCCTGCTCCTCGCTACTAGTGTTGCCCTCATCCTGCTCCTCCTCATTACTCTCGTTCTCGTTCTCATTCGCATTTTCAGTCTCATCCTCTTGCGAATCGGTCTCCTCACTACTATTTTCAATATCCTCCTCTGCATCTTGTTTCTTGTTGTTGAGTTTACTATGTTTATTAAATTGCAGATTGTTGTTGTGTTTGGTGTGCGTATTGTTGTTGTAGTTGTTGTTGTTGTTTTCGAATTGGTGTGTAAAGGTGTAAAAGTTTGTATATTAAAAAATTTGTTTGCTGAGTGTAATCGTGTGTTCTCAAAGGTTGTGTGCGTTTTGTATTTATTTATATTTTTTTTAGTAAGTAAAAAAGTCTTAGCTTACACAACAAAAACTACGGGGAAAAACAGTCTCTTCTAAGGGGTTTTTTACTAATTTTACTGTACTCACTTGTATACTAAACGATAGTTGTGTCCATAATCGGGAATAATATTGGAAGGCAGTGGTGTGCAGCGACCATCCAGACAGTGCTGTGGATTTATGAGAAATATATAATTAATTTTGGATTCATTAAAGATGGGGAATGGGAGCCTGGAGTTTAGAGCCTTTCGATAGCTCTAAAACCAACCGGAAAAAGTAATTTGGCGCAATGTATCTTACTGCTTCTTTTAAGGATTTTACTCAAGGAAATTCTGTCCAAGATACTTACATAACCATTACCGCAGGCCGAACCCTCAGCCGCTGGTCTGTAGGCCACACAGTATCCTGTCTGGGCGTCGAAGCAGAAAAGCTGAGCACACACTCGCTCGTCCTTGAAGCAGGCGTAAGTACCCCGATCCCTGCGGCACTGGGCGTCCAGTGAGAGTAAAGTTCCTGGCAGCGATCTACCCAAGGCGCTGTCCTCATGCGGGGCATTGTGCAGGCAGGTGGCAGTGTCTCCACTGGAAGAGGAAACATTAATCATTAAATCATCCTCTTTGAAGAAAAACCCTCAAACTCACTTGAGGAAATGATGGAAACTCTGGACAGTGCAGGCTGACCATCTGAAACCTCGCTCCGTGTGACGCAGATCGGACATGATGTAGCCATCCTCCCAGCGACAACGCTGGGCACCCGGTCCGCCCAAGTAGCTGGGCGGCGGTGAACCGTCATGGACCGCTCCCAGCCTGAGAAGCATAAAAAAAGTATAATATAGAAATATGGCCGCAGAGCATGGAACACATTTTGATTGAGCGGGGAAAATGTTAATTGATTAATTGCACGCCGAATGATGTCAAACGGAAATGCAAACGAGTTTCATTGACCAGTTTCCAGCAGCGGAAATTATTCATGTTTTTGTATTTGTATATTTTTTTTAGTTTGGGTGCGAAATGAACTCCCGATCGTGGATTTGGGGCGTTAAATAGAGTGTGTCTCTAGGGGAAGTGGAAGGTTCCGCTTGCCAATCCACCAATAAACGGACAGAGATCAAACAAATCATATTTATTTATTGCAAAAAACACGTTTTTGATTAGGGAGTGGCAATAATGTATCTTTTGTATGAGAAAATATTTAAAGTTGTCAGAAAAAGGTTCATAGGCTTTTATTACTATTTAAAAAATTCTTTAATCTTTCTTTTTAATTATGACTTATTTTAGAACCTTTTTAGGACACTAAATGCCTTCCTAAAATTATAATTTTTTTAATGCTTATAACTCACAGATGTCCCACTTCATGGGCAGCCACGATGATGCCACTGAAGCCGCCGGTGTCCTCGATAATGGCCACGCTGTTCACCTTCTCCAGTCGCTTGTTCACCACGCATGCGCCGCCGACGTAAGCAAAGCCTTGTTTTTTCCAAAAGAAAACACACGAAACACACCGAAAATTAGGCAATTAGTTGGTTGTTTTGTGGTTTCTGCTTTTCTCAAACACATTTTCTTTTTCATTTTATTTTTCTCTCTCTCTCTCTTGTCCAACAGGAAGTTGACAATTTTTATTCAAGTCGCCAAACGCTGTTGCAGTTATTAAATGAAAAATCTAATGTTGTTTTTTTTGTGCAACTAAGCAATTAGTTTTTCTCTTTTCGCTTTCAAGCATCGTATTTTATTTTTACATAATAACTGTAACCGCTGAGAGAAGCTTGTGATTGTGAGGGGACGGGGGGAGTAAGTAAATCGGTGTGAGAGAGCAATTAATTAGTAGGTGCATTTAAATGTGTAAATTTAGTCACAATTACCATTACTTAGATACGATTAGTCCAGAGCCCAGAGTAGTTTAAAGTTCACCAATGTTAGTAAGTTGAAAGAGTGTGGCTTTGAATATATTTAAAACTATAAAATATTCTTTAGAAAGCATACAAAATCAGCTGTTTATTTTAATGAAATATTTCCAGAACCTTTTTTTCTTACTATAAGTATAAAGCAATCTTTTCTCATTCTAAAATAATTAACTTAATATATTTATTTACATTTCATGTAAAACTCCTTTCATAATTTTGTAACGCTGAAACTCTTATAATGTTTATTAGTTATATATGGGCACACAAAATTGAAAAGGTTTTTATTTGACAATAGAACGGAAACGAAAGTTTGAGAAGCCTTGTGTTCGGGAAAATAAATATTCCATGCAGTTGACACAAACAAATGCTGGAAAATGCTAAAGAAAAGTTGAGAGATATATACACACAAAAACGAAGACAGATTGATAGGCAAAGAAACAAAGTTTTCTGTACAATTTAAAGGCTTAAAGAAACATCTCAAATTTAGCCGGAAACTGTACAGTTTGAGGAGCACGCCACAAGATGGCGCATGCGAGCAGCCATTTCCTGTTCTTGGCGTTCTTTTTACTTTGCTATACACAGGCGCGTGCGAGACACAAACAAACACACAGAAATTCGAATCTCAGAAAGAGAGAGGCGAGATATAGAGAAAGAGATAGAAGGAGGATAAAAATAGAGACAAAGAGACGTGCATGAAATTCAATTAAATTTGCTTGATTTTGTTGATGATGGAGCGACGCATTTTGGGTTCGGCGGTGACCGCCTTTAATGTTATTTATTTTTAACGCGTTTGCTTAACTTCTGTGTTTCTTTTTTGCCAGTTTTTTAGCGTTTTTTTTTTGTTTTGTTTTGCATTTATCTGTACAGATGTTGGCTAACAAATTGGCAGCTAGTGGCTGGGTCTTTACCTGCGGTACCGCGATTACATTCACCATAAGCGGAGGTGCGACGGCACATATCAAGTCTGCGGGCGAAAATTGTTCAAAAAATGCGTAGAAATTTTTAGATTTCGTTTCGTTTTTGGGGTGTTTTCAGCTTCATTTAATCAATTATCTCCCCAAGGCGTTTTGATCGATAGTTGTTTTCGCTTCGCCTCGATCGGATATAATCGAGAGCATTTGCGCACAAATATTTTGAGTCACAAATGGTGGCAGTTTTTGAGGAGAGTCAGGAGCGGAAGAAGTATTAGAAGAAACCCTTAAAACTTCTACAAAATTTAACTACTGGCCTTAAAATCTAGCCTAAGAAAGTAGTATAAAGCGCATTCATTGCTTAGCTCTCAGTACTAAAATAATGTTGAAAAATATTAGTTATTTCTTTTAGTTCTTAGATTCTAAGATTTACCTATCTATTATTATTACTCATACTCATTAAAATATGAGTAATACATAGTCTTAAAAGAGTCAAAAATACAATAAAGCAAATATTAAATAATTACTCATAAATAATAACCCTTTTTTAATAAGCTTTTTAGACCTTTTCCTCTAGTAACTATATTTAAAGGCCAAACCTATAATACCATATCCAAGATATATATTTTAATAGCCTGAATCTCAGAATCGTTTGATAAGATTTCTCACCATATGGCTCATAAACCAAAATTAAATGTTAATCTAAAACTCGATGTAAATGTATGCTTCAACCAATGAAACCTTAAAGCAGGTACAAAATACTGAATAAATCAACCGGTTTAATGCTACACAAATTAGTTTAACGCTTTGCAAGATTAACTTTTTTCTTTTTTTTCTTTAATTTTGTAAATTATCTGTGTCTGTATTTGGTGTTTAGTGTGAGTATGTGTCGGTGTCTGTATCTGTGTTGTATAAGTAATTGATTAAGACCCACACGCAAATTTAGTCAACTTAAGTTTGTTATTATTATTATTTTTACTTAATTTCTTGTATCTTGAGAGGTGCAAACGAAAAACTAGCTAAAATATGTTAAACACCCGCAATGACATTTGTTCTATGTGCGTGTGAGAATGTGTGTGTGTGTGTGTGGTCATGGGTGTGTGTTTTGTGAGAATCTAAATCTATGATTTTCCTTAAATTGGTTTTTGAAATCTGTCTTTACCCGCTGTGCCCTTGGTGCAACGACCTCCTTTACGCCTGCGACACATATCATACCTAGACACGAGTATTTAATTTAATAATATTTTAAAATACATTTCGTGGGAAATCTTGGGTAGAAAAACTTTTGTTGATAGTGGATAGAGGTTTTAGAAAGAGGAAGTACTGCTCGGTGAAGGTTTCACTGTCGATGCTGCAAAGAGAACTCAAAACACACAAGATAATTTGGCCAGAAGCCAGTTTAAACTTACTTGGTTATGGCCACGGCAATATCGTAGACGGGCAGACGTCGTTCCCGGAACAGATACTTTCCCATGTCCGTAAGGGCAGCGGCTGAATCAATGGCATCTCGTCCCACTCGGTTACGCTCCAGGTAGGGTGTGGCATCACGACCCTAAAAATGAAGGGAAATTAAAGTTTATTAAGGGATTATTACGATTACTATTAATACATATGTAGATATATTTATAGGAATATGGGAACAATTGCTCTTAATGTTTTTAACTTTATTAAGAACGGGTTCCTATAAAAATATCTTAGTATAAAGCTTATCTCACTTTGATCTTAATTTAAAATATTATACTCTAAAATCCCTTTTACAAATACAATATCTTAAATAACTAATAAGAACAAGTTACTTTATTATCTCTTTACAACACCTTTTTCTTACCAATATTACCCAATAATTAATTCCCTTAAGCTGACACTTATAGCCCCCATAAAATTCACTCTTAAACCTACTGGCCCACATAAGAATGGGCCATCATTTGGTAGTGAAAATGTCCAAATATTCGTACAAAATCCCATTGCAATGATGCAACTGATTTGGCATTTTGGCTGGATGACGCGAAGCGAATGGTAAGAGCTTCAAGTGAAATATTTATGGCCCATTCGATGGTGAAAATGAAGCTGGAAACTAAAAGTCGAAACGGAAATCAAGTGAACGTGAAAAACGTGCTGCAAATGCCGCCGAGTCAAGCGATAAGGCCAATGCAGTAGGAGATGATCAGCATTGAAATTGCACAGAAAAACTAATCTGAGTTCTTTGATTAAAATTTAATATTAAAATAATATAATGAGAAGTGTTTATTAACTCAAAGTTTAGTGGAAATTTTGATGGAATTGCATTTATAAAGAGATTTTTGTCAATTGAAAACTGACGATTAATGTTTTGGTATTCTCTTTTTTGGATTAGTTACTATTTTTATTCTTTAATAAAAATGTCTCTTAAAAGAATCCTCGTAAAACCCACGAGTCTGAGAAAATAGAATTCCTATTTATTTATTATAAGAACAACAAATACATTGTCACAGCTCCATAAATCTCTTTATAAAAGTGTCAGGGCCACATTAATTTCCATACAAACTCAAGTTATGACAAATGTCTCGTTTCACTTAATCCAAATAAATCTTAAATATTAGTTCCACTCTATGACATTATTAAATTTTTTCTCTGTGTTTGGATCAGCGATCGAAGCGGGCAAAGTCAAAGTCGTGTGGGCTTCCTTTAAAATTTCGTTGCTTTTGATTGTTAGGCTAGGCCATCGTGGAAAACCAGTTGCAATTGTGCGTTGCATAATTGGAGCTGCAGTTGCAGTTACCGGTTGCAGTGGCAATTTCATCAGTTATGTACATCCGAGGGCAACTTTCAGCATTCGTAAATCCACAACAATATTATATATATATTGTATAAAGCGCATTCGTGTCGTGACCCATGGGGCGTTTCTCAGATATTGACCAAAGTGACAGCTACATAAATTTAAATAACACAATTGTCAATCACTTTGAGCCCTAGGCAAATCAATATGTTAATACGGCTCTCATGGCTAATCTGTGTGCTTTTGCGAACCAGTTGCACTTCCAGTTTAAGCAGCAGTCTCCGGTGCAGGTGATAAAACCAAAGTTAAGTGACAAACCGCACTCGGTTGACACATTTGATTTGCAGCCAACTGCAGAGAATAGTAAAAAATAAAACAGTCTCGGAACGATAGAGTCACTGAGAGATCGGTTTTGCTTGTATTTTTTTCTGGGTTCCCAAGTCTTTTTGATAAATTACCAACTAACCGGACGGACAGCAGATGTCGAGGAAATGAACACGGTCTGACAAAGTGATCCATAAAGACATACAAGCACAAACATCACGGAATGGAGTTTGGAAATATAACATCCAGTATATTGCCAAATGAGATGCAAAACGTATCCGCTCGATTGGGTGTATCTGTATCTCAGTATCTTTGTATCTGAGTCCGCACTCAAAGTCTATCCAATGGATCTGACACATCTGATCATTTGAGAGTGCGAGCACGTCGTTCTCCCGAAATTAAAAATAACAAAATATAAATTCGTATTGAACTTTTGGTAATTTTCGACAGGCGAAAAACTATCAAGAATTTTAAATGCTTCAATTGTGTGGCCTTGGAACGGAATCAAAATGATTGGGAAAGGCAAAAACCTATAGAGTTCAGTTATGGAATTCACAAAATTACAAATAATTGTTATGGAATTGCACTTTGAGTGGTTTATTAGAGCATCAAAGATGCTCCTCAGCAATCAAGTCAAGTTTGGGTTTGTAAGTTCTTTAAAGAAGATGGAAGTATATATAACAGATAATATATTACATAATTCCTGGCTATATGCAAACTAATTGCTGTTCAAGATATTGCTTTGCCTCAGCAATTCCCAGACCTCAACGACCATACACGGCAATCAACGTCACCCCAAGTTGGCCTGGGAAAGACAAACCTTAGACGACGACGACGACGACGATGGACCACCAACAGACGTGGTCCCTCTCCCGACTGGACCATGGATGACCTGGCACATCTTTGATTACAGATTGCACAATTCAAGTGGCAACTTGTATAGCCAACATTTGTCAAATAATCGGAAAAAGCCACAAAAAATATAAAAAATATATAAGAAAAAACTTATCAAAAGAAACTGTCAGTTAGGACCTAAAATGTAACCGAGCCACGACCGGGACCGGTTTGCCTTTCCCCCGAAAATGGAGTACAAAGTGCGGCAAAAATTCAAAAAATAAACTAAAGCCTTGCGACAGTTTTGCAATAGCCTTTTGTGCGTAATTAAAAGCAAAAATGAAAATGTTATATATTTTAATTTAATTTTTGCAGTCTGGTCGCCAACTATAAACTCCGGTTTTTCCACAGAGCCTTTCCTTTGGTGGGCCGGGCATATAAATCTTACCGACCATAAAAAAAAACTAAAAACTAAAAACTGTCAATGCAATTGCCTGTAATTTCTAGCATTTCGCAAGGCTGGTCACTAAACTATCCAACAGGGTGGTGGACACTGGCTCACACCCACTCGGACACACACACCACACACTACACACACCCACCCAATGACATACGCTTTGACTTTCAGCGCCCACACAGCAGATAAGTCTGAGCTTGGGGGATTGGGACACCACCCACAGAGCGAAGCCGTTTGGGTCAAGATATGAGGGAGACTTTTCCTTTTACTATACCCTATAACTAGCCATGAGTCCACAAGGATAAGCAGCTTAAATTAATAAGTTTATAATTATTAATTAAGGGAAGAAAAAGCTGCTGATTACAGAGCCTCTTCAAGTAAGTAAATAATACTAAAGGGCTTTATATCATATTCATATTTTTATCTCAGCTACTTCTGATAGGAAAACCATTTTAAATTGCTTTATCCAATTAAAATATATAACTTTTTCTATTAATAAATCCCATTACTTTAAAATATAAATATAATCCATCATCTTAGCTATTAAACATCATCATAAAAGAGCAATTATTTGAAAAACTAAAATATAAGTAATAAATATGCACCAAATGCATTAATCTCCTGAAATTAAAAGTCAGATTATGAACAAGTTATAACGATTATTTGCACTACCATTTCCCCGTTAGGGTGTTGAATACAAGATGAATTTTCCGACTTCTCCCCCACTTGGCAACCATTTATTTGTTTATTTATTTATTTGCCTGCCTGCCTTTCTGCCTTACTGCTTCTATATCCGAACTCTCTGGCACGTTTCCATTTGCATTAATGCAATTTATGTATGTCTGCCACTTGTATTTTTTGGCTACCGGCACCCTATATACTATATACACCATGGACTCATGGGGATATGGGTCTGCAGGAGCGAGAAATGTGCCCTGGGGCCAACACCTGGTCAGCGCCCTATCCCGGGCCTTCGTTAGTCGTGTGGAATTTGTTATGACAAACTGGCAAATATGAAAGCTGGCCAGAGTAATATATATTTGGTATTATTTTTTGTATTCTGTTGGGTGTGTCGCTCCATGCATTTATTTTGGCATTTCTGTGGCACTTTAGATAGAGTCGTTGAGATAAGACTGAAACGGGAGAATGCCAAATGTCGATTGCTTTTGAAATTGGGGATAGTCCAGAGAATTCTGGCAGGAAGTTAGGTAAACCATTTTTTGCGATATTGCTCCATTAATCAATTGGTGGAATTCCTTTAGCTGATAGCGCTGTGCTGCAGGTGATCATAACAAGTCATAGATACAGATTTATAAAGCCAACACTATATATCAGATCACAAAAGCTATGGGATTTAGCGTGGGGGTAAGGTAGGTAGCTTAAGTCGGCTACCGACTTGACTTGAACTTTTATCTGTGACATTTAATTAACATTTTAATTAATTGCGGGCAACTTTCCGTTAGAAGCTAAACAGCCTTCCCCTGGAGTCCCCCTCCCTACTGCTCTGCCTCGACAAGTGTCGAACGCATTGGCGCTGCGCTTGCGCCACACACATATTTCAGTGCGGCCACAGCGGCAACGTTGCGTATGCGCAATTTATTAGGTGCGTATCGTGTGGCGAACATGGAGAAATACGTCAAAGCTCGACGGGCTGTTACTTAGTATTGAATTTCACAGTTGATTGAGAGACATTAAAGCTTAGTTTAATATATAATTTATGTCTGTCAAGAAGTATTTATTAACAAATTCCTATTGTATTTACTATTTATTATCTAACTTAAATGTTTCCTATACTTTATATGGATTTTCTTTATTTGATAGTAACCGAAACTCTCCCAGTTTACCCTTTTATACTAACAGAAAAAACCATTTAATAATCCCCCTTGGCCAAAATGTAATTTGAGCGCTTGCCACTCGATTAGAATTTTTGATTTGGCCAAGTTTAGCTCTTTGGAGTTAAGAGTTGCCTACGTAACTGGGTTGGCACTCGATCAGAGCTCATTGTTCTGCCTCCCATTCATTACCTAGAGAGATAGAGGAGGTAAGGGGTTGCAAAAATAATGACACGATTTGCAGTTCTTAACGCCTTTGGTGCTCCGTCTCGGCCAAGTTACGCAGTTTATGGCTTATTAATGCCTCAGCGTTTTGTTGTCATTTTGTTGCGGCTTATTTATTTATTTTTTCGACTCTCCGTTGAGTTAGAATCAATTAATTGAACAACTCTCGTAGATCTTGGCACTTTGGCGAAGTTGTTGCCTAAGTAATTCTCTTAGTTATTTGTCAATCGGTGATTAATTTATGTGACTTGGGGATTTCGTGCATTTGGGTGTCTCTTTTGGGGCTTTTTGTTTTATGAAATATAAGCGATTGGCAATTGGAAAAGGCATTCGGTGTTTTGTTACTGTCATTGGGGTCAAGTTGTTTGGGTTTATTTATTTTTTTAAAGTTCGCACTCATATATATTATGGCTTCTGTATTGGCCCAGCAATTTATCAAGCAAATCTCTTCCGATTTTAATATGTTTCATAAAGTTGTTTTACGTTTTTTTCTATCGGATATAATTTGTTACCCAACTCAAATTCTGAGTAATTACCCGACTTCCATGCTTTTTCAGTATTTTATTTTTTTGTTGTTGCCACATTCATTAGCGACATAGAAACTGTTTAGCGACGGATGCCGAGATACATTAGGTCTATCTGAATCCAACAGATACGATATGCGTACGCATGTGGGCACAAATCGCACAGAAGAGGAAGTCTGACTTGTGTGAGTGTGTGTGAAATTGGGCAAAAAGGAAAATATACAAAAAATTGAAACACATGCCAACCGAAAAAAAAAAATCTGATCTGAGTCAACTTTGGCTAACGCTGGCTGCAGTTAGCGTGGCCCATTAGATTATGTAACCACGGCCAACACGCAGTCGCAGTTGCAGTTGCAGTTTGCAGCAGCAGCGGCGGCGGCGGCTGTTGCATTATTTATGCGGTCTGAAAATAATTTTTTTTTTGCCTCCGCTGCTTTAAAAGTTAGAGCCAAAGCCAATTGACGTACTTAGGGTAACCCGTCGACATCGTTGTCTCCTCGGAGTTGGACTCAAAGCAGGAGCAGCCGTTGTCGTGTGGGCAGCCGCTTGATGCAACTGGTGGCGTCTATGCTGCAGGTGCCCCAATCCCAAGTCTGTGCCAATTTTCCACTTTCGTGTGCCACATCACTTGGCCCACTCTCTTGCACACTCTCCTCTCTCTCTTGGCCACGACAAATGGCTTCCTGAACCGACGGCAAACTGATTTGTGTGAGAAAGTCTAGGTCCAAGATTGAGACAAAGCGAATTGGTAGTAGCAAAGCCACGAATAATGCTATAATGTTGTCAAAGTGTTTTATGGCTCTCTCTCTCTCCATCTGGGTTATGCAATCAAATTAGTTGAACGTTAATAAGTGAAAGATGTTAACAAAGATCAAAGAGATCACTCACGAATGCCATAAATCATTCGCTGTAAGAGGCACACATACGGTATTAGTTTTATGGCTATTATGGAGCTTATAAAAGACTTCCGGGGGTTCTAAAATATTTGGCTCAATCCAGCTTTAAGCTGATTTTTAACTAAAGGGATTTGGTATAAACGAGCTAAGACTAGCTGTTTATGGTAGCATATTCTTTGGGTTCTTAATCTATAAAGTACTTAAATGTTTTATGAATTTTAAACCCCTAATTGTTTATATGTAATAGAAGTTAAAAACTTATTTGTGGAATCTACAAATAGTTAATGTTCTCTTTCCAATTCCCCTACTCTTTAGGACATCTCAGCCAGAAGGTTAAAGCCAACTTTTCTGGCTAACTCGATTCGCGTGTCCATAAAATATTTCTGTTGCTAATTTCTAGTCTAAGACCAAAAAAAAAAACACATTTAGCAAGGCTCAGAGAGCAGGCACGAGTGAGCACAATACACGGACCAAAATCGTACCAAATAAAAAACTTGTTAAAATTTGTTGGCCTGGCTTTAACCAAATTGATTGTTCACATTTTTTTTCTAACGAATCGAAGCGCATGCGTTGCATGTTTTTCGATTTTTCTATTTTCAGCCAGATTCCCAGATCGTGACAGTTCATTTGGAGCGGGTTTTGCTTGCGGCTACCAATCTGGCCCATATTGGAGTCAGGGGTCAGAGTTGAGTTAACCAAATGGATTACTCAATTAGCCAAATGAAAGTTGAATTTTGCTGCTGCTGTTGTTTTGATTGTGTAATGATCCCCCGCTAGGGGCTTAATTTATATAGATTTTTTGTACTCTATAACTTACTCGTGAAATGATAATGCCGGCAATGCTGATGCGTATTCTGGGTCCCTTCAGCAGGCGATATCTTAGATCCACGCCATTCCAGAATGAGATAAAGTAGCGTTTGACCTGAGAAAAGAAGAGCATATATTATAGAATATAACATAGTATATAATGCACGTATCTGTCAGAGGTACTATACATTCATCACTCTGATAGACTTTCATCTGAGCCGCATCTCAGGCTATTCTTTGGGATTCCTACAAGCTACATAGAACATAAGAACGCACCCAGTTTGGCCAGACAAATAAATCTTTACCTGCGAGTGATGTGCATAATAATTATATTTACGAGGACCCATAAATATAAAAGTAAAGCCCAGGAATGGGGCCTGAACAAATCTTAAAGTTATAAATACTTTTTATTAGAAATAACTGGGCTGTCTTATCCCCTCTGGGGATTTGTCTAACCCAAAGCTATCTATCACTGAGATATGTCTTGGCTCGCATAACATCTACACATGTATCGAACCCCAAAAAAAAAGAAAAACAACTTTTACAAAGCCTATCTGACTGAAATCCGCTCCGGGGCTGGATTGGGTGCGACGGGCATCGACGGCATCGCAAAACACACGCAGAGACAATCCCGAGCTGTCTGCAAATCGCCATCGCAAAACAACTTCATTCGCGGCACCCGTCTCTTAATTTCTTTCTTTTTTTCGGTTTTAACTAACCATTACTTATTTTTATTTTCCCCCCCATTTTCCAGCCATTTGGTTTTCCAATTGAGCTCCCTGTCACGCACACGTACCTGCAAATTATCGCCGCCATGGAGCCGGTAGCCATCGTAGTCGACAATGACCAGGACCTCGGGATAGATGATGTACGGGGCTTGGCGGCGTGACCGGATCCGGGACTCGGCGGTCTGTGGTTCCGTTTCGAGGGCTCCTTCATCCTCATCATTGAGATCCTCGAAATCGGGACTCTTGGGTGCACTGCGTCGCTGGCGACGCTGCAGCTTCTCAAGCTTCTCGCTGGCCAGCAGATCGTCGGGCTCCATGAAGGCTGTGCATAAATAAAAACCGGAAATTGGTGGAATTAAGTTACAAAAAATTAAGCAAAAATCGAATATTGGAATGTCTTTATTATGATATAAGAAGCTGGGACGGGACAAGTCAGGTAGCCGCACAGTTAACTGTATTGGGGATAATTTTTGTGGGGCTTGAGTGAAATACCAGGCATTAAATAAATAACTTTATAGTGATTATAGGTGGAATTTTGGCGCCACCAACTGTTAAAGGGGTAAATGCATTCAGCGAAGGGCGAATTGTTACATTGAACTCTTTTTTTTCGCATTTACGATTACGTCTTCTTATTTCGCATTTTTATTTGTGGTTAAAGATTGAAGCAGGAAATGCTATCGCCCTCACGTTGATCTTTGAGGCGAGATTTATGAAGGTAGTAGGTATGTAATGGATTTCTATGGCATTCTATGGGTCAATAAGCTCATTAAGAACATAGCCTGCTTCTCAGGGGCTTCGAATTGATGATGATGATGATGATGATGATGATGAGACTCACCAAAGTCACTCAGCTGCTCTTCGGCAGCAGTTGCCTCACGCTTGAAGATGATGTGGTGCGACTCCTCGGGATTGGGACTCAGTTCGTGCGGCAAGGGTTTAATCACCAAATCGTGACCAATGCTGCCCTCCTGAAAATATACAAAATAGCAATGTGAGAAAGGTTTAGATTTGCTAATTAATTATATACATATAAGAGGGAAAGGTCGTAGGTTTTATTCAAGTCATAAGTGAACTTGCATTAATAACATTAAATTAACATCGACATTTGTCAAACCACTGACACCGGCAGCTGACTCCATTTCGGGGCAATGCAGACCACCGACGGACATTTAAATAATTTATTGAATTTGTTTTAGCCAACATTCTTGGCCCGCGACTGCGACTGCACTCAGCAATATGAATATGAGTTGCGTTTGAATGACGCTGGCCGAGTCATAAAAATTAGTTGCAATTTGCATAGTTGCACATTTTATGCAAATAATCCGTGATCTAGATAAGAAATGTTTCCACACTATTCTTGGTCTCTCTGTTCGTTTTTATCGCCTTTGTAATTGCAATAATTAGCGGAGTATAAAAAGACCCGGCGGGCCAAAAGGCCTTGAAAAAGGTTAGCTACTAAATTACCGAGTGAACATATTTAGCCAACTAAATGCTTTCGATTCTATTTGCTTACGATTTCGTTTCAACTTTAATTGCCTTTTTTTTTATCGATCATCGGAACTCCCACTTGACCGGGCGTGAGCTGAGCTAATTAAATCTTGGCCATAATGCTATAATTAAAATATTAGCAGTGAGTAAAGCCGGTTGGACATTAGAGCCACCAGCTGAGATCACGCCAATTTAAATACTATAAATAAAGGAAAATGAGTCAGCTAACTTTTCAATTTTATTGATTTCCTAAAGTTATCCCATGGGAATATAAACATTAAGTAATTTCAAGGCAAGTGTTCAAATGAAAATTTCGTTACACAAATCAGGCAAACAAATGACTTAGGCAACGAACTTGGTTTGTGCTCTCGCTGAGCATTTATTGAAAATGCCAAAAAAATCGAAATTAAAATAAATACAAAACGCCAAAGTTCAATGTCCCCGCACACGCGACTTCACTTAAATGTCAACAGAAACCAGGCAAAGCAGCAAAAACAACAACATGTGCCATAAACAAATTGCAGGCAAAGCCAAAGCAACAAATTGCCACTGATGACATGGGCCAAGACATGGCCCGGACCAGAGGAGCAGCCACTTCCAATGCAATTCGAGTGCATTGAAAATTGTTGGAGCTTGGAGCTGCATCTTGCTGGGCACTTGAATTATGATAAATATTTGAGTTAGCGACACTTAAATGGCTTTTGGCACACAGTGCGTATGATAAATGTGCGAGATACAAGCCTGGCATTCACATTGAAAGTAAATTGACAGCAATAACGAGGAGAAGGTGCCAAAAAAGTAAAAAGAGGTAAGCAAACAACTCAATCTCGGTCTTTCTTTCTTATTTCACAACTACACCTCGTTTTGGGAAATGAGTAACATAAATTCTGTGTGTGTCAACACAGTTAATTTAAAGTTATTTGCCATTTGCCAGATCTTTTAATTTACGCGGCTGGCTGGCATTTTTCCGCCCCTCCTCTTCTCGTAACAAATTTTTCACGTTAGTGGCGCTTTCCGCATTTCCACCCCAGGCAGCTAAAGAAAAACCTCGGAAAACTGTAAAGAAACAAGCCATAGCATTTTGGGCGTGTGCTGTGCTTATTTCGGGTTGTTTGTTTTATTTTCCTCAGACTTACTTAATGTTTTGAGGGGGTTACTTTTTTTGGCTTAAGTTTGTCTTGTTTTTAAGAGTTCTGGTACGTGTGTTGTGTAACTGCCAGACTGTAGTTTTCCAAACGCCTCGCCTTGAACGCAATTTATGCGAAAAATCAATTAATAAATTACCCAAATACGATTTATTTACCCAGGCTTAGTGTCTTGAAAGTGTGGCCGATTAATTGCCTCTTAATTGTTAGTTGAAATAAAAACGCTTTTACTTGGGAAATCGTAAAATAAAACTGATGAAACCGAACAACTCAAAGGAATTATGTTCGCTTTCGAATCAAATTGGAATTTTGAAATGAACCTTTGACTTACTTTTCAATACAATAAGTTTTAATTAAGACAATGCATTACTAAATGGGTTTATGATACTGCAATCTGGCTTTCTTTAACAGGGGAATTTTTTAGTAAAGAGTAACAAATTATTCTTATAAAAACTATATATTTTTGTTGCATATAATCTAAAGAAAATAGCTAAATTCCTGTTCCATCAAGTACTTCCTCCATTTCAAATTGCTATATCTTGGCTCCCAGCATAAAGATCCAAATATTTTACGATAATCATGGACCTTACAATTTTTCCGGCTGTCGGCAAGTGCTGCCAGGCCAATTACATGTTGTTCAATGGATAGAGGCTTAGAGTGCATTAGATGGGGGAGAGAGTATAAAAGCCAAGGGGTGTTGAGGTGGGGAAATACAGCAAATTGCTTTCAAATCACGCAGCTTACACACTAAAGATACATTTGCGCCACGGCTATCTCTCAGCTCTCAGCTCTCAGCTGGCCCGAAAATAAAGTTGTCCGAGAGTTGTCTTGTTTATGTAATCACCCACAACACGATTGTTATATATCTTCCAGGGGGGAAGGGGAGGAGAGGAGAGACAAACTGATTTTGGCATTACGCTCACGGGTGCTTTTGACCATTTCAGTTTCAGCTTGAGTTTCAGTTTCAGTTTTAGCATCGGTTTCTGTGTCTCACCAAAAAGTAGAGTAGAGTAGAGTAGCCTTTCACACACCATTTGGGACAAGTGCGCGTATCTGTTGGATACGGATAGACAGACAGCCTGATTGACACCTGCAGAAACGCCCCGCGATTGCAATCAACTGACAATGAGCCTGATTGATTTGTGATGATATTTTCGTTTCTTTCCCCCACTATTCAATTAAATGTAAATCATTTCTACTTGTAATATTTCTCCACAACGGTCGCAGATAATCCATGAATGATTGCATAATGTGACACGCCACTAAAAAAATAAAAGAGTTCACTGAACCAAAAATTTACTTACAATCAAAATTAACACCTTTTCGTATTTGTTTTTTGTGTTTTGGCCTGGCCCAGAGCATCATCGCGTTCAAATGTGCAAATACCAAAAATTGGCAGGCAACAAATATAGCAATAGAAGAGGGGAGGGGTACATAAAAAAAAAAATCACTTTGCGGCTTGTAATTTTTGGGAAATTAGCATAATTTGTGCAAATTCATGACACGAACATTGGCCCCAAGCCCGGCGGAAGGAGCAGCCAGCCGATCATCATTATAGTCATGACTGTTGCTGTTGGCTGCCGTCAAAAAAATGAATGTTAATTGAAATAGAAGTTGCCTGTCTTACACGCGGACTGTGATCACCACAAAAAAAATATATATATATATAATAAATATTAATTCGAATGCAAATGAAACAAGATTTAAAAGAATTATGTACGTATTTGGGCGTCGTTTATATGAAAATCTCTTTCCGATCGAAGACCGCAAAATCAAGGCTGCGTTTTTTTGTTGAATTTTTAGAAATAGTTATTGCTCTTTTTGAAGCCATCAATGGAAATGCGTTAAGGTGTGTATTAATTTTGTAGTTGTTGTCTGGTCTCTTTTTTTTTTTTTTTTTTTTGTTGGTTATCATCTTGGTCAAGGTTAAATCTAATCGGCTCTTAAGATCGCTGTTCGCAGCGAGTGCATGTTAGTCATAAACTACGGCCACGACAATAAGAACAAGAACGGATATTAAAGCTCTTACAGTGAGAGAAATATTGGTAGGTTTATGGAGAGAGCGAAGAGGGAGAGGGAAGAAACCGGCCGTGTTAACAGTTTGTTTACATAAAGCAGCTCGTTAAAAATATTCCGAGCCCACCATCAGCCCACTCCATGCCAGATTCTGAACTTGTATCTGTATCTCTGTTGTGGTTTTCCAACTGGTCAATGAATATTTATAAAAGAATAAAAATCAGCAGTGGGGCAGCAGTGGAGCAGCAGTGGCCACCGCCCATGGCCAGTGGTCAGCAGTCAGCAGTCAGTGGTCAGTGGTGGCCAATGGCTAAAGAACTTGGCCCACACAGCGCCTCTCAAAAGCAATCAAAATTAATTTGCTCACAAAATGTATCTGCCACCAGAACGCACTTTGCTTTTTGGTTTTATTTTTTTGCTTTCAGCGTAATTTGTTGCGATCTTTTTTGGTGCGTTGGTGCTGCAAGTTCAGCGATTGCGCTTTCAAGTTGCCGCTCCAATAACTCCGGATTCGAGTATCTTTTGGGTTGCAAGTGGGCAGGCCTAATGAAGTTCGAGCTGCAGCATGTCAAAGTCAAGTGGATTCGACATCGACATCAACATCAACATCACCATCGGGCTTGACTGACTGCAGGTTATCCTTGCACTCAGAACTGTCTCAGAAGTGAAGGTCTCTCAAGGTTGCCTGACGACAAACTGGGTGCTGCTGCTGCTGATGTTGGGTGTGACCCCTCAGCTGAGATACCAAAGAATCAATCTTTGCATCTAATCTGAATTTAAATATCTACAAGGCTTTAGGGGGCTTTTGGCCACGCAAATACTCAAGAAGCAATCGTAAAGTCAATCTGATCAACTGCAATTGGTTCCATCTATCAACTAATCTATGTCTAGTTAAATCAAACCATATCTCTTAGATACTTTAAAACTATCTCTAATAAATATAAGAAATTGTGAAGCTTATGAAAGTCCACTTCTTTTAATTTCTTTACCTAATGATTAATGATAAACCCCTTTTGATTAATCCGCTTAATTGTAATCGGATCCACTGAAAGATACAAAATCCCCTCAAATTGAATCCCCATCAGCGGGTATCTTACCCAATTTGGCTATCTAAAGCGTGAAAATACCCGGCTCTCTCTCCTCCGAACCGCCCCCAAACCTCCCAGAAAACCAGGTAATGGTCTTAAGCGATCCATGATATGTTTGTTGTTGTTGTTTACGCCTTGACGTAACCGATATCTGGCCGTTTATTAAAATGCAATATATGCGAACGGCACCCGCCAGAAATGTTGTTATCATCTGGTTGCTTGCCACACCACGTTGCACCAATTAAAAAACATTTTTCACTAGGAAATTGCAACCGAAACTGAGGAAAAATGTGCATTTTGATTAAATAATAAATATGAGCAGCGGGGCGTAATTGAAAATATCAAAATTGTCCGGCATTTAATCCTTTGTATTTGGAGCAGGTGTGGCGCGTGTCACGCGGCCATCGCTGGAGGGGATTTTTTACTCCCGATCTCCCGATCTGCATACGAGCTGCTAACTGAAGTTGTCTGAAACCTGTGAATATTGGTAACATGCTCGTTGTTATGTCGACTCGATTTAGTTTCAGTTTTTAGTCTAAAAACATTTTTTGTTTTTCTTTGCGGCTATCGAGTAACGAAAATCTAAAACCCGAAAGACTTGGGCAACTAAACTCGTCAGCAGTTGGGGGTTGTGTCGTCCACATAAGCCTGTATATAGTCTTAACCGATAAATATATATCCAGGGCGGGGTGACCAAACCAATTTGCAAAACTATTTTGCATTAATTTCGCTACAAGCTGAGAGGCTCATTGCACAATAAACAGAGCCGGATCGGGGGCCTAATCAGCTGGAGAAGTCGAAACGAATAAAGTCATCAAATTGTATAACATTTGTAAATGTCGCCGGCGCATAAATTGCAAGTGAATGTCAACTCAATAGACTTTGGCCCATAAATTGTGCAATTTTAACACTTTGGCTGATGATGATGCTGCTGCTGCCTGCAGCTTGGCAAATGCAAATCAAATCGGTGGTCAGCCAAGTATTTAGATATAGAATTTCCAGCCAAGAAGAGCAACTATCTACTATATACTCACACACTGGACTCTTTTGTAAATATCAAGGCCAGCAATTAGTTGGGAAGGTGAGAAGAAGAAGCTCTAAGCGAGACGAATCGAAACTCGTTTTGGCACTTTGGACATGAACGTTGCTTAATGATGACGCTGCCGCCGATGATGTTGCGATTGCCATCAAATAGAGTTGGCCAAAACGAAGCTGAAAGCCGTGTCCAAATGCCGCTACCTCGGCTACCTAATAATTCTGTTTTGCCGTTTACAGCGTTCTGTTTGCTCAAATGGCAGTGTTTATATTGATATTTCCAAACAGTTGTCAAATGTCAAGAGTGTTTTCACAAAGAAAAAAGGGCATTGGGGGGAGTGTGCATTGTAGGTGTGACTGATAAAGTTCAACCAGAGAAGTTAATACACGAAAAAGATGCACAAATGATAATGTCTAGATATTATGACCATTTTGGGGGATTTTAAAGGGTAGGTAGCTTGAGATCTTACCCAATAATATCAGTAAAGTTTTAGAGGATTATCTGATAAAGTTAGCTTTTGTGATCTCTTAAAATTAAAAGTATATAACTTCCCTAAAGAGATCCACAAATTCCCCCGCTAAATTAACAAATTGATTTCAACCAACTTGAAGATACTTTTACCTGTCGACGGCCCTTGCACTATGCACCTCTTTCTATTTCTTAAAAACTCATTAATAGAGAGATGCATATCACGAAAGCACTGCATAATTGCTCTTACGTAAGCGGACCTTTCACGGCGGCTAAAAAGCATTTCATGACTTTCCTGGTTTTGTTTTCAGGGCCAAACAATATATTTCGGAGCTTCAGGTAATTAGCAGCCAAGAGTCATGCCACAGATGCATTCATCACCACAGATGCAACGCCATTGCATTCAATTCATCAGCGGCCGCACGCATTGCTGCTGCAATTAGCATTAATCAAGCTCGGACTCGCCGAAAGATACTTTATTTATTCAAGTGCACAAACAAATGACCACAAGCCTTAAAGGCAAAGATGGGTAAAACAAAAGCCAGCCAGCTGTTAGTACAATTTATTTTGTGCGTCTCGTCTTGTCTGTGGTTCCCTTGAGCTCGTTTCGTTTTTGATAAATTCCCAGACGAAAGATCCGAGGGTCCGAGGGAGGGAGGGAGCGATCTACACCTGTAATTGGCCTAAACAATTAGCCATCTCCTGAATGGTTGTCATCAATTTTTGGAGCTATTTGCAAGGCTTATAGACTTTGCTTGCTTTGAGAGTGTAATTGGCCATGAAATTAATATTCGCATGTAAATGTTTCCCCCCCTCCGCGGGCGATAATGAGTCAATGTCAACACAACACTTTGATTGAGTCCAAATTGGATACATTACCTCGATTGGCAGTGGGTGGCAAGCACACACATTAAAAAGTACATAAAGTAGGTACTCAGTTCAGGTCACTTTGGGCCATTCAAGACAACGACCTTCAACTTCTGACATGTACAAAACATATTAAATCAAATTCGATTTGTGTGCCGCCTCGTTTCCCACACACCGATCGCGGCAACTATCAAAATGATGAATAACTTTTAGGTTGCATCGTTTTTTTTGTTTTTAAGTAGTGTGGGAATCGTTTTGGTCAAAGCTCATGAAGAACCTTTAAATTCCAAGCTCAGTAATGAAGTTAATTCATCGAATATATCCCACAATTCCTTGGAAAATAACAACAAACATTCGAATATCTGATGGAATAGTGCGTGCAAGTCCATAGTTAAGTAAGCTGTAATTAAATTAAATCGCTGACGGGCTTGAAATTTCCTTTGAACGCGTTTTGCAATGGCCCACAAGCAAGTTCGTGTCTTAAGTCTTTCGTATAAAGATTTTGATCACCGCCAAAAATCTCTCCCAACCCCCACTGTAACAAAATATTTAAAATATTTCCATCAAGTTGTGCCAGAGGCAACAATTACCTTAAGTAAGTCGCACATTTTTATGGTGGAAATACTTTTTTTGGCTTAAACCTAATTAAATGGCCATAAATAAGGACCGTTAAGTCGGTTCAGAGGAGGCTGTTGCTGCTTCAGCTGCAACTGCAACTTAATTTGTCGGCATTGTTTGTTTCAGTTTAATGGCAAATGGCCAGAAGTCTTACACAACTTGGCCATCTTCTGGCGTTGGCGTTGACTTCTTGTTAATTACAACGTGGCAGCACCATCTCGATACGAGATGTTTGAGAGCCCGTCCGTTTAAGGTCACAGCCAAGCCGGAAGATGCAGCATCATCGGTTTTTGGACAGCGGCCAATGTCCAGATGGTGGTGGTGGCAAGACACAGCTGCGTTTTTGAGGCTTCGGGCAATTGCGAAACTTTTCGCCGGCTTTGCACCTCGAAATGTCAGCGAGCAGCAAACATTTTTCATGCTCACATGTGTGCCGTATATTTTCTACATATTATTTATGAATTTTTGTGTCTTGTGTGTCTGTTTGTTTGACTGTCAGTGCAACAGCATCGGCGGCAGTGGCAGCGGCGCACTTGGCCATAACAAGTCGGTCAAGTCAGACCGGGCCGCCAGACATTGTTGTTTGACCTTTTATTGGCTCTTGCCTGTAATTATTATCAAAAATACATTTTTTCCCCCCTATCCTCCATTTTTTGTTTAACAAATTAAATCCAAGCAGACGTCGTCGATGCCCAAAATAAAAAATGAAGAAAATTGCCAAAAATATATAATAAAAATAAAGAGAAGGGGCGGGCAGTAACATAGAGGCCCCAAGACTTTTGTCTACGATGCTTGCTTATTGACCTTATTGTCTGCCAATATTTGTTGGCCATTTTACCATTCAATGATTATTGGTTTCTCCGTTTGATTATTAATTTAACCGAATTGTGACATTTGCTTGTGCAATTCTCCATGCAGGCGAACCTCAAAAGGTTTCCTCTCGGTTCTTTTCCCACCAGCTCTGAACCGATCTCGATTACGATAACCAACCATGAAAGAGAAAAGATCTCACACACAATGGCCGGTAATTAAGGCAGACTTCCTCCCTGCCAAAATATAATAAAAACTCGTTCCTGCCTCACATATTGAGAGTTCCATTTCCGCTCGCGTAATGTTAATTGCCAATTGTCTTATAATTAAACGGCACCAGAACTTATCTGATGCTAGTTTAATACCAGAAACAATATAAAAAATTGCATATTAAATAAGAGCATAAAGAGAACTACTGGGAATTAAGGCGACCTTCAGCTGGGGCGGTGAGGAAATGCCTCAATTATGGCCAAAAGGTGAAGTAAATACACCTTTTTTTTAGTTGAAAAAATATTATCTTAGTGCTGCGTTTAGAGGCTGAGCCTCAAGTTATTTGCTGTTGATTCTAAAGCATATCGAAATATTTAAAAGATTGTTCTAACAAACATGAGCATTTATGGTCTAATGCCATATATCTTGGCATTATCGCCCATACGCCATCACAATTTTTGTACTACTGTCAAATTGGCCCAAGGTGGTGGCCACCGCAAATAAAAGACTAGACTTTGAGGATATCATCTAGGCTTTACAAAAAATCGAAATAAATACTATATTCTATTGTTGAAGTGCTCTGGGGTATCCATTAGTCGACCCTGACTATTTTTTGTAGCTTTTCAAAAGCCGGCAATTTACATTTACAGCTGTCGATTGGCCTGAACGTTTTTACGGCGATAAATTAATGCTTAATCAGCAGAAATTGTCTAAATCCGCAAATTATCCGCACTCGTTCTGAATATGCAACCAAACGGGCGTTTGATTGTAATGCCCGCCTCGCAGACACAGAAATTGAAATGTGCGACAGCAGCCGACATGGCCAACATGTCCAGCCTAAGTTCTGGCTCCAAAAGTGACCACAACAATGGCCGTCTGTCATAACAAAAAAAGCAACAAGAACACAGAACAAGAACATAGAGAAATCTATATATTTATATAAAAAAATGGTAACAGAACAAGCATTAATGGCTTGCGCTAATTGAAATTCTTGTGGCACGTTCATTGATTGCACTACACAGAGTGAGTGACCTTGTCAGGCGTGCGGAGGCGGTTATATATAATTAATTGATCTGCAGAAACTTACCATTATCAAATCACCAGTTTTGACGTGGCGCCGCATCAAGATTGCAGCCATATTTTCCTCATCCTGGAAAACCTCGCCCACATCGTTTTTGTGGTGCTGAAAAGTGAATAGAAAAATAGAAAATAAATCAATAACTTAGTTTTATAAATCGGAAATAAATTCAGAACTGTTTTAGATAATACACTATAGCAAAATAAACTTAAACAATTTACTACTGAACTATAAAATATATTATTATTGCGATGTATTTATTGATTTAATTTGCACTAATTATTTAAGTATTATTAAAGGCATCTTAAATATAATTAAATTTATTTACGAGTAACCATAAAATGTATTTATTGCCTATAAAAGCTAATAGTATATATTCTAGCCGTAATATATAATAGTAAATAAACATTACGAAATCAACTTTATGATAAAGTTCTTGGAATTATTACTTATAAGTTTATTTTAATCTAACTTAGTTAGTTTTTATTGTTAGTAATAATAATGTAATCATATAATTGAATTAAATTGAATAGTAAATATATTGTTATATATCTAGTAAATTATTTAGTGATTTAAAGTATATACATATACTAAACATTTAATTCAATTGCTTTGATTTATATTCTCCAATTCTAATTCCTTTATTAAAGTACATTTAGATCTCTTTTTAATCGCAGATTATGACAGCTCGGCAATGAAATATAATTTGTTTGAAATGGCAATTAGACAGCCATTAAACATATTTTTTTGTTAGCGGCTCCAAATTCCACACATTCCACCAGATGTAAAACAAATACATGGCTAAAACTGCAGCTGGCCGTTACTAAAAATTTAAAGCAATTTTCGTTTTGTTTTTTCGTATAACAAATGTATATACTGCGGCCACAACAGCGACTTTGTGAGTTGACCAAGACAAAACGCGTGGTTAGCGGGTAAATTTAATTAAATGCAACTTTTGGTTAAATGGACAAAAGGGGGCGGGAAGGTGGGAGGCAGGAGGCAGGAGGCCGGAGGCTGGGAGGCACTCTGTGAGGAGCGTGGGGCGAAGCTGTAGCGGTAAACTGAGCTTTGATTTATGCTCTTGGCTGGCAAATGTGACGCCTCAGCATGCACGTCACTCATACGCCGTGTGAGCCACGGCAGACTTTAGACTGACCATGAAAAGAGTGCTGCTGTTGGCCCGGCTAAAAGCCTAAGCTTCTGACATTTGGCCAACTGCTCTAGTTACAATTCAGCTTTTTTCTCCAACTGACTCTGCGTTTAAATCCTGTGACATAGACATTCGTTTTGGGGTTTTCGTTTTTATTCGCTATTTGCTATTCGAATTCAAGGCAACCTCTGTATAAATACCCCGGGGGATATTGGTCTCAAATTAGCATAAATTATAAATTTCAACGTCTTATCTTCGGGCCCGCTTTGGTCAAACTAATTAAATTAATTGCCCCTGCGTAGTCTGACCATTCAATTCGATTCCATTCAATTGAATTGAGTTCTGCAATAAATATCGAAATAAATGTAATCTGACACTTGACATCGGCATCAGCACTTGGCATTGGACCGCGTCCGTGCCTCAAAAGCCTGTCGTGCCGGCACTCTATCAAATTACAGGCATAAATCATAACTGCTGCTGCCCCCGACCAAATATACAGTTACTAATCGCCATACGCCCGATCGGAGCAATAAATGGCACTACATATATGTACACTCGTTCATATCAAACTAAGTCAAGTGCCAAAAAAATCTTAAAACGTTCAACTTTAAAGCTACAGAGCCATTGGCCTTTGGCTTGATGAGTGCTGATGTTTTGGCCAGAAGGCAATCTAGATATGTCTGCTATGATATAGTACAAATATGTAAATGTTAAATATCATTTTGAGCTTAGCCTGAAATTATCGGATAAAGGAACTAGTTATGGCAGTGCAAGAAGTACAAATAGCCTTGGCTTTTTATTTTTAATTCCAACTATAAGAATAATTTTGAGCTTAGGAGGGGGCAATTATTGGTTTTCTAAGAAGAGCAAATAGTCTTGGCTATTATAATTTTCCAGGGTATAATACTTATAGTCAGAAGCTTGTAAAGCAATGAAGGAGACATTTCCGATCCCATAAATCTTGTATATTCTTGATCAACATCAACAGCTGAGTCGATCTAGTCATCGAAGGAGGAAAACACAATTTTTGATACATTTTTCCAAAATTTTATAAGGGTTTAAATCATTAAAATTTTTAAACATTGTCAAATAAATACATTTTAAATTGAGTGTGCAGTTTTATTAAGCTATTCAAAACAAGTCCAGAAAAACGATCCAATCTAAAATGGATGACTTAGTTATGCTTTTTTTAAACTTTGATTTATCGAAAAAAATTTCATGTAAAATATAGAAAAATAACGATTAAAAAATTTGGAATACATTAATCGTACTTATGATCAATTTCCTATTCTATTCTATAATTTTATTGCAGCTTGCAAGGGTATATGATCTTTGGCTTCCCAAAGCTAGTTTACTTTCTTGTTAAAATTGTAATTAAAATTATTGGATAAAAGAACCAGTTCTGGTTGTCTAAGAAGAGCAAAAAATATTGATTACTCTTATAACCATTTATGTATATAAGTTTAGGATTATACTAGACATTTTTAAATAAAAAACAATTAGGTAGGTTAAGTAGATCAAATATTTTACTTATTACATTTATTGCTATTCAGCACGGATCTGCAATTGTGGAAAAAAATTGAGCCAGAAAAATGTTAACCTTTAAAACTTTAAAACAATGTAAAAATATTTCAAAGCAAACCTAAAATATATAAAAAGTTAATTTGCTTATTTTGTAATAAAGGAAGTTGCCCTTTATCAAATTTGATTAAATGTATGAAATGTAGGAAGTTAACTTTTTGATCTTTATCTCAACTATGTAACCTTTAAGTAAGGCTATTGAATGTCAAGAAAAATACTAAACTATAATTGTGTGTACAAAATTACTCAGAATTTAAAATTTTCTTTGTTTAACAGAAAAAATAAGCAAAAGGATTTTTATTTTTAAATCTACTCTAAGCTGAACCTTTTTCATTTTGTTATATATATTTTATAAGCTTTCTTTTAAAAATACCCAAAAAAGTTTTACATTTAAAATATGTATTTTTTGCTTGAATAGTAGTCATTTAGATAACCAATACCCTTCTGTATTTACATATATTATAATAATTAAAACTTCGTTCTAATCACTATCAATAATATTTGTACTTTTTTGAAAATTGACTTCCCAGAAAATGTTGCCCGAGCCTGAGCAATTATTTATCGCTCTGATCGAATTACTGAGCTGTCCAGAATGGGGCGGGGCTTTGGTTAGGTGACCGTCAAAAGCGTGTGGACACGCAGCAGCAACAACAAGGCACAAAAATTCATGTGCAGCAGGCATTTATGGCTTAATTTGTTGTTGCCAACGTTGTCGTTGTTGTATTTGCTAGTTGGACACGGCGACCTTGTGGAAAAATAAGTTCAAAGCAACAAGTGGCAAGTGGCGACCCCCACACACATTTTGCCGTGGATACGGGGGCTCACGTATTTCGGCTTCCATGAATCCGAATCCAAATCCAAAAGCTGAATCCAAGTCCGAATCTGAATCCGAGTTCGAGTCTAAGACCGAGACCCGGCCGAGTTGTCAACGCTGCTTGGAGCCTGGCCAAGTGTTTTGGCCATATTGTATTTATGAACTGTCAGTTGGCCACTTATTGCACTGCACTTGCCTCTTGCTCTTGACTCCACTTTGCATGGACCAATTTCTGCATCTGTGTTGACAATTGCTGTTCTCATTTTGACTTATTTTGTTCTCTTTCGATTCCTCCCTCCCCGAATGCAATTTTAATTAGTTGACTTGCAAATTGTAAATTGTTAGCTGTCGCTGGCTTTTTTCTTCTACTTTTTCACGTTTTTGCTTCAATTCAATTCCATTTCAATTGGACCTAAGCTAACCATATATGTATTTTTTTATTTTATTTATGGCGCCGTTAACTTTTTAATTACAAAATGGCTACAAGACATTATGCAGATCTCTTGACTGAGATTGGGCTTTGATCGGAATGTTTTTGTATCTCTTCAGGTTTGTCTTGTAAGCTTACGTAAGAAGTGAATTTCTGATGATAGCCCTCAGGGAGCTGATTATTGCTGATAATTTAATGGCTCAAAGTTCCGGTTTTTTTTAAGAAAAGAAAAATATTAGAAATACTTTTACTTGACTTCAGGAGGTTGCAAAGAATCTCTAGAAAGCGTCAAGGAAATTTATATCAGATCAATTTTTCAGGAAGAAACATTACCAATAAAGGTTGGCCCAATAAAGCCCAACCCTTCAATTGTCTCCCTTCATCACTTGGCCATTTAAATGGCTTAAAATGAAAGTAACAGCCTCGAGAGTTAACAACTTCCTGGCTGAAACATTTTAGGCGATTTTCTATCGCTCTTTTCTTTTTCTTTCGGCAATTTTGTTATGCAAATTAAGCCGAAAAGTTGAAAGAAGAAAGACACAAATGACCCGAAGCGGCGGCGAACTTGGCAAAGTGAAAATTAGCCTCTGAACTCTCTTTCCTCTGTGGTTCAGTATCGAAGCGAGAAGAAGGTTAAGGCATTAGTCTCAGGCCCTTAACCCGCACAAGAAAATGTTAATTTGCCATTGTTTCGAGGCAAACGAAAGGAAAACCTCACCTGGAAGTCTTTGGGAATGGTTTCATAGTGGATATACGAATCTATATGTATTTGGTCGGAAGCCCACACGCTTTCAGTGAGTACGCACCGTAAATCCACGAGCCATTTAGCCAAGTTAACCGACACTTAACGCATTAGACATCGTGTGGGCGTCGCTTGTTTTTTTCTGTTGGTTCGTTCCATTTGTTAGTTTGTTTATTCGCCGATTTGTTTGGCATCGTTACGCATACGCCGCATTGGCCGCATTGGTAATAACTCTGAGACTTATCCATGCGTGAGTGTCTCGCTCGTCGGCTGATTTGCTTTGGCAGTTAGCTTGTTTATTACGCACCATTATGCATTGTATGTGGATTTGTTGTTTTTTTTGTTTGCAGTTCACCTTTGATTTCAAGACAATGCCAAGGCTGGATCTGGCCATTACTTGACCATTATTTGGCCAATTATGTGTCCTATTGATTTGTTTAGTGGCGGAACTAAGGTTGGTATCTGTTGGCCCCATTAGATAACTTGTGTGTTTGATGTTTCGATAAGGAGTAGTTCCTTGTTTTTGGACCCTAAAGGGAATGAGCAATGGCCAACTTGTTGCCGCTGCTACAAAGCAACAAGCCGCTCTCGGCGTTAACAATAACTGCAACATGGCAACATGAGCATGACAACAACAGCAGCAGCAGCAGCAGCAGCAGCAAGCACAGAAACTGTCAGGCCATGGCAACAACTTGGCGGCATTATGCAACCCGGTTGCAGCCACAAAGAAAGATAGAAAAAAAGAGAGGTAGTGACTGTGGGAGGGAGAGAGAGCCCGGACGAACTGCTTTCTAAGCCGCAAACAGTTTTTCCTGACTACCCCTTAGTGTTTTTTCCTCGCTTTCCGCGGAATTTGCAACTTGCTTCGCCCGCGCATTTGAGCCAGAGAGAGAGAAAGAGCGAGGAGGACACAGTGAGCTAATTTCAAATTCATTCAGCTGCCAAATCGGTGGACTCATTAATCATGCTTCTGCACCACCACCGGCACCACCTGCACCACCTCCGACAACAGGCTGGAATCGTTTTGCAATGACAAGATACAATTTTGCGTCTTGTGAAATGAGTGCAACGTCGGTGCTTGGGCAGCTCAGCTGCGTGGCATGCAGCAAATGCTCTTACAGCTCACTTGTTGATTTTTTCTCTTTTAATTATGCACTTCGCGTTAGCACCCATCAAAAATGCATTTTGAAAACTTAATTAGTTTGCTTTCAATTTTTCTTCGACTGGTTTGTTTGTTGTTTTTTCGCTGCTCGGGGTGGAATCACTTATGCCCGCGTTCGTTGCCCAAGTCTTTCGTTTTGTGTGCTCCGATTTGATGGTGATTGTTGTGCCTCCAAGTACCGACCGGGAGCGCGCACAGGTAGCCAAGCCTTAGCCCAAAGGGGATTGTTCTGTTTTAGCCACAGTCATGAGCCGTGAGCAAAGTCTATAGATTGATATCAAAGTACCTTGGCAACATGGTGCAGTCATGGAAATCGGGATCATTTCCCCCTTTGCTTTGTGGGGAATTTAAGCAAAAGTGAACTGAGGAAATCCTTAACTTTTGCATATATGTATGTCTGTATGTAAATATTTTTATTACATTTTTAAGGGGCCCCGGATTAACTGCACAAAAGAGAACTTAACAATGCATTGTTGTAAATAACTATTAAGCTGGCTTTTGATTGAATTTAAGTGTTATTATTGGTCGTAAAAGTAGGTCATAAAATGTAAGAGTACAAAAAACTTTATTAAGAACTTTATGAAATATTAATATTATGTTATGATATATAAATAACCTCGATTTGTTCCAAATTGTTTTAATAGCATTTGGAGCATTATTTTCTATGTGAACCCTGTATATTTATTAAACTCTCCATTATTTTTCCAACCTTTTGTGGCCACTAAAACCCGTTCAGCGTTTTGTTTGCCAAACACAACTTCTGGTACATAATTCCATTTTGTTGATATAGCGCGCCCCTTTTTGGCAGTATTTCCATTATGCCAGAGACCTGTGCGACTTTGTCTTATTTCGCCCCATTCCTGGCTGCACTGACCTTTGTGTGGAGCCCCTATCGCATTCATCATCGCATTGAATGCGGCAGTGGGAGTGCCGAGCAACGCCTTGTGTTTGCCTTTTAATTTCATGGCTTGCACTTGCACCGAGGCTCAGGATCCGAGTTGAGGGGGAATTAGTTTAAAAATTACCAAAAATTTCACCGCACGAATTAATTTTGTTTAAGTGGAAAATATATATTGCAATTTGTGACACCACAATATATTCTAATACCCTTGCGGGGTATTATAAGTTTTGTTAGAAGTTTGAAATGCATAAAAAGTATATATATTCTTGATCAGCATCAACATCCGAGTCGGTTGCCTCTCTATTTTTATTTCTCTCTCTCTCTGTGCATCTCTCTAGATAGCTCATTCCCTCTACCTCCCTCATTGCATCTCTAGAGACAGCTCTTGCTCTCTCTCTCTCTCTTTCTCTGTTCTCTCTAACTTTCTCTGTTCTCTTTACGCGGTAACTATAAATAGAGGCAATGCAGTCGCTCCCACCTCAGTCTGTTCGCGGCCTCCCCGCTGTTCACATCTCCAGTGATAGTGGCAATGATAGTGCAAGTGCTCTTCGACCCCAAAAATATCATCTGACTAATGCAAAACATCTGAATGACCAGGAAGAAGGAGGAGGGGATCCGACTTAGCTGTTCTTAATATGCATTTATTTTTAAATTAATTCCCTAATTACTCCCCATTACTTAATTTACTTAATTTTTATTTTCAAATGGTACAATAATTTGTTTTTGTATTAAGAATATCTACGAAAATATAGTCAAAGTTAACAGTCTTAATTAATTTAATTAATTTCATACGATGGTTTCCTTTCTTCTTCTTTGAATTAAAATTATTAATGGACAATTGGAATTGAAAAACGCAACAATTTCCCTTGCTGGTTGTTTGGAACCCAAGAAACGGGGTCAGTTCTTTGGACATTCAGCTATCAATGGAAAATTATTTTTCGGTACTTTTGCGGTTGCCAAACAATAAGGCACAAACAAAAACTGAGATACAGAATGTCAGAAATTAGAATAAATGTTTTTTTCATGGCATTTTTTCGGTTGACTGCCGATGGAAGGTCTCTGACAAAGTGCCGCCATTACCAAAAAAAAGTATACGACATAGAAAACATTGAAATTGTTGTAGTTATGTGGTCTATATCTTGAGGCCATTTATTTGTGGCTAGAGTCCAAAAAACAGAAACAAAAATAATTGCCAAGTCACAAGACTGAATGAAGGGGGAAAATGCCTTGTGCGGGGGGTTACCTAATCTTGGACAGAAAATATCAAGAAACTTTACCTGCAGCTTAGTTCATTTTAATTAAAAGTGAAGACTAAATCCCCAGCGAGTTGAAAGAAAAGTCAGACAAATCTTTCCGCATTTCGTACTACACTAGGCTTATGTTAAAACTAAAAATTATCACACATAAATCACAAAAAAGGCAAAAACAAGAAACAGAAAAACACAGAAAAACACCACACAAAGTTTGCCATAAGAGTTCGAGTTGCGAGTTCATTTCTTTTTCGGCTGTCGCCTGACATGACATTTCACTTTCATTTCCGAAGTGTTGTGTCTTGCATTTGAAATTATGCCATGTCCCCCACCACCACCCTTGGTCCAAGTAATAATCGCCGAATATAAAACTGGTAATTTAAAGTGCGATCAATTGATTGTATTCCATTGGAGGGAAGCACGCCCACAGAGCGGGTGCAAAAACCACACGAATAATGGGTAAACGGGGGAAATTAAATTATATATACAAACAAGCCCGGGAAGAAAGTGAACTTTATTTGTATTATGGCAAAACAGAGTCACGTTCATGGCTCGCCTCTTGGCTAACTGAATTTGATTGGAAGTTGTGGGTGAGAGAGTTAAATATTAATGAAATTGTGGTGATCGCATCACGGTATGAGTAATTGCATTTGCTTTATACTCGTAAATCGGGTATAGAAAACCCACAAAAAGAAAAGGTTAAGGCTTATTTGATATCTCTATATAATTTCCCGTACGCCCTTGACTTTAAGCCGGATTTTCTTGCCTACACGTGATCATTTTCTCAGACACAACAAACAAATGCAATTAACTGCGAGCGCAGTCTACCTCTAATCTCTTTATCACATGGCCAATTAATTTTGATTAGATACGAGTGTGTGTATTATGCACTCAAGTAAATAAATATTACAAGCAAGAGCAGTAACAACAATTACAAAAGGAGGCAGAGAGACAAAAGCCGTGCATGAGGTATTGTTAAATAAAAAGCAAACAGCAAACACCAAACAAAACGAAATATATAAAGGCCTAAAACGAAGCGCAGATAAAAGGCTGAAACAAAATATCTGCCTACCCCAAGCGGAAGTATGGCGAATCAACAAATCAGAAAACGTACAAAGGCAAAGCTGTAATTTCTTGTACTTCTTTTTGTTGTGTTTTGTATATTACCCGACATCATGATGTAACCAATGAAAGTGCGGTAAAAGCAAAACGTATAAGGAAAATATGTGCAACAAAACGCCAATTTAGGGCAGGAAAATATATGTGACAGTAAATGAGATGGCCAATCAAAGTCGAAAACCCATTAAACATATATTAACAAATATGGTTGCGAGGGAATGTTTTTAGTTATTGATAAAGAAATTAATAATAACCAGAAAGGAAGCTAATTGTGGGAAGCAGAAGTTTGTATACCCTTGCTAATAGCCATAGAATCAAGGGTTCGACGTATACCTCCTAGAAAACCGAAAATATGTGTATTTCAGGTATACTTGATCTATATTTTGATGTGCTTATTTTTTTGGATAAATCATAAATTTTGAAATATCATAACTAAGCCAAAAATGCATTAATTTTAATTCGGAAAGCATTTCTTTGTTAGTTTTTATTACGTCAACAAATCTGCAGTCAGTTTAAATTACAAATTTTGGATCATTTTTTTTTTTATCATTTTAACGATGTAAAATTTTGAAAAATTGACTAAAGAATTTTTCTCCTCCAGACATGCCTAGATCGATTCTGCTGTTGATGCTGATCAAGAATATATATGGTTTATGGGGTTGGAAATAACTCCTTCATAGTGTTACAAGCTTATGACTAAATTGACAACTTTACTTATAAAAACATAATATTCTAAGAAGATTAAATATATTTTAAGGCCCATTTACCATTTAAATATAAATAAATAAAATAAAGTATAAAGATAAATAAATATAACTAAGGTAAGCTATAAAATATATATTTCTAAAGCTCCCTGACTTAGTTTAAATATTAAAAAACAAATTGAATCTTAAACTCACCTCTTCATGCTGGATCTCCTGCAGGTCCAGGCCGTGGGTGGCATTGGGTTCACTGCCGACGCTCCACATGCGCAGCTGGTGGGGCGCGCCCTTGAAGAGTCCTTGGGTGGCGCGCAGCGAGAGATTGAGATGCTGGCCAAAGGCACTGAAGGAGACATTGTGGGCCTTGATGGAGCTGACATCTGGGCCAAGCAGGTGGTTACCGCCTCCTCCAACGGATGACGCCATGCTGGCCTGATGCTTCAGCTCACTGTAGTAGGCATTCTTGCTGAGATCCTTTTTCACATGATGCGGCGGCAGGGCGACATTGAGCTTAGGACTCTCGCCGATGCTGCGCCTCCGCCGCTGCCGCAGGCTGTGCTCATCGTGATGCAGCAGCTGGACAAGCTCATAGTGGGGCACTGCATCATAGTTGTCCACGTGGAAGACTGACTGCAGCTGCTCCGGCGACATTTGTTTGTGCAACTGTGGAGGAGAAGAAAACGAAGAAAACGAAGAAAACCAGGTTAGCGATCGCAGAGACAAGTTGCCCTGGGCAATGGCTGTAAATTGTAGCAATTGTCAGATGGATAATTGAAAAATTATCAATAATTCAATGCAATAATCGAGTGTTTGGCTCTCTCTTGAAAACGGTTCCATGCGTGGCATGGCTCGGTTCGTGTTTGCATTGGGCCCCTCAAGAGCTATCTGGAGATTAACGACTAAGCCAAGATCGGCTTGGGTTTGGTTCGCCTTTCGGCGCTGTGTATCTTCGCTAACTGGGTCAGGGTCAATCCGGCGTTTGATAGATTTACGGTCTGTGCAGACTCGCATGTCTCTTTTTTATAAGTATTTCCGAATCGAAAAACCAAATCGAATTGAATCGAACAAGAAGCAGAAAATAACACACACACACAGAGAGCTGAGGCAAAGCGATCTTAGCCAAGTTGCGTGTAAACCTTTTCTCTATAAATATATAATTGCGAATTTCAATTAAAATCAAATTAATTTTGTATTGTTATTAATTGACTTTTAATCTGCACTCCATTGTCGGTGCTCATAAATAGTTGTATTCTTCTTAAACACTGCCAGTGGGAATTCCACAATATCTATGAGTTTATAAATAAACTAGTTTGTGTTTAAATTGGTTTAAAAATTCATTCATTCATTCATTTATTTCTGTACTCCAAAACAAGGCCCGTAAATATTTCCTTAGTTGGCATATCATTCTACCATCAATCAATCTTGAAATTTTAAATTTTTGCTGGCGATGAAAGAGCATTTCCGTTTTATTTATCCGCCAAATCTGCATCTCACTTGCAATCCAATCAGCGGCAGCATCAACAAAGGAAAAAAATGCACAAAATAAGATTTGTTACAGGGTCAAGCGGCGAGTAGAATTTCCTTAAACAACGTTTGAAACGCTTGAGCAAAAAACACAAAAAACTCAGGCAACGAACTTGCTGCCAGCGGTGCTGCTGCAAGCCAGCCATTTAGGCAAATTTCTTGCATTTATTTTAACCGAAAATGGCCTAAAATGAGTCAGAAATGGTATTACAGCAAATGACGACAACACCGGACAAGATACGACCAGAAAAAAAGAAACAAACCAAGAAGCCAAAAAGAAGTCCAAGACGAAGGCAAGGTAAGCAAGATTTTCAAAGCTGGCTTTTACAGTTTTACAGAGCTCGAGATGATGACACCTCCGGGCATAACAGTAAGCCCATAGCTTAATAATTCTTTTATAATCGAAATGCTGGCGGAAAGTTTAACTCAGGTGAACAAACGGCAGAGGAAAACCAGACTCGAGTCAGACTCACGCACACACGGCGGGACACGGGACAATGCCAAAGCGTTTTTACTTTCATTTGAAACGTGTTTTGACCACAGACAACACTCGCTCACATGGCCAGGAGCCGGGCAGACAGCGAGCCATCCAGCCAGCTGTTTGGGGTCGAATTGAGCAACTTTTGAATCGTCGTCGTCGCCCCATTGAAAGTGAAACTGAGGCTTGAGAAAGGAAAAACCGACAACCGAAAGAAAAAAGCTGCTCTTTCGATGAGGCGTTGCGAGTTTGCCACTCGAGTGCAATTGTGGCAGCTCAGTGCATCGCTAGGGCTCTTGGCCAGCTCTATGTTTGGAAAGTTTTGCACCTGCAGCAAATTATCATTATTCTTGAACGCTTTTCCTATCAGTATGCAAATCCCCCTTGCTGGGTGACCACACCCAAACACCAATCAACACTTAGCTTGGCCCTTGTGGCCAATTAATTGCAATTAAAAACAAATGAGAAAAAAAAGCTACGATCAGCAATTACAAATTATGCAAAAAAGGCGGCATCCAGTGAACAAGATCAGCAGCGGCGATTAAAGAACCAGGGTTGCCAAGGTTTAAGCCAGAAAAAATCACCGAAAACCAAAAACAGTTTAAAGACCCAAAACAAGCTGGCCTAAACATTATGTAAATGACAGATAGTCATCGAAAATTACAGCCTACTAAGGAGGTGTTGAAATGGGCGGAAAATTAAAAGAAATTACACAAAATGATGGTGTTTCCTTTGGGGCTTGTTAGGTTAATATAAAACTATTATATCAACTGTTTTATAAAATATTATAAATTATATAGAAGAGGTTTAAAATTGTTAAAGGAATTTCTGTTTTCATATCCTTTTATAAATAATTTGTTAATCATTTGAAGAACAGAACAACAGCAACCGTTAAGCACTTCTTTATCTATATATCTGAGATATAATTAAATTCTCTGTAATTGCATACTTATAGTTTTAATTAAAGATATTCCCAACTAATATTTATTTATTAAGAACCCAAATATAAACTTGAAACCTTCTAAACCATCGGATATAGATATATATCGAGAATGAAACCAACGAAGCGCAACCCTAGCTTAAATTTGTCATCCGATTCGATTGGTTGACGGTTGCCATTAAGTAGTTGGCCAGCGGCAGTGATTTGTCCAGGCTTAAGTTTGATTTTATTTTCGGTTTTCGTCGAGTGCAATGACGGATATTGTGAAATTTTTGCGCTGTTTGTAATTTGTATGGCTAGCTGACTCGCTTCCAGCTGCTGCTGCTGCTGCTGGTGCGCGGGCAATTACTGAAATTGTGCGATATTACTCATACGCCCGGTTGGACGGTGGAGTATAACACTATAACCGGCATGACGGCGACAGCGAATCGACTCGACCAAGTGCAATCAGAGTCAAGTCAAAGTAAAAGGTGTAGCCGCCATATTAACGCAAAAAGTGTGCTTCAAATTGGCTCTGGCTGAGGCCAATACACTGTTTATGGCATACAAAACCAACGCTGTTGGTTTGGCGGATTGTGCAATTTGTTTTTCCCTCTTTCTAGCCGGTCAAAGTCAACAGCGAATAGCGAACAGCGGCAGACGCTCGAAAGAGTGTCACTCGACCTTTCGCGGAGTCGTCAAACACAAAGAAATTATTCACTCGAAGAGCCATGAACGGATATACATACATAGAGGCCTGTTCAGTGAAGATTTCGGGTCTCGAAATGTACATGGGCTGCTGCGGATTGTTAACTATCCACTAAATTGCCAGTTCGCCTCTTTTTTTTCCTTCCATTTCCTTGGGTGTGTTGACCTTGTCGCCACGGCTGACAAGCGGCGGAAATTAGCAACAGCTTCTGTCGGCGTTTAGTTTTCAGTCGGGTTTTCTCATCACTTTACTTAATATTTTGTTTTTGTATTTTTGGAATTTTGTATTTGTGCCAGCGATTAGCAAAGTGTGAAAAGTTCAGGGTGTTACGACACCTTTGAGAGAAGTTGTGCCTAATGCAAATGGCAAATTAGGTGATTTTTATTGTTTGCTTAGAAGAGGTTGTGCTATGTTCGATATGAGATTGGTAACTAGGTCATAAATTATATAGAAATGCAGGTATCTAAAAATATACAAAATGAGAAATCTTTATATATACCGATAATTTTCATTCAACTTTACCTAACTTTGAAAAGGGTAATGGAGTGCCACAAAATTATTATCAAATAAATTGTCAACGGTTTTCTCCTAATTAAAATCTAACAACAAAATCGAAAATATTGATAAAATGAAGCTAAATTTTATAAATTTTAAGCTTTAATGTTCTAATTATTATATTATATTATTGAAATAATATATTAGCTTTTGAAACAATTCAAGTATTTAAGTATTTAATAACAAAGGGAACAGACTTTGATATCTTAAAAATTCTTTAAATTATTCTCCGATAATTATAGCTTTTTCATCGTTTTCTGCTTGAATATATAATCTTATATCGATTGCATAATCTCTTTATCATTAAGCAATTACTCATGATCTGACAGTACCCCGATTTTTCCTATAACCCCACGCACACACACACACACAGCGGGGAGAACGTGACCCGAGAACCCCAGCTCCAAAATGATTAAAATAATAATAAAAAAACATAGCAAAAAGCAAAAACAAACTCGTACCGTGACAGCGGTAGAGTAGTAGCAAAATCGAAGACAACGGAGAAACACAGGCACCGAGTCGTGCCACAAAACAGTTCTTGATTTCACAATTAAAGGCTTAATTTATTTGGCCCGGCCAATTGATAGGCCAACAAACATTTGGCCAGCCGGGCCAAGGAATGGGATATCTCATATTTTTTTCCTTGCATTTCTGACAGCACATAAAACATGGAAAAAGAATTAAAACAAAAGCTAGATCGCTGCTGCTGCTGCTGCTGACTCATGCAGTTGAATCGATATTCTTGCTGTGTTTTGCATGTCTCGGAGTCTCTTTTGTATTCTTTTACATCACTTTTTTCATGCTCGGCTGGGGATTTGAAGGGCCTCGTCAGAGTCTGAGTAGTTGTTTTAGTGATTTTCTTCTAGTTTTGTAGTTGCTGCCTGCTGGTGGTGTAGCGTGTCAACTTTAATTGCAGTGGAAAACGGAGACGAAGTCGTTTATGGGCCATCATGTTGCAAGCGCCATTTATGCGATGCCGGCAAGGCTATGGGTCGATGTCTCCACCAGACGCGACACAAATTTGTTCCAAAATAGGTATAGTTTATGACCACAAAAACTACGCATAAGTTTTAAGAACTAAATGCAATTAGTTGTATCTTTGAGGTACTAACTAAATATTATTTGTAGGTTATTTTCTATAATAAATATTGCTCATGCAATTCATATTTTTCTCCCTCTGCAGGAAGTCAGCATTCAACTTAAAATTCGAATTAAAAAACCACCTTGAAAAGCAGTTTTCTTCAGTCCAAAGTCAAACCATAACCTCCGCAACAGCGGAAAGCGGTGACAATGAAAGAGAAAGATCCAAAAAGTGTAATGATAATAAATAATAAACGCAAAGAGAAGGAGAATTAATTACAAGAACTTTTTACGTCTGACCTTGGCCATAATTTTGCTGGCAGAGAGCTTTTTCTTTGGGCCAAAACAAAAGCCAACGTAAGCTGTCTTGGATTTCAATGAGACACAAATACACAGACGTGTATGGCAATGCCATTCAGATAGCCCGGCTATAACAATGCCGTTTTATTCCTAACATCGACTCTCTTTGACTCCGCGCTCTGTTTTGTAATTTAATTAATATACAAAAAATGTTTTTTGTATTTCTCGAAATGCTAATTACGCACAATGCGAATGACAATGAAACCGCTGACTGACTGACTGACTGGCGGTCATTTCTTGTTGTTGGGTTTTTTTTTTCACCGTTAGCCGTTTGGCTCTCAACTCTTAACTGTTGACTGTAAGTGCCCCCAAAGGTTATTTATATCGCATTGAATTGATTGATGAGTTCTTGGAGTTCGATTGAACGATTGAACGTGCTCCAAGCAATTGGCATTGGAACTTGGACTTGTCGGGTTTGAGGTGGCTTATAGTACTTACATCTGGCAGGGCCTGGCATACTGTGCTGGCCAAGAGTAGCGCTGTGATTAGGCCTAATGTTGAGGACATTTTACTGTGCCGGTTGTCTAGTGTGCTAAAGGTATCCTTAAAAATGATTAAACTGTAAAGAGAAGCAGGGAAAGACAGAAAAACTTATTAAAAATGTAATGAAAAGCAAAATAATAAATAATAAATTAAATAAATTATGTTAAACTAGGGTAAACTTAATTGTATGTATCCCAAAATAAAGATTTTGGTTTTTTAAAATACACAATGCTGACCGGAAGCTATTTCTAGAGGATGGTACCTCTTTTTTAACAACATACTTTACGCGAATAAGTAACCCATATCTGTCTAAGGTATTAATTTCTAAAAAAACAATTATTTAATATTTTTTGAACATCCTTTAACTCTATCCCATTCACCTCACGCGTTATGGCCGCATGCAAAATATTTAATATCCAAATTAATAGCTTTACTACCACCTTATATGAGGCAGTAGTTCCCTGCCCAAAACCACCTGTCCTCGTCACGCTCAAATGGGCATTATTATTTGGCAAAACAACATGAGTTGTTGCAATTTTATCGCTTTGTTGTTGCTACAATTAATATTTACTTTTTTTTTGTTCGTAGAAAGAAAAACCTAGTTTTCTGGCCGGCTGACTGAGTAATTAATTATTGCATAAGGCCAAGAAGCAGCCAGCCTCGAGGCAATAAACAATCTTGTCCGGCCCTGCTTATGGCTGCTGTTGTTATTGTTGCTGCATGTTGCACATCCGCCCGGCATCGAATGCGGCTAATTGTCAATAATGATGCAGCGATGCGTGGCAATAGGCGAACAGCAAACAGCATCCATCCGACATGGCCAAACCTTTTGACAAACCAACCAAGAAAACAAACAGAACTGACCAGCAGCAGCATCGCCAGCTGCCATGTTCATGTTGCAACTTCTCAGCGGCATTTACGACAAATTGCATGACATTTCATTTACCCCGCCCCCGTCTTGGATCCGCCAAAAAGGTTTTGCACAATTTGCATGTTGCATGCTGCAAGCAAACTGTGCCCCAGTTCCAGTCGAAGAAAGTGCAAAGCCAAAGGAATCAATCATCATCAATCCTAATGAAAGCAAAGCAATTGCCAAAAATGGGCGTGATTTAGCCAAAGGGCATTGCCTCCATATATCATGGCTTGCTTCAGCCCGAAGATAGTACAATTTCCACAAAATAAATACATAGTTGTGTGGCTGCTAATTGGCAGGCAGAAAAGTGGTAACAAATATGGTAAGTAAATTACTGGATCACATTTTGTTGAAAGGTAAACAAATTTTGAATGTAAGTTAAAGAAGAAGTATATAATGTGACATTTAATGAATCTTGAACTGTCTTCTTAGTAACACATCAAGTGCATTCTCACTTTTCCAAATAAAACTAAACCCTTGGGCTCTACCAAAGGGCACCTGACTTGTGCTGAGGTGTAATAACCCTCAAAAGTTCATAAAAAAGAAGCCATGCCAAGTGAAAAACAAAAACCCAAAGCCATCGTCTGTTAGTCGAAAGTGCAATTTGGCACAACCTTCATAGTCTTGAAGAAGACTTTCACCCAGAAAACGAAAATGAATTCAGAGCATTAAAGACAGCTAGCGTGCAGCCAGTGACTGCAAGTCGAGTTATCAGGAAATTCAAATGCAATAAAATGGCCAGAGACCTGAGGCCAAAACGTGACCGAAAATAATGCTGCTTATATACCGATTAATATTTTACAAAATACACACTAAATCAGAGGGAAACAGTTATGAGGCAAGCAAATCCGAACGCGAACGCGATATATTATAGAAGCAAAGCCAAAAGATGGCAACTCCATTCGGTCGATCATTTGCATAATTAAGGTCGATTAGGGTCGAATCATTTGCCATATGTGTGTATGCATGCATAAATCTCGGTCTGCGTTTCGGCCAACTCAAGGTTATGGCTATGGCAAAACAGTTTTTTTGATTTATATTCAGGCTTGCATAATTCCCGTTCATATTGTTTTTTATATTTTTATATAATTACCCTAGCGAAAAGGTAAATAAATATGAAAAAAAGATACGCATCATCAAATGTCAACCGATTCCAAACAGAAGCTGGCCAACAAAAATGTGTGGAAATGGAATTGTGCCAAAAACCACCAAAAGATATGGCCAAAACGGTGGGGAGACAGAAAAGCAAGTTGCATTGTCAGCTTCCGCATAATTATGCCGACTTGGACCCCAACACTTTGCCATATACTTTACATTTTTTTCTGTGTGTTTTTATTTTTTTACTCGTTTCTGGCTTTTTATTTTGTGGGTTGTGCTTTTACCATAAAGTCAGCGTCTCTTTCGGTTTATGGGAATTTTTTTGTGTTTGTGTGGTGGCTAGTAGTCTTTGCTTTTAGCTCTTGCTTTCTTAATGAATTTGCTGACACAACCATCTCAGAGCTGGGGAGTCGAGTCTGTTGTAAGTCCGAGGGGGGGCGTCAGCGTTTTACTTTAAATTGACATTGACAGTTGGCCAGCAGCACCTCTCTTAGCCATCTCTTTTTCCCTCTCTACATTGAGTCAGACGAGCAAACGAACAGCTGGTTTTTTGGCTTCTGTTTGGAGATAGCCATCACCTGTGTCAGCACCTGAGTTCGGTAGCTTGATGAGCTCTGCATTTGTCTTGATAATGAACCCATTTCCCCAATTTATTGCTGAGCTGGGTCTGGCATTGGCTGACTGACTGACTGACTGCTCTCTGCAAAAGAACTGTCACTTCTTAGTGGCCTGTCTGGGCCAGAAACTGGATCACACATAAATCGGCTCAAATGTGACATAACAAAGTTCAACTGTGAACGTTTTGCACAAGAGATAATAAATTTTGGCCTGATACGAGTCGGAGTAACTGCAGCTTGCAGACAACGATCAAGTGGAGGTGGAGATTACGTAAAATGTCTGTGACCTGAACTTTTTGCATTTGCTTAACTTTTTCGGAGCCTCAGACCCACACTCAGTCTCAGTCTCAGTCTCAGTCTCAGTTTGTTTTGTGGCAGGTGGAAAAGGGCGAGCGAATCTCTTTGGCCATTGTTTTATAATGATAAAACAATGAATGTGGTTTGGGAACCTGCACCTTGAGTTGGCTGTTGAAAGCATTGCTTTGCCTGAAGAAACAGCTGTGCAAATGTTTTCGTTAAAGTTAATGGAGCAGTGTAGTGTATTAACTTAGCCTCACATCAAATATAAATATTCGAATGAGACCAATTTAAATTCTAGGTTCGCTGACATAAGACATCAGAAGATCTTGACTTTTAAACTGGTTTCAGGGCCTCGACTTGGGTTGCTTCCCTGAAAATGTTTGGCTTAAACATCTGTTTTTTTAAACATATTATTCATTTATGCATATTAGATGGCTTAGCCAAGAGAATCCAAGCCAAGAGTTCTGCACACGGCCAACCACATGGTGCGTATACGTAATGTGTTAAAGATACGCCGCCTTGCCAAGAAACCGGTTTCAGTAGCTACTTCTTATTAATCCCCCTCTTCCGCCCCTCTACTAAAAAATATTCATTAAAATGCCATTATAAAATGCGCAAATATATTGAAAAATTGCAAGCCACGCCGCGTACAACACTGCGTATACGTAATATGCCAAACTAATTAATTTTAAAGATGAGCCAGCAATGACAGAGGCAGGGGGATAATTAAGGCAGGCAAAAATAAAAGAAAAATAAATAAAATAAATAAATAAATATAACCGAAGAACATGCAATCAAAATTGTGAGGAGTTTTTTCGAGTTTATATACATACATAGTATGTAATTCGGAATGAATCCGTTTGCTTCTGTTTCTGTTGTTGTTTCTGGCTTGTTATAATTTTTACAGCTGTTGTTACAACATGCACCACCACCAACAATAATAACAATAACAACAATTATAACAACAACAAAAAAACAACAACAATTTGCACTGATTGCGTGCTGCGTTAGCGTCGCCGTTGCGGTCGAAGCCGGCGACTGTCGGAAAAGCCATAAACCGCAGGAAAATGAAAGTGAAATTGTAATTGAAATTGAAGAAGAGGTCGGCTAAAATGTTTGACTTCAACTTTGGTTCGATTTGTGCGATGGTTTCTATAACTTTATTTTTATTGGTCTTTTGCCTTCATTATTTTCGTAAGCTTATTGCTATTGGTAATGCCAAAGTAAATATTTACACTTTTTATGGCAAAGGATTATTATTAACAAAATGATGGTCTATTGAAACGGAAAAAACTAATTAAAAGTTTGTTAAATAAACAAGTTCATGAGTAAGTTCAATATAAAAATATTTAAATGATAAATAAAGCATTATATAAACATTATTTTAAAAATCCCTGTTATCCCCTTTAATGACATCTTAATCGAATAAAAACAACTATAATTCACAGGCAAACACTTCGTTATATAAACAAACAAGTAAACTTGAGTACATTGACTACCCAGACAAACTATTCCATGAATGCTAAACAAAACTCAAAATAGCAGCCAGCGACTAAGTCAATTGAGTGGCGACTGAAACAACAAACGTAAAAAATTAAAAAACAAACAGGTTACTCGAGTTTCGTCTTCTTCGTCGATGGATGTCAATGAAAACCCCCAAAGCAAGGAGGGTAAAAAACAAACTAAATGCTATGAAGATTGAAAGCGAAAACCAAATCCAAATCTGATGAATGATGGCCACCGGTATCGGTAACGCTTCCAATAAAAAGGTTATTTATTATTTATTGGATAGATCAGACAAAAGCCACTCAGAAGGGCTGTTGTTACATGATTTCCATAGAATATCAATGGCATAGAAAGTCGCAAATCGATGCGGATGATATGGGATAATGGTTGATTCAAAGGCGAACAAAGGCTGATCGGAAAGCTCAAAGCTCTGTCTCTCTTTCTCTCTCTCTCTCTCTCTCTGTGGCCCTCTCTTTCTCTTTTGTTGTTGAAATCGAAAAGTGCAATAATTGCAGTAACAGAAACAACAACAAACATTAAATAAAACTACATAAAATATACAGTGAGGAGAGCAAAGCGTGGCGAGCAATAATAACTGTAGCAATATTACAAAATCGCATTGGTCTGAAGCCAAACTCGCACAACAACAACAACAACAACAATAATGCGATAATAAGCCTGCAAAGCAGCAACAACAAAATCCTCGTAAAAGTAAACAACAACAACAATAGCAACAAGTTGGCACGAAAAGTTGTTTCAACGAAACAAAAATATAAAACAAAACCCGCTCCACTCAACTTTAACTGGGAAACAAGCCCATTTTGTGGGCTCAACTAAAAGCCAGACAAAAGTCTCGACTACAGTTTGAGTTCATGTATATATCCCCATATAATATCCCCTTCCATTCAAGCATCAAGATCCTGCTCTAGAAATCTTGTTTTGTGTTTTTCTCCTCCGCCCAGGAAACACCCTTAAAAAGATTTATTTTGATCCCAAACATAAACTCTTTTTTGGATTTACTTTTCTATAACTTTTATTTCCTCTTGTGTTTGTGTGTCTCTTACATTTTATTCACTCGACTCCCCAATTAGCAAGTTCAAAACCAAACTAACATATGAAGTAATAATTATGAACAAAAAAATAACAAAAACTTGTCTGCAAATTAGTAAAAGCCAACTCAACAACTTTTTATTTAGGTTTATGTTAGGTGAGGTAATAATTAAAAATCATAGAGATTGAAGAAAACTATGGTTTCTTTTTGGAGGTCTTAAAGACAGAAAAATGTGACAGATTTGAGTCATTTTATTAAAATTTGTATTAAGAAACGATTAGAAAAGGTTAAGCAATAGAAAGTTTACATCTTTTTTGGATTTCTAAGAAATATTTCTGGGAAGTTTTTAAAAATCTTTAGATAAGGGAATTATTGAATATATTTTTATGAAAAGCAATATTTAATTTATTTTATTTATTTCGCCAACGGAAAAAAACTCTTTTCTGGCTAAATAACTATAACCTGAACCAACATTTATTAACTTTAAATATTGGAAAAGTGCTTTTTTAATTGAATCTCTTGGGTAAGTATGTTTTGGTGGCACAGATTTCAATGCATTTTTGATTATTGTTTAAATTTACATTGAATTTTAAGAATCTCCTTAGCTTTAATTTCTATTCAAAATAACACCCTTAAACTCACCTAAGTCTGTTTTTGTTTCGCTTAAGAATCAAACTGATTTCTATGTGATTTTCAAGTTTTCAGCAGCACTTTCATAGGCAGGCACACAACACTTTCATTATCGAGTTGCCGAAGTGATTTGAGTTTAAGGATAGGGATTTTTGTATTTTGTTTAATTTGAATTTCTACGAGTGTTCCGAGTGCTGTTCTGAATCGATGAACGGCAACGATAGCATTCGATGGCTAAGATCGTAGGCCAAACGCGCGGCGATCTTCAGAACACACAGCCCGGGTCTTAAAGGTGGAAGACTCGAGTATATCGAATACGAATCGAATCTGATCAGATCGGATCGCTGCTATATCCGGAGCCGGAGCACGGAACACACACGAACACGAACGGAACGGAAAGAAAGACGAGCAGCGATTAAGCTGGAGGCGGTCAGTGAGCAAAGATTAAATACGGCGTGAAATTTGCTTGACAGTGATTTTTTTTCTACTTATTTGCTTAAATTATTCTTTTTACTTGTTGTATTTCTTCTTTTCTTTTCTTTTTTTGCATATATATGTATTTACTTTTTTTTGTAAACGAAATTGTATTTTTCACTCAATTTCGATCGCATTGCTTTTATTATTACTTCCCCGCTCTCTGGGGCCGGTTTGGGGGAATGCAGGGGGATGCAGCGGCGGCTCAGAACACAAAAAACATAAACAATAACGAGCGCGGCGACTGCGACGCCGACTCAGACGTCGGCGGTACGAATGATACGGAATACCAAGTGCGAGCGGGATGGCAGTGAAGTAAACTCTGAAAACGGGCAGATTCACTTTTTTTAAATAATTTTTTCCCCCCTTTTTATTATAATACTTTTATTTTTTGTTGTATTTTTGCACGATGCGATTACGAAAACGGGGTAAAGACAGAGAGAGATTGCAAATTGAGCATTGTTTTTTGTTGCTGCTGCGACTGGGGAATTGCACTCCGGTTGACGTCACGACGATCTTGTCACTGCACTGAGGATAGAATTTTACGATCTGATTGAGGAGTTTCAACGGGACTCTGGGCTCCTTTTCGCTCGATCGATCGGCGGTTCGGTATCGAAATTGAAATCGAAATCGTAAAGATCACACGATCGGTGGCTATGTCTTTGACTGTTTTTTCTTTTTTGTGGCCGTCTACGGAAACAGGTCGGCGCACACTGAAGTTAACGCTCGCTTGGCCCGCTCGACGGAGTCCAAAGCCGACCCAAAGCTGACGGTGGAAGCGGGACGGCACTAGCTGCTAGCTTGGGATCAACGCCGGAGAGCGGTCTTCGGAGAGCTTTGGGCCAAATTACTAGACGCAATAATCTGCGGGCCCAAAGCCAAGCCAAAAGCCTTGAAAGCTCGCCCAACGAAAGCGAAAACATAAAACACTTGCATTTTCTCGTTCCATAGTTTGAGCTTCGAGTTTTGAGCCAGCTTTTTGAGTTGAGTGAGTCTCAGTCTATCTCTCTCTCCCACTGCGTTGAATGACATTTTGAGTCAAGTCCAATATACGCCGCCTGATTAATGTTGTAAAAATTCACTTCGATTAATCTCGGCGGGGCAATCTTCCCTCGGTGTTGAGCCAAAACATTTGACATTGCTTAATTGGCGAATCAAATGTAACATTAATTAAGAAGGTGTCATTTGGGCATTGACATCCCTGACACTCAGTACAGGAAACTGGAGACAGAACAAATTATTTCACAAACAATCGTGATGTACGTCTTAACGGTTAACATACTGATAGATCAATCTGAAAAGATCATTAGCTTAGTAGAAGGTTTCTCCAGAAATTTCTCACAGATTTTTGTAATTTCCTAAAATGTCAAAAGTTAATGATTAAATCTACACTTAATGATTCTAACAATATATAGCGGTATACCGTACAGTATGGATAATTCTAATCCTTTTTACGGGACTTTGAATAAGGATTCCCTCAGGATGATTCATAAAGTGCATTCAATAAACAAAGTCGCAAGTACTCCCATAGAGATAAAGAATAAGTAATAGCAATATACATAAATCCCATTTATATAACCCATATTACTTTGAAGGTTTAATCTGAAAATGCTTTTCAGCAATCCAATCCAAAAAGTTCATTAAAGCCACTTCCCCGAGTAACAATCGTGTTAAAGCGAACAAAAAGCATTCTTTCAAAGGTGTTAGACAGGCCAAGTTCAATGACAGGCTTCCCCTGTGAAATTATTTATGTTCGCATTGATAAAAACTCATTTGACTCCCACGTGAATGTTTACATATATAAGTATATGGGGCATTTAAAATATAATGCCATTCAAAGTGGGCCATTTAAAAAGGTAATTGTCACACGTCGCGAGATCGATGTGAAGATCTCTCAATGAGTCGAGTTCCGAGTAAAACGCAGGCACACTGAACCTCAGAACTTGACAACCTGAGCTGAGCACCCCCACGTAAGCCCGGCAGCAGCTGTGGCAGCAGGATAATCAAATGATTTTGTGGGTGAAAAGGCATTGAACCGTTCACTGGTGACTCAACGGAGGCGCACGAGATGGAGACGCAGATGGAGATGGAGATCTCTCGACAGCCATCCTCCCACAAACTTAGCTCATTTGCATTGGCGCTGGCAGCCGTGCAGATCCAGATCCCCTATCTGTGTGCATCTCAAAGTGCGACATTTCAGGCGACATTTAACTCGAGCGTTTGAGATATCCATCTATTAATGAGCTGTGAATTCCACCTTAAGCTTAAACCCACTCCACCTCCTTGGTGGATCGTCGAACGACGAACAGGTTTCGTTTTTGGCAATTGAACTCATTACTTTTATGCGGATTTCGTGTTAATTACCTTGCATTTGTTTACATTACCTTAAATTTGTCGTGTTTATTGGCCAAGACTTGCCTTTCTCACCGCCTGCCCAGGCTGCAGTGCATTGCATTTGACTTTAAGTTTATTTCGAATGCATAAAATATCATTTGACACATTTTCCTTTTGACTTTTAGCCAATTGTTCTTTGTGGAGAATTGTTGAACCCCAAAACGAGAAATTTGTTTTTGTCTGGCAAGACGTTGATGAGTCGTTCGAACGACTCGAACAATAAATATGGGGATACAGGGTCTGAAATGTACAGAAAATATTAATATTGAAGTATGAGAAGAAGGGCTTGTTAGGCTGCTCAATAAAAGATTACAAAGACAGAAGGTCATGGGTGGAAATGTAATCCCCACGATTTTGTCGCTTAATCAAATCCCAAGGGGTTCTCCCCATAAACCCATACCCATAACCATGCCATTTATCCACGTCAAGTCAAAGGGTCAATGTCAATCTGCCCGCATCGATAACAAGCCGTAAGTCCAAAGCCCCAAAATAAGAAGAGGTGGAGAAAGATGGAGTGTTGGGCAACCGCAGCTGAGCTGAGGAATGGGATGTATCGGCGATAAAGAGGTTAACAGATCATCGGATCCAGCTTGTTAGTCCCCGATCCCACTCAGGCATATGGCAAGACTTAACGAGGCGTCAACGAACACAAATGATACATAAAAAACACAACAAAAACATAAAAGTAAACGAAACAAACCCCATTTAAAAGTCCATCCCAGCTGAGTTCGATATTTATGTGTGTGGCTGACTGCTCTTTCCCCCCTTACAATTTCTACAAAAATAAACAAAGAAAAGCTATAAAAAATTTGCATAATTTTCAACATTTCACGCTAGTTTGGCGCTGCCTTTGGAAGCTAGTTTGGAAACCCTAAAAATCCGCCAACGAGAAATATTTACGAAATTGTCAAACCAAACATTTGGTTTATTATTTAAATGATGTAAGACTCCCGCTAACCAAGCACACTAATCGAGTTTAAAATTTAAAAGAGATCACGATCACACGGGGGTTTAAAAAATATGAATATGAAACGCTTCAGCGAGTCCCGATTTAAGCAGTAAAACTTAAGAAATGCTTATGGGTTTAAGGGGCAGACAGGCCGAACAAGTTGAGCAAAATTGCAGTTGAATCGATTATATTATTATTTCCATTATGTCAGGTCTACCACACTACCGTATATCGAATGCCCAATGGACCAGCGGCACCGTTTTGGCCATAAAGGCACCGCCAGTGCCACTAATTCAATCTGGCCCATAAACTGGGTCTCTCTCTCTCTATCTATCTATCTCCTCAGCCCCCTCTTCTTTCTCCTCACTTCTGGTTTATTTTGGTTTGTTAGTCGGCCAAACAAATCTATAAATATGCATAAAGTTGGCTTAAAGACAGGCGCTTACATATGGCCCGGCAGCTCCTGGTCTTGCGAAAGCCGCAGGCAAAGCCCCCAGGCACTTAGCCTGGTTCCAAGCCAAGTGCCTGGCCACAGATTTTTTCTTTTTTTTGATTGCTCTCTAAGCGGGCTCTAGGAAGTGACAAGGAATTATTTGATTGTTTTTCGATTTTCGTTTAAGCGGAATGTGAGCACAATCATTATAAACCATTTTCATTGGGAACCCATTGAAATCTGGACGGGACATTATCGCTTATGATCTTTTATAGTTAACGACAGACCAGTATAGCCTGTCCAAATCATTCAAATTCCAAACTTATTTCAAATTTTATATTTTAAATTCATTAATGACAACCTTTAAGAATGCTGCTGAAAGTGATATATATTTATTATGGCCTTCTGCTTCCTGGCTGGCATACATTCAAAGCTGTTGTAAATCGTCGGCAAGACCTTACCATCCTCTGGCTTAAGTACTGGGTCATATTTACGCTGCTCCAGGGACTGGGCTACCTCACAGATATCCTCTTTGACGGATCACTGCCTTACACACTGCTCAAGCTAGTAATGGCCGTGATTCTTTGGCTGGGTTATCCGGACAGCTCCAGGATCATATACGAGTTTATCGATAAGCCAGTGCTGCGGAATCTGGAGCTGAATTTGGCTAACCAGGGGTTTATGTCGCTTGGTCAGCAACTACACAGCTTTTGGTCATCCGATCAAGAGGATAGTTCCGAGTACAATAAAGGTGAACCCCAGGTCAATGCTGAACTGTTGAAGCGGGAACTGAGCATTCTTATGGCCAACATTTCCGGAGGCGACACTTCTAACCGGGAATCCATGCCCAGGCAGAACTATAACCATGTCCAGCTACCGTCAGACCGCCAAGCTATGTACAAGATCAACTACCTCAACTCACGTTACCAAGTTCATTACTCGGAGGATGAGCAATCCGATTCGTTAAGTGACTGACTGAACTATTGTTTTGTTGCCTTGATTAAATGCGGAATCTGATCTGATCGGATTATCCGAAATCTTGGCGCTGTGATTCATTTTCGGGGAGTTTACAGAAGCAGCTGCCAATCTGGCGCGACCTTCCATTAATCTTCAATTGGGAAAGTTCATTGCCAGTGTGTTAATTAATTCATGGATCGACGGCAGAAATCGATGATCGGTTCGATCAGTAGCAATTTGTTGGCCAATGGCCCACATTGTAATTACAAATTGGTGAACAAAATTGTGTGTCGATAAAAGCAGAACACTTACAGCGATTCCCGGTCTCCGGTTCTAAGGGTCTGCAGCTGATTAATTGCGAATGGCAAGCGGAGAACAGAATGCAAAACAAAAGACTGAAGCAACGAACTTGCTGCGCCGGAACGGACGCGTGTGTGCTGCGGCTTTTGGGGAATGCGAATGCGAATGCTGCTGGCACAATCTTAATGCAATTAGCACACTATTAATCTTGATCAAGATCCGACAAATTCAACAGATTCTCAATAACAATCGCAATGTAAATGACGCATTCGTCACCCCGCCGTAAAGCAATTTGTTTCAATTTCGTGTGTCGATGATGGTTTGCGAATCCGATTCAGTTCATTTTGGGGCCTTAAAATCACAATGGGGGTCGAAGCGAATTCTAGAACCATAAAGGGGATATATCATTTTGAGGAAACCTTTATTTATTACTTTATTAATTTCCTGTATTCAATTGGATTAAGCAAATTAATAAAGAGCGTTAAATGTTAAGTGTTAAAAAGAAGAATCGAGTGTACATCAGAGAATAAAAGATTTATGACTCAATTATATATTGCTTTTAAATAATTGTGTGTAAAGAGTCGATATAAAATACGTGTTATATTAAGAGTAATGAATTAATAATGTACAATAGAAATATTATTATATTTTACTCCTTAAGTTTATCTTATTTTTATGCAACTATTCTTTGAATTCTTTTTGTACAGATTTCTTTGGCATTACTCACTATCGGTTCAAACCACTTTCATCAGCTGACTGCACCCACATCGCGGTGTCATTAGCTCCTGACCAAAGGTCCTTAGCCTTTGGCTGGACTCTTCTCACTTCTCAGAGCGAATGCTTCGAGGCTTCATTTAAATTTGGGTTAATCAGCGATAAAGCGCGCATTGCCATCGGACAGCATTGACATGAACGGAGTGCGAAATAAATATTTACATTTACATATTTTGTGGAAAACGAACAAAAAAAAAATAACAATAATAATAATGTGCAATTAATAAATCGGCTTTGTCTCGCATCGCTAATTGTTTGTCATTAATTTGCATAACAAAATTAATTGGCGGCATTTATGCAAATCCGAATATCTCACAAAAAATTACTTCCTAGGAGAGATGTGCCAGAAGATGACACCGCCCCAAGCTCTCGGACGTGGCACAGCCCAGAGCCAGATCCAAAGCCACTTGAATTGAAGTTCAAGTTTTTGCAATTGACCCACAAATTAATTATGCATGCAAGCTGTTGGTAACTGTGATTTTTGCCTTTTACAATCGCCTTACGCGCACACGTAATGTTCCCCCTTCGATCCCTCTCTCCTTCTCTCAGGCTCTATTATATTCCGTGTTATTTCCGTCAACATTTCATTTATTAGACACAATTACAATTGATTTGGAGTCGGAGTTGAGTTTCGATTTCAATTGCCGAAATCTACATATCTGTGAATGGTATGGGAACCTTTTCTTACGTCTGAATAATGCTGATGGCTTTTTAAATGCCTATTCGAAATGTCATGAGCGTTCAGCTCTGTGGGCAGGGTCATAACTTCGGCACTGGGTCTGTGTGTGAAAGAAATTTCAGCCGAAAATCGATCTGAATCGGAAGCCAATGATCTTAACCTTCGGCCAGAGCACGAGCTTTCATTCAAATCAATTCCCACGTGTCGGAACCATCTATATAGTACGAGTATTAAACTCCCGTAAAGAGCACTCATTATTAATTTTAATTGAAATCATTTTATTACGATTACAAAGGGATAATCAAATCGGAAAAGGTATTTTACAGCCAGTTAACAAATTTATGGCGAATTTATTAATTGGTTTATTGCACTGCCAACGATGTTTATTACAAATACTATATTTCTCACTCATTTTTTTGTGGCTTCATTAGCGATATTCTGTTAGCCCAAAGTACACCTTAACCTGTGCCCGTTCCTTGCGATCGAAACTGAAGGTAGTGAATAATCCGTAGTCCCCAGAGGGCAAGGGCATTAGATCCAAGACTTTTACGGGAAAACGGAAGTGTTCCAATATAATTTCAGGCTAATAAATATAATAATTATTACTATAAGGGATTTAATTAATAAACTGAACTTACTGGAATTGGGCACTTGTTTACATTGGTCCGATTGCCGAAGCTGTTGAGAATGATATTAACAAAAGGATGATTCCTCTTCTCCAAATATTCACACACATCCGATTGATAGACATTATATAGAAAAGGCTTGTAACCACTAGCTTTCTTCATCAATTGCATACGCATCTGGGAAAAATAAATATAAATTAAGAAAAAGGGAAATGTTATCTCAATAAAACAAAGTTCTAAAACCCAAAAGTAGGCCTGGTTTTTCAACTCAAAACACACAACACACTCATTTTCACAGTTTATGTCAAATAGCTGCAGTACAGACCTTACTTCCGTTGACTGACAAAGTTTATTACACTTTTTTCGTTTAAATTCAATTCACTTTCGAGCTGTGTGAATTTTTAACTAACTAACATAACTACATTTTGGAATTTAGGCGATCAATATGTGCTTCTTTAGCTGTGCGTCTCGATTGGTGTTCTTTATATACGGCACCCTGGGACCGGCATATCACACCTACAAGACCCTGAACAACGGGGACGATGAATTCCTGGCCTGGGCCAAGTACTGGATTGTTTACGCCTTCCTGGTCACCTTTGAGTTGCTGGCGGACGCGTTGCTGTCATGGATGGCGGTCTATATGCCCATCAAGCTGATCTTTATGGTGTGGATTGTATTGACCGCTCCATCTGCCAATGTCTGGATGTTTGATTCGATCCTTCATCCGTTGCTGGTCCACCGCCAAGAGCAGATTGATCAATTTCTTAACCGGGGCAAGTACAAAATCCTGAACGACTCCCTCAGAACTCTATCCCTGATGTGTGTCAATGGTCGAACCTTCATGAAGCCACTTATGCACTGGTGGTCCAAAACGAAAATGGGCCTCCGGATGCCCAATAAACTGGATAACTTGACAGACGCGACTGCAGGAGGAAATGACCAGGGTTCCGATGAGAGTTCAACGTCAGTTCAAACCTCAAGGATCAATGTGTGCACTCGGTCCAGTCCCCATACAAGTTTCACTCAAATCACCGATAACTCTGAAGAAATGCAGCCCGCTCTCCACTCGAATCGCTCCTTCGACCTGGCCACCAACATCATTTCACCGGAACCATCCTCTGCAACCGTTCGTCGCCAAGTTTCACGCAAAGGAAAGATGTCCAAGGTGTCCAAGACAGAGTCTAGCTGTATGTTTTCATCGCAAATTAACCTGATAACGCCGAAGGAGAAGCTCTACGACGGTGTTGAGGATCTGCTGGCCTCGTCAAGAATTGAGCCCGATGGCCAGGACGTCCGTCAACAACGTCAACTTGCCACTCGCAATCGCACTGTGATTTCCCAACAGTAACTCATCCGTTTGTGAGTTTATGTGTTTTACCAACAGAGGGTTCGTTAACTACGTTCAAGTAGTACTACTTAAGCAATACTTAAATTCAAAATGTGTTCAGAGGTTTTTGGATTCTTTTTTAAAGTCGTAAATAAAAATGAATAATCATTTTACTGGCTAGAATATTCTAATTGAACTTGGAGAGTTTAAAAAGTATAGCAAATATTATTTATTGCTGAAACCATTAAAAATTTTCGTATTTGTGGCATCATTACAAACGCGTTCAACCAAACAGAAGTCCCACAAAATATTCACAGCAACCAATGAACCAAATAGAGTAGAAAACATATGGTAAATTTTAATCCCCAACTCACCGATATCGGACGCTTTGGCCAGTGCAGAATATGGGCTTTTAGACTCATTTCCACCACATCCCTCTTGACGGCATACAATCGGCACAGGGAAATGTTGGTGAAACTCTCGTCCATGTTAAGGCACTCGATGTTTGTGAACTTGGATATTCCTTGAACCTGATGGCAAGCATTGTTTTGGATATAACCATCCAACTGTGGACAATAAAGTTCTGTCGGGCACTTGCCTGCGTAATGTATCCGAGGCCAATCCAAAGCAAGAGATCCCTTAACATGGCCATAACTGCAGACTCGGAAAAGCGTTTAATGACTGAAAAAATGCCATCGTTGTGGGCGTAACGAGCGCAGTTCAACCGAAAAAATAACCGATAAACATCCATCATTAGGGGCACTTATCAAATCGGAATAATTGCTACAACTTTCGATTTGTTGTGGAGTTTTAATTAGACAAAATCGTGTTGGTCTGTATCCAACAGGCAGCACTTAACTAACCCTAAGCGTAAACTACAATTGGGCAAAGGTATGGTGTGTGGTTTGTTTATGGAATTATGTTGTATTGTGATTGGTGGGGGTCTAATCACTGCCCTCATCTTCATCATCATCCTCATCCTCGTCGCTGGGCTGCTCACTCTCCTCCGCTTCACTTTCGCTCTTCTTGGAACTGTTTTTCGAATTGTCGGCATCCGCAGACTTGCCCTTCTTCTTGGCGGGTTCTTTGTCCTTCTCGTCGGAGCTGGTGGAGTCGTCATCAGATATGTACTCCTTGCTCTTAAAGTTACCGCCGGAGGTATTTGCCTTTTTAGTTGGAGATGAATCCGTTTTGCGCTTCTTAGTTGCCTTTCCGCCTTTCTCGTTGTCGCTACCGCCACCAGCTCCTGGTTTATAGTTACGCATCTCATCCTGGTAGCGCTGCTTGTCCTTGTTTGCTGCCTCCTCCCACTTGGACTTGTCCTTCAGCTCCTTCCACATCTCACCGCCCTTTTTGGCTATTTCGGTGACCTTAATGCCTGGATTGTCCCTCTTGATACTCTCGCGAGTATCGTTCAGCCACAGCATGAATGCGGTGGTGGCACGCTTCGGCTTGCCGGTGTCTTTCTTCTTGGTGGCTTTTTTCTAAAGAAAAAATTATTAGTACGTCGCAGATACTGAAACAGGCTTCGTTCTTACCGTTCGCTCCTTCTCTTTGTGCTTCTTTTCCTTCTTCTCCTTCCTTTCGGACTTCTTTTCCTTCTTCTTTTTGGCACCATCGCTGTCGCCGTCGCCACCGCCACCGCTGGCATCGCTATCATCATCCGAATCACTCTCCACATTGCTGTCGTACTCTTCGGCAACATCGGACTCGTTTTCGTTTGGCTTGAAGTCCTCGTCCGTGGACTCCTCATCGGAATCATCGCCATCATCGTCGTCCTCTTCTTTTTCCCTGGCCTCTGCCTTGAGGCGAGCCAGATAGGCATCCGGTTCGTTCTCGTTATCCGAATCCCCAAAGTCCACATCCTTGTAGCCGCTTTTGTCCTTGCCCATGTTACTCACATGCAACTTCTTCTGCGTGATGAAGTCAAAGAGCTTGGCGTACTCCTCCTTCTCGATGGATGAGAAAATGTGGACGGTTCCGTTCTTGAGCGTTACCTCAAAGTCGAAAGAGCGGGTAGAGCCACCGCTGCGGGCAAAGTTCACTGAGCTGATCTCCTCGAATCGGATGTGCAGCGGTGGCTTGTGAATGTAGATAAAGCCACGCTCTAGGGGATACAGATAGCCAGCCGCGGCCTTGAAGGAGCAGCCCACTGCAGCCGTGCCAGAGTGTCCAATGAAGTTACCCGGGCCAGTGATCTTGCGTCCAATGAGCACCTTCATCACCTTGCCCATCACTTCGTAAACCGGTCCAGACAGCTCCTTCTCGAGCTTGCCCTCGTACTTTTCGCGCAGCTCAGCCTCCGAGAAGGGCAGCTCAATGGTGGTCTCTTCGTCAGGGGCGAAAAGAAGCACCAGGTAATGGTAACGCGTCTGTCCCTGTTTGATGGGAGGATCCAAGGAGAGGACAAAGAACATCTGACGACTGTCCTTGTGCGGCAGCATGAAGAGGCGCAGCACCGAGTCCATGGGAATCTTGTAATCGAACGTCTTGCCGTGCAGCTGGAAGAAGGTGGAGAAGATCTTGATGTCGTAGCGACCTCGAGGCGTGAGGATCTGGATCTCCCTGAATATGGCGATGGACTCGCCAGAGGCCGAGATGACAGAGGCCTTGCTCATCACATTTTGATGGAACTTGTCCACTGGGTCCTCCTCCGCCGACTCTACGGCAGGTATGTGGAATCGCATCTCTAGCAGACCCACGGGCGCATCGTCATTTTGATGAAACTCCAGAGTGACTTCATTCTTGCCCGTGACGCACTGCGAAACATGGGACAGCGGCACCTCAAAGATGGTCTTGTTTTCTTTGTCGAAGCTGAGGACGGAGCCCATGAAGCGAGCGGTGCCCCAGTTCCAGCCCTTGACGCACATCTCCTTCTCGACCATGCCCTGCTTGTACGCATCCTTGATGAATTTACCCAGCTTCTCGTGCTCGCTATCCCGGAATCCGGTAAAGCGGTGCAGCGCGCCACTCTTGGTGAACACCCTTAGCCCCCAGGTGCCGACGAACTTTTGCGAGTTGATCAGATCTATGTCGTCCGATGCGATCTGCTCCACCTTGCCGGTCTTTGTGTTCTTGAAGATGATGTGCTGATCGGTCAGCTTCAGACGTCCGGAAGACTGGCGCGCGCGAAAATGGGATGGAAAACCGGCGTCAGACGAAATGTGTGACAATTGCAAATTCTGACACTTACCATGACACCGCGCACCTCAGCGCTTATGTCGTTGTACTCCAGGGAGTCGGTCATCGTCACTGTTTAATGCAGTAAAAACTTAATAAATGTAACAATAATTACACCGCCTTGCGAAATAATGTAAAAATTCGAGAGGAATTGGCATGCGAAAAATGCCGACAACAAAAAACAACAAAGCGCGCCCGATTCTAGGTTAGACGACGCTGCCGTAGGGATGGACCGTTGTCATGGCATATATCGATACATCGATGAGCTAAAATCACGAGAACTTGTTGGTTTTACAGGGTAATAAACAATTTATAGCATAATAGTTTAAAAATACGGGTTCTACTTCTTGGAATGAAAATCTTTTATTAAAAATATCTGCTAAATATTCATATGGAATTAAAATAAACTATCGAAACACTACTGTTTTGACAGGAATTTCCATCACTAATCGGCAGTGTAAATAAAATAAATGAGCAAATTATTTTAACTTAAAAAGTAGATTCTCCTAGACATGCAGCGTGGTAAGATTTCCTTCGGGAAAATCCAACTGAATGTCAACAAGGCGCCCTCTGAACCCAAGGCTAATGAAAACCCAGGGGAAAATGAGCGGGAGGAATCCTCTCAAGCCGGCAGCAGCAGTGGAGGCGGTGGATTCAAGAAGATGGACAAACAACAGATGATTCGGCAAATCGAGGATGTGGCCGAGGATCTGGAGAGCCAGCACCTGAAGGAGGTGATGGGCATCAGCGGATTTGGACGAAAGGCAGCCAAAGTGTTCGACATTAACGAGCAAATAGAAAAGGCCAGGATTACGCGGCCTGGATTGGACAGAAACAAGGAGGATCCCACCCAGAAAGCGGATGAAAAGACAGAAGAGGAAGAAGAAGACGTTATCGGACCTCTGCCACCGGTTCCCGCAGAGGAAAAGAACAAATCCACCAAGGACGATGCGAGCAAAGAGGATTCCGATGATGATTCGGATGATGACGATTCCGATGATGAGCAGAGCCTGGCCAAGCGCATACCCTACACCCACGAGGTGCAGATGCAGCACGGATCCCGGGCTGTCCTGGCCCTGGCTGGAGATCCCTCCGGTGCCCGTTTGGTTTCCGGCTCCATAGACTACGATATGTGCTTCTGGGACTTTGCCGGCATGGACTCCGGCATGCGCAGCTTTCGACAGCTCCAGCCCTGCGAGAATCATCCAATCCGCTCTCTGCAATACTCCGTGACCGGCGACATGATCCTAGTTATCTCAGGAAACGCCCAGGCAAAGGTGCTGGATCGCGATGGCTTTGAGAAGCTGGAATGCTGCAAGGGCGATCAGTACATTTCAGATATGTCGCGCACAAAGGGGCACGTGGCTCAATTAACTTCGGGCTGCTGGCATCCCTTCAACCGAGAGCAGTTCCTCACCGCAGCTTTGGACGGAACCCTGCGCATCTGGCAGGGCCTGAAGGCCAAGGAGCAAGTCCAGGTTATCAAGACCAGAGCTCAGGGCGGCCTGCGAACAAACGCCGCGTCGTGCAACTTCAATCGGGATGCCACATTAATTGCAGCTGGATGTGTGGATGGATCCATTCAGACCTGGGACACGCGCAAAATGTTCGTCAACACAACGCACTGTGTCAGGGGAGCGCATCAGAAGGGCTCCGAGATTACCTCCATAGTGTTCTCGTACATGGGACAACAGCTAGCCACCAGGAGCAACGACGAGACCATGAAGCTGTGGGATTTGCGACAGTTCAAACAGCCACTGCACACCTGGACGAATCTGTTTTCGCGCTACGACACTACCGACTGTTGCTTCAGTCCGGACGACCGACTGCTGGTGACCGGCGAATCACTGCCCAAGGATCAGACCGAGGCGAATCTGTATTTTTACAGCACCAGGAACTACGAGGAAGTGCAACGCATTCCCGTGTCCAACTCACATGTGGTCAAGACACTGTGGCACCCCAAGCTCAACCAGCTCTTTGTGAGCTGCGGCAATGGAACTATTAAGTGCTACTACGACGAACATCGCAGCATCCGCGGCGCCAAGTTATGCGTGGTAAAGAGCCACCGCAAGCGACAGCCGATGGAGATGGTGGGCGTGTCCCAGATCATCACGCCACACGCTCTGCCGCTGTTCAGGCAGGAGAAGTCACGCTCCTCGCGCAAGAAGATGGAGAAGGCGCGCATGGATCCCGTCAAGTCGAAGAGGCCGGATCTGCCCATCACCAGCGGTCAGGGCGGCCGAGTGGCAAGCTCCGGCGGTACTCTTTCCTCATATGTCATCCGGAATCTTGGCCTGAGCAAACGAGTGGACGACGATCAGGATCCCAGGGAAGCCATCCTCAAATACGCAAAGGACGCAGCGGAGAATCCCTACTGGATAGCACCTGCCTACAAGCAAACCCAGCCAAAGGCCATCTTCTCCGAGAAACTCCCCGCAGATGAGCCGGTGACTAAGAAACCCAAAACAGAGGCGGACAAATAAGAAGTTAATTGGTTACTTAGGTTACTTAGCCATGTAATTAAATATATTCGGTAGTACAACAGCCTTTTTGACTCCAACAGTGGTCCACAATATTTGGCAACTAGACCATCACATCCTGCAGGCGGTAACAATCAGAGACGATCTTCCACTTGTCAGCGTCGGCTGTTACGATGAACGACTGCTGATAGTTGCGCATTGGCTGGTCGCCGTACTTTACGGTACCGCTGGCCAGGATCACATAGGTCAGCTGCGTGCCCACACATTCATCCATAATGGGTTGAGCGTCCAGATTCGTCATTTGGTGTGTGGATGACGGCAGTTCAACGAAGTAGCGTTCGATCATCTCACGCCCGGTGGCCCCGTTGCCGTTCCAGCTGAAGATGGCGTTGTTAATGTAGAGACGACCCATTTGCTGGAAATTGAAGGTGTTGGTGTTATTTCGTATGCTGTTGCAAATAAAGTCTCCGGCTTTTGGTTGCCAAACAACTTACGTGCCGGCGGTTGTCCAAGGAGGCGTAGTATAGCCGCGTAAAGTCCTCCGCCGTGCGGGCGCAGGCTTCAATCTTCGTTCGGAGATCCTATAATGTTTTTAATGTAGTTATATTTGAATTAAATATTACATTTAAAAAACTCACGCTATTCATGTTGTTCATTCGCGCAGTTTCAATTAGTGTGACCAAGGTGTGGCCGCGACAATAACGTCTAATTGGCCCTCAATACATATTTCGCCGACAGAGGGAGCTTTATGACCGTTAAAAATAACAATTTTAAAATACTTATATTTATATTTAAATCTTTTTTATGTGATTAATATCAACATTCATAACTATTTACGTATAACATACAACTTTTACAAAATAAAATTTATTTTGTTTCATTTTTCACCTACCACAAAAAAATCGAATTATCAAATCAAAATTAATGTTACGTGTTTTTGGGTCTTTGTTTTAGTCATCTGATAGATTTCAAAAGGCTTTTTTTAATAAAAACAAAGTCTTTTTAGTTTTTCATTATATTTTATTACATATAAGTTCAATAAATATTAATAGTATAGCTTGTACAACTTCTTAGGCTACCCCTGTGCGTTTTCCTAACTGTTTTTTGCAATATTGCCTCCAATAAACTGGCACTTATTTGCCATAGCTGTCAGTGTAGGCGGCGCGTCTTGCATCGGCGCGATCCTTGCGAGCCTCGAAGGAGTCATCGGCCAGATAGTGTGGCCCGTAGGCCTCCGAGTCGTAGGAACGACGGTTGTAGTTAAGCCCATTCCTGGACTTGCCGTACACTTCGCTCTTTGGGTAGCAGATGAAGTAGTCGCCCTGGTAGTAATCCGCACTGGCACGCTTTTGACGCACTGGCTCTCCCGTAATATCTGTGGCCGAAACGAATCCTGTATCGTTTATGGGTGCGGCCTCGAGCAGGCTCATGCTGAAGATTAGGAAGATCACGGCGAAGGAGATGGAGAACTTCATGTTAATCCTGATATTTGTGAGTTTGTTGAGTTTAATTTGAATGTGAATTGTTTGCTGGTTTAGTGTGTCCACTGCTGGCTGAGTTCCTTGCGATTCTGTGCTTAAACTGGCATCCGACGTTCGCTTTTATAGTCGCGAATATTCCCCAATCCTCGCTAATTGTTATGACAGACCGCGTCGCTCCGTCACCCAAGATTCCAGTGACACTAATTTAATTTGCCGCGCATCTTTTGGTCCAATTAGCAGGGATCGACGCCGCACAACATTTCCGTCAATGCGGTCGGTCCAGCCTTTTTGGCCAGTTTTTTTTAGCATTTGAGTCCAGTCTTACTGCTCCTCCATGTGTGACGTCAACTGGGGGTTGAACATTTTTAACACCTTTTTGGGGGAGGCATTTCTTGGTTTGATTATTGCGGTTTAGCGTTTGTCGGCTTTTGTTACTTTTGTTTTTTGTTGCGGTAGGCACTGCCGTCGAAATACTGATGATTCACTTTCAATCCAGAGTTGGCTTCTTGAACGAAGCACGGTAAGAAATACATCACCGAATTGGTCATCAATTAGGATTTTTTAGTATCATATTTGTGACGTATTAAGATGGGACTGAAATACAAACGAAAAGTAAGAATAGAATCAGTATATTTAGTAAGATTTAAGAAAATATAAAGGTCTATGTAAAGATCTATCTATATACAAATATGGAGTTTTATATAATAAATAATTCTTCGTTTTATGCTTCTGCCTTTACTTATATAATTTGTGTTTAGCAAACCACAAGATCCATGGACCACAGAGCCAGCCAAGTTAAGTCCACTACGTGATTGAACACTTTGAGTATTGATTTTGGGGTTGGGGATATTTTTAGACCATTAATTTAATTGAGTTCAACTGCCCAAATATCAAAAATTATGTAAATAAAGGGTGCACCACGAGATAGTGTTTTCATGTTGCCAATATTAAGCAAATCTTGAAATTGCATTGTGGGGGAAGTTGTTAATTAAGTGTAAATGCGAAAACTTAGAATAAACATGAATCATGTTGACAACGTTCCTGCTACTACGGAAATGAATCTCGAATCCCACAATCGAGAGTGGAAAATATTTGTTCCTGCTAATTAGAGATTGTGAATCATAAGATCGTCGTGGGGTCACATCAAACCCTGGAGAAGCATCTCACAAACTGGTGAAATGGTGTGCCAGGAACCTGGGCAGGTAATTTTCCGTACCGAAATACTGGTCTTATCAGAGAGTTCGGCAAAACAAATACACAAAACCCCTGTACCAAAATCCAAGCTCATATGTCTGGAAATTGCTGGAATTAGCTTGAATTTGTATTGATTTATTAATTAGTGTGTTTGTTGGTCAAAAACAGGTTACATTATTCCTAAAATAGCGATTCCTTTAGGTAGTAGGGAATATATTTCGCAACCAATTTCATAACTTGCCTTAGGAGAAAACCACAATAAATAAACACCACTAACCACAATAATTAACCACAATAAATAACCACAAACCAACCACATATTTATGGTCCAGATGGGCTATTTTTTAGTGGAAGATTTCTCATTTGTGGGAAAAAATAGAATTTCGTTCGAGTTTTGGGTGGCACTCATCGATTAGCGTTTGGCGACCGGTTCCCATTACCTGCGTAGTATTTGCGAATATTTGGTTATATGTGGTGAAGTGCGTAAGCGATCTGCCACGCCCCTTACACCCTTAAGTCCCCTTCTATTAACGCTCGAATTAAACTCTGATTTTGTTTTCGCTTCTGTCGTTTTTGTCTATTTTTGGCTTTATTTGAAGTAAGGCAAATTATAGAGATTAACGTCCCCAGGAGCTGGCTGAAGCCGAAGCTGACGCTGATGCACTGGCGCCTCCGAAGCCACCGCCTCCGAAGCCACCGGGATAACCGCCGCCGAAACCGCCACGACGATAGCCACCGCCTCCGCCGCCACAACATCCTCCACGACGACCCCAACCGCCTCCGAAGTGCCGAGCTGCCCTCACGACGGCTCCTTCATCGGTTCCCGGCTGGACCTCGGCATCCTCCAACGTCAGCTGATGTTGATCCTCCTGGACGGGATGAGCGTTCGTCAGCGCCAAGATCGCTCCGAAAATGACGACAATAAGTACAAATAGCTTCATATTGGAGAGTCAAACACTTTCTAGTTCCAAAACGATCGAAACTGCGAACTTATATAGCATTGAAACTATACGGGGAAATCCCTCCTGAAGAGGCTGAGTTCTAGCAGCTATGTGAGAGTAAATCTGGCCAGAACCAAGCATCATTAGTTACTGCCGCCGGGCAATTATCCCATGATGATGACTTCACTAAAAGCCTGAGGTCAACGGAAATCCCAGACGCGTCAATTGATACCTCAAAAACACCCCCGAAATTTGTATCTAGGATTTATTGTAAAAAACAATTTAATCAAAGCAAAAAAGGGCACAGGAAAATAAATTTGTTTTATTTTGAGATATTTGTAGGGTATTTACCGGTATAATAACTTTAATCAGAAGTTTAAAGAACATTAAAGGAGTCAATTCTATCATTTCGGCGTGCTATTCCATTCCATTCCATCTTTCCTTATTCGCTTTCTCTCTCTCTCTCTCTCACTGTTGCTCTCTTTCTCTTTTTTAGTGCATCCATCTAACTTTCTCTAGAGATTTCTCTCTCGCTCTCACTTTCTCTTTTCTCTCAACTCGGGGACTATAAATAGAGGCAATACCTTCGCGCGCGCCTCAGTCTGTCCGTGGGGTACCTAGCGTTTACATCTCCAGTGATAGTGGTAATATGATAGTGATAGTGCGACTCGACTCCAAAAATATCACTTGACCAATGTATAACCAGGAAGAAGCTCATTTCGATGACACAACGAAAGGCCCAATTTAAGTCAGCAAGATTATAACTAATTCTACTCCGGAAGGAATTAAGCAATGACGTGTCGCCGGTAAGTCTTAACCATGTCAATTGTATCATCTATATAAGTGCTATATGAGGTATCAGGCCTGTGCCTAGAATCAGTTGTGCCAGCTTTGCGTTTATTTTCCATTAGATTCCTTTAATGCCATGGACCCCATTACTTAATTTTTATTTAAAGTTATACAGCAATTTGTATTAAGGATATCTACTCAAAATTAACAGCTAACTTAATTGTGGATTATTCACCAATATTATAGATTCCTCTCTTGTGCTTTAATATTAAATGCAAAATATAACTTGATATTTTTCTTAATGTACATACCTGCATGCCTTATACCTTTAAGACCAGCCCCCAGAATGGGGGTTTTCTTATCCCATTTCTGAGTCCCATCGAATTCCATGGTCAACCGCTATTTAGTGATCACTGACCCGATGAAAGACAAATTTTGCGCAGTAAATAAACTGCACACTATGATAGGGATCGACTTTACTTTATTGTCTAAGAGATTGGTGTCTGTTTTAATAGCTCAGGGGAAGCACGATAATTACAAGCTACAGTAAAAATAAAAAATTGTGTGAGAAAGTCAAACCCGTTTATTGCCCGGCTTTCAAGTCATTCAAAGGAATAAACGTTAAACCAATGATGATCGACAGATGGACAAATAAAACGAAATAAACGTAACAAAATTAATTATAAAGAAATGTTATATCAAAGCAATAGGTATAACCGGTTTTATATTATTTCTCGACATTACACAATCTTATTACGCCCTTTTATTATTGTAAATAGTAGTAAGGTTCCCCATGAGTTTCGTTTTTAATTAATTACCTGACGGACATCTTCAGTAATAATAAATGATAAAGGCAAATTTCTTAGTAACAGGTTTGTATTTGTAAAAGTATTTATATAGCATTAATTTTTCTTAAATTCTGATGTTTTTCTAGGTTTTATAAATATGAGATTCTAAAGATGTATCTTTTATAGTTTTTACAAAAACTTTTGTAACCGTGGGGAAGGATTTTTAAATGTAAATCTACTAACATTAATTCTATGTTATAATTAAATTACTATTTTATATAGTTTCCTTTTATTACCATATAGTTATATATATATATATATATATATCTCCCCGCAAAGACACGCTTTGATTAATTTGCCAAATTGGATTGACTAACTGGCAGATGTCTAGCCAGTTTTAATCGAATTAAAAGCCGAAGATTTCCATGTCTGGCGAAACGATCTTCAATTAGTGCAAATATTATAATTTAAGATTGTCTGGGAGGTAACATGGTAACACATGGGAATCACTGGGGAATCTGATCTCTTATACGTATAAGATGATTCAGAATTGGTCATGCGAAGATCGAGTGGAATGCAGCTATTCAGGGGTGAATAGATCTCGAGTCGCTAATTAACTTGACTATTGACAATCTATTATTATACTCGTACTAAGCAAATATTAGGCTTTGCAGAAACGCCCCCAGCAGATATTGGCGGTATATATTTTTATTGAATGAAACAACAAGCCCAAAAACTAAGCCAAAAAAACCCGCGGAAGTGAGCGATCGAGTTAACGGTGTGAAGCAGATTGACTGACTTATTTGGCCAACTTTCGGCAAGGTCAATGTCGGGTGTAGCGTGGGCCAAGTTAAGACGACGACGATCTCGACTCGCAAACTGGGCGTGAAAGCACGGCGTGGACCGAACCAGTTGATGACGTTCTGGCTTTGTTCCGCTCGGTCTGCGATTTTTATTTGAATTTGGCGCCGGCGAAGGTCTTCTTGGTTGTTTTGTTAATTTTGGCAACAAACTAATTTGGAAATTCACCCAAGAACTCTGCGGTATAAAACTATATTGGGTTTTTCGCCAAGTCTTCAGTCTTTCGTAATGTATCTACCCGCGCGCTTGTCTCTGCTGAGTCTTCTCCTTTCGACGGTGGCCCTTGGCCAGAAGAGTAAATCCCGCGAGGATCGACCGCAGAGCAGGACTCTGGGCCTCCTGACGCCTCTCCTGCTGGGCGGTGGGGCTGGTCCGCTCTTCGATTATCCCGTGGCTGCACCCATCAGACCAGCAGGTGGCTCATCCTCAGCAGGAGCTGGAGGAGCAGGAGCACAATCGGATCCTTTGGACTCGTACTATGGCAGCAGTTATCCCAGCTATGGCTATAGACCCAACTATGGATATGGGTATCCCAATTATGGCTATAACTATGGTTACCCTGGTTATGGTTATGGCTATAATCCGTATAGACCCAGTTATAACTACAATTACGGAGGCTACCAGAGACCACAGCCATATCCTGGCAACTATGGAGGATACCAGAGACCACAGCCTTACTATGGATACAGACCGAGCTATAGTGCTGCATCTGTGTCCAGTTATCCCGGATACGGAAGTACAGCCAGCATTTCCAGCTCTCCTTCCTATGCAACCACGACGTCTGGTTTGGGCGTGGGTTCTGGGGTAGGAGCCGGAGCTGGAGCAGGAGTTGGTGGAGCTGGTAACCAGCAATTATCCCAGGCCCAGGCCGCTCAGTTAGCAGGACTTTTGGGCCAGGCCCTAGGTAGCAGTCTGCGTCCCCTGCTGGCTAATGGAGGTGCTGGAGCAGCCTCTGGTTCACCCGGCGTGGGCGCTAATCCACAAGCACTGAGCGGTTTACTCGGCCTGCTCGGTTAGGCCATAAATCAGTCAGTATTAATGGAGCTCGTCTCACATTACTTTTTATTAGTAGTAAGTCACAGTTATTTTATTCATAGTAAGATGTTTGCACTAAAAAAATCATAGTACCAATCATTTGACCTTTCACTGAGAAGTAAACAAATTCAACTCAACATTTCAATCATTGAGATTAATTTGATCAGAAAATAGGACACTAAACATATTAGAAAAACGCATTCCTTATTCATCAATTTAAATTGTTTTGAATTCTCATAAAAAAACGAAGCCATAAATATTGCCTTTCTTTTAAAATCTTAGACCATTTCTGTATAAAAATAATCAAAGAATTGTTTAAAAAAATGTTCAATGTTGATATAGCTCATAGAGCTCTTAATTCTTTAAGACAATCTTGTTTAAATATTAATTGATGTTGTATATTGTTATTGTTTGAGAAAACAAAATGTATTGATGTTAATATTTTGATTATATTTAATTTTTAGCTTATCTAACCAAATTTTAATTCCTATAATTTTAACAACTACATTTCTTCCTCTGTATTTTATAGGCAACGTTTTTTATAGTTTTTAATGTTGTTACTCAGCGAATCCATGTAAATTGTGTTAATTAAATTTATTTTTATTCGTTAGCAATGTGGAATAGCTGTTGGGTCAGGGCTTTGCCGTTCTTTCCCCGTCTTTAAGTTGCACATAAATTCTAATTAGTGGGTGGAAAACTGCACTCTGATGGGGTATAAAGGCGGACCGGATTATCACTTCAAGTGCAGTAATCTTTAAAGCATCGGACCAAGATGCAGCTCTTCTATTTCTTGGTCGTTGTGGCAGTTCTGGGCGCTGCCTATGCCCAACCTGTTGGTGAGGATGAGGGTACTGCTACACAACTGGAGGATATGGCCGATTTGGGAGCTGACCAGCCACAGGAGGGAGATGGAGCGAGACCTCGCCGCTGGCTCTGGGGAGGATGGGGTGGTTGGGGAGGCAACGGTGGTTGGGGAGGCGGTTGGAACCGGCGATGGGGTGGAGGATACGGTGGAGGATGGGGTGGAGGCTGGAGAGTCTCCTACCACCCCTGGAGCAGCAGTTCCAGCTACTGGTGGTAGTGCCTCTGTTAGACAGTCGCTTCCCAAAAAGCCGCAGCGTTATTTTTAATAAAACGATTCCCACAGACTTTGGCAGCTTTGTGTTCAAGTTTTCTGTAAGCTCGCAGGTCCAAACTCAAGCGCAGTTTAGTTAACAAACAAAAAACAAAGCTTCGAGAAGCTTTTTTAAATGCCAATTCAAAAAACCCAAATAACAAAAAACGCTCCTTTTGTTATTGCCTTCAAATTTCATGGGAAACATAAAATATTGTGCAGCGTAAACAAGTCTATTCCGAAATAGTAAACAAGAAACTGGAATGTCGGTCGTTGGCCAAATAAAAGGCCCGGGATTTTTTGGGAGAACCACAGTCGTTCTAAGCCAAGAACCGAGAATAAAGCTCTCAAACCACTTCAAAAATCGAAATTTATATCAACAAAATGCGTCTGATCCTGCTGTCTGTCGTTGTTCTGTTGGGACTGGCCTATGCCTTTGCCCTGGAGGATAATGGAGCCAATCTGAAGGATCTGCTGGGAGTGGCCGATCAGGGAGATGCCCATGCCGAGGCTGGATTGCGTGAAGCACGAGGATATTATGGCGGCGGTCGAGGAGGTCATTATGGAGGTGGACATGGACACTATGGAGGTGGACATGGACACTATGGTGGACATCACGGACATGGACATTATGGTCGCTAATTTCCAGCTCTCAACTTGTCATTGCCAGATTGTATTTGATGATATGATATTTTGTAAATAAAAAAGAATTTTTTAAATAAGAAACAATTAAAGTCTGAGATTTTCTTAAAAGTTTAAAAGCGTATTGCTTGGTATTTGAATATTGGTATTTGAAACAAATTAGCAGAATTATTACCAATATCACCACTAAAATCTTTGATTAAGCTTAACAATAATTAATTGGCTATTTATATTCACGAAAAACAAGGGATAATTATATGTTAAATATATTAATAATAGTTAAAAATTCACTCTTTTGTTTAAAGAATAAAAACAAAGTGCATAAGATTGATTAATAATTATCATATTGTTAAAATTATTAATTGGTTTTGAGTAGCATAATATTAAAAGTTGGTTTTGTTTATATTGGATTTAGTTTACTTTTCACAGGATATCGAATTTTTAAACAAAACCAAGAATTTTAATTCCTCATAGAAGACGAGCCCCCCTGGCAGACCTAGGACTTAATGAAATAAATAAATAATTAAAAAAGCTTTAGCTTTTCAAAAACTTCTCAAAGCTCAAGCTCTGTTCGTTCAAATCAGGTGGAACTCAAGTTTATTCAGATAATTATAAACCATATATTAGGGGGCGTGTGTTTTTTTCTCGCCCAACTCGCACGAGTCAATTATAGGTTTTATTTATTTTTTAGCAAAATATCAAACGACGCTTGGGATATTCGGAGGAACCTGTATTGACAGCTCAGGTTCAATGCCTTGGACTCGTAAATCCCCAAGTTGTTTACTTTTTTTCACGTCTAGATCACACAAGTCGCTCTTGACATTCATTAAACAATCGGGAGCTTATTACCATATGAATCCTTGTTAAATATTTATGCTAATGGGGATTATCAAAGCCATATGGCTTATTTAAACTGGACATTTAGTTGATTAGACTATAGTTATTAATAGTTGGAAACACTTTTTTGACAAGGTTTTCCATGGCTGGTTAAACCACATCTGAATATGTATGCATTATATCGGAGGGTATTCCTCAATATAGATTTACTATATATACTTACTATGTTATGTATGATTAAAAATGTATTTTTACTTGCCTACATTATTATTATTTGTTTACAAGTTAATGGAAAATTTCTAATGGGTCATCAAATTGACGTTAATCTGGCAGTTCTGGGCTCCAGTTAAAAAATTGGAATCGTAAAACCCAAAAACTGGTCCCAATTGTTTAGGCTAATCGAATGATCTATGTATGAATCCACTTAGGAGAAGCATCCCGACAACTTTCGCGAAATGAGACATTTAAATTTGAAATGATTCAGTAATGACAGCAACAAATAACCGAAAAATAAAAAATTAAAAGGCAGACGACTGACAGAACAACAAAGAGTGTAATAATTGTGTGGTGAAATATATAACGACACAGCAGAGGCCCGGTCGAAAAAGCCCCTAAACAGTCACACAAATGAAAAAACACGAGTGCAATCCCACCTTTGGCCAGGTATACTTGTTAACAAATGTAGGAGCAGGTGAGCTAGGCGGGATGCAGGGAGCACAGGAGAGATGAGATGTGATGAGATGAGCTTGGCTTATTGATGCGTACGAGAACAGGAACGTCGGTCTCGACGACTCACGGGCTCTCGGATTTAAATAAAAGGCCCCTGGCAGAGTCCACCAAATATCAGTTGCACTCAGATCTTCTACAGCAATCAATCGAATCGAAATCGAAATCTAAATCTCAAGATGCGTCTTACTTTGGTGGCCCTCATTGCCGTCCTCTGCCTGGCCTATGCCCACGCTGCGGACGATGCCCAGCCGGACAACGAGCAGGTGATCGGACTTTTGGATGTCGCCGACCAGGGAGCAAGCCATGCCAACGATGGAGCCCGAGAGGCCAGGCATTGGGGTGGCGGATACGGCGGATATGGCGGATATGGAGGATGGGGACATGGTGGCGGATGGGGACGTGGATATGGTGGCGGCTGGAACCGTGGATGGGGCGGCCGTGGCTGGGGACATGGTGGCTATGGACGTGGTGGCTATGGATGGGGCCGATAAGCTGCCACTGGACATCCCGCCGAGCTGTCACCGTCTGACCACGCCTCCGATATGGTGTGTGACCAGGCCAAGCGGACTCCCACGGATGTCAATTTGTTAATAAAGAACATTTAAAGCATTAAAATTTGATTGTGATTTTGTATGCCCGTTGAAGAGGTGTCAAGCAGAGGAGGTACTTGGTTCTCGGTCTATAATTATAATTTTTCAAGGGGTATATTCACTGCAAGCAACAGTTTGCAGTCGTAATCAACATTCTTTAAGGAGAGAATGGTCGGAAATCAACCATAAATTACCTGCTCATATGTTAATCTAAATATGCTTAAAGGAATAATTGAAAAAATTCAATAATTGAGTCAAAAACATAAAAGTGAAATGACACATGATGTAATGTTGAAAACACCCGAATAATTTGATTCTAAGAGTATCTTAGGCTTCGGTTCTTTATACCCATTCCCTTTCGTGTGAAACCATTTAAAACCCCTGGTCCAAGGATATAGGGCTTAGTGCAAGACCGAATTAATCCTAGACGACATGGAGAATTTCCTGCAAGTGCAAAAGAGCACCATTGCCCTGCTGGGATTTGATCTCTTCAGCGACAAACAGGAGATGTGGAAGCGTCCCTACAGGGCCATGAACGTGTTTGGCATAGCGGCCATCTTTCCCTTTATCCTGGCAGCCGTGATCCATAACTGGAAGAATGTGATGCTGCTGGCAGATGCCATGGTGGCTTTACTAATCACCATTTTGGGACTCTTCAAGTTCAGCATGATTCTATACTTGCGAAAGGATTTCAAGCGGTTGATTGTAAAGTTTCGTTTGTTGATGACCAATGGTGGGTCTACGTTTTAAAATCATTGATTCATTTACTTCAAGAATTCCCCTTAAATTTATAGAGGCGGACCAGGGTGAGGAGTACGCGGCGATCATCAACGAGGCCAACAAGCAGGACCAGCGTATGTGCAGCATTTTTAGGACCTGTTTCCTCCTGGCTTGGGCCTTAAACAGTGTCCTGCCCTTTGTGCGAATGGGTCTCAGTTATTGGCTGGCAGGACATGCTGAGCCAGAGTTGCCATTTCCCTGCCTGTAGTTACAATGTTTTCCAAAATATGATATAATTTTTTAATGGGTATTCTCCCCCTAGGTTTCCCTGGGACATTCACATTCTACGAAACTACGCCCTAAGCTTCGTTTGGAGTGCCTTTGCCTCGACTGGTGTGGTCCTGCCAGCTGTTAGCCTGGACACCATTTTCTGCTCCTTCACCAGCAATTTGTGTGCCTTTTTCAAGATTGCCCAGTATAAGGTTTTGAGATTCAGGGGTGAAAATCTGGAGAAATCGCAGGCCACGCTCAACAAGGTCTTCGCCTTGTATCAGACCAGTCTGGATATGTGCAATGACCTGAATCTCTGCTATCAACCCATTATCTGTGCCCAGTTTTTCATCTCCTCACTGCAGCTGTGCATGCTGGGTTATCTGTTCTCCATAACCTTTGCCCAAACCGAGGGCGTGTACTATGCCTCCTTCATAGCCACCATTATCATTCAGGCCTATATCTATTGCTATTGCGGCGAGAATCTGAAGACGGAAAGCGCCCTCTTCGAGTGGGCCATCTATGACAGTCCCTGGCATGAGAGCTTGGGTGCTGGAGGAGCCTCCTCCTCGATCTGCCGATCCCTGCTGATCAGTATGATGCGGGCACACCATGGTTTTCGCATCACTGGTTACTTTTTCGAGGCCAACATGGAGGCCTTCTCGTCGGTGGGTATAGGAAAATGATTTATTTTTATGATTAAATAATGGTTATAGGCTTCTCTTCACCTTCCAGATTGTCCGCACGGCCATGTCCTACATAACAATGCTGCGATCCTTCTCCTAAATCAACTCTTAAACTCTGGATTTCATGTGCAATATTCGTTTTATTGCTGAGCTTGCGTTGCCGTTTGACATTTAACAATCAATTTTACGTATTTTACAAATGTTTATCTCACACACACAGTTTTTTTAGCACTAAGTAGGTGGTAGATTGGAAATTGGAAACTTAATTGGTTGTAGAAATGCACAAATGAAGCACGAAGGGGAATGGGTTGGATTATTGGAAAATTGGTAAAAGAGGAAAATGGATGGGATGGGATGATGGTCCTCTCAGGAGCAGCTGCTCTCACTCTCCTCTGTTTGCCTCTGGTTCACCTCTCTTTTTGGCCAACTTGGCTGGCCCACAACGACACGATTGCCAACTTGAGCATAACGATGAAGAATTACGTAGAACACTGATACGGAATTACTTGAAGAATCTTCCGGGAGCTCGGGGAGCGTTAACTGGTGGCGGTGTTGGTATGTGGGCGCCCTCGGCGCGGTATCCATTCTCATCGGCAATGTAGGTGATGGTATAGACGACGCCATCGGGTCCGGTGTACGAGTATGAGCCCTGCATCACCTGGAAAGAGTTGCCCCACAAAGTATGTCAGAGTGTCTCAAGACTGAGCCTAGAAGTATGCCTACCTGAGCTTCCACCTGAGTGCCGGGATTCTTAAGATAACCAGCCTCATCCGCTCGAATTCCATTGCTTGTCTCGTAGCTATTCGGGAAGTATGTGATTAGGATTCCAAGTGTGATCATATAATCGAAACACTCACTTATACTGGTAGGAGCCATCGGGATTGAGGTCAAAGTTCTGCTTGAGGATCACCGCATTCGCATCGAAGGAGTTGCCGCGCTGCGGAGGCAGTCCACGCTGGGGCTGGGCATGAATGGAGCCCAGCAGGCAGAGGGCCACAGCGACGGCTACGAAGGAGGCGTGGGTGAGCGTCATGACCTTTAAATGGAGTGGAAGATGTGGAGACGGTATACCAACTTAAATAGAGTCATAACCAAGTACTGCAGATGAGGTGCGGTGTTCAGTGTTCAGTTTTCAGTGTTCAATGTTCAGTGTTTAGTGTTTAGTGTTCGCGGCGCCCGATTGAGTTGCCGGCGGCGGCGGTGACTATGTCTTTGAATGTCAAACTCGTTGCTTGGCAATTAGCATCCGATATACCGAGATTGCCTTTTTGCGATTTGAAAGTTCTGCGCAATCAAGTCGATTATGATGATCGAAGGTCGTGGGAAAAATATCCATATATGTCCTGAACGGGATGGGTAAATTATATAGCCTATTTTTATATACATTGAAATCCTAAAAACAATATATTCCCAAGAGAATTCCCTCATCTACAAGGAGAGTTAATCCTTTTAATAGGTGTTTCTTGGAGTAGTTTACCATTTCAAAATAAGTTCATTTAATTTCAAAATCCTTTCTTTTAAATATTGTATAATTTTCTAGTTACTGATTGTGTTTATAGGGAGGATATATCCTGTGGCGATCCATAGTTAAATAAAACCATTATGTCAGCTGGATTTGTTATATGTTTCCTTGAATATCCTTATGCCAGGACGGTCTCCATTTGTGTTATATCTTATACATTTCAAAATGATTCCTGTATTTCTTGATTCAAGGATACACCGCACCGCAATTAGAACAGAGACTCACTTCGAATTCGCGAGTTTGGATCGGTTACTGCGCTGGGAGGCTCGTCAAAAGTGCTTTGACTTGGCTGCAGTTGCCACAAACGTTTTTATACCGAAATCGCATTCACTCGGAGCGGCAGCGGCCGAAGCTGAAGCTGAAGCAGCGCCAGCATCCGCAGCGAGATGCAGTGCGGCCCAGAGATGGCTCGAGGGCAGGAAGGGCAGGAGGAGCATCACCGGTCGGATCACTCGGAGCGGGCGGATCAGCAGCAGCAGCAGCAGCAGCAGCAATAGTGCTTGACAGCGACAGAATCGGAAGAGCTGCCGTCTCTCTTGGGACTGCACCACGTAGCGTATGCGCAACGAGTTTCAAATGCAAATGGGCGTTGCGCATACGCCGCGTATGCGGCGCGAGATCGGTGTTCTCCTCCGCGTAATTTATGTGAATTAGCAATGCGAACTTCATTTGATTAGTGCCCCTGCTGCAAGCTACCGCCGGCTGCAATAATACGTTAAGTCAAATATTAATTAAAAGATTACAGATGTTGCAATTGGTTTCGATTTGATGAATTGGCCATTTCGCATGCCGATGGAATCTGCATCTGACATTTCAATGGGCCGCGGGATAGTTATACAAAATGGGCGTGGCCCGGCCAACTTGTCCATTTTGAATGCATCGTTAAAGAGCACCACTTGGGCTTTTGTCTCGCTGCCCTTTTCGCCCAATTTCGCTGACCAGGTCACCGAATTAGCCACTCCCTTGCACCAGTTACCCGATCCCGATCCCGAACCCGGCTCTAACTCCAGCTCCCATTCCAGACTTAAACTTTAAACTTTTGCAGCGTGTAGGAAATGTCAGTTGCAATTCATAAAAATTACGGCAATAACTGCTGGTAAAATCCAACAAAAGCACTGCCGCCGCCGCCGCCGCTGCTGCGACGCGGAGAGATGATCACGAACATGATGAACATCGCCCGAGATTTAAGCCAACACTTGGCGTCAGCTTTGGCGTCGTTGGTGTTGGTTTTCCTTTTCGTTGGCCAAGTTACTTGGCCAATTTCGCGGTTGCCCGCGTTTTGCTTTGGCCTTCGCGCTGCTTTTCGAATTGCAACTTGGGCACAGAGGAAGAGCCTCGCCAAGCCGGCTCGCCGGCCTGGTTTAGTGCATTTTTCACATTTGACATACAATTTGCGGCCCAGCAAAGATTGTCTTACTCACTCCCAGTTGTACCACGGAGTACTTTATGTATTTTCATCATACAACACATCGCGGTGGCGGTTCGAGTGTTCGAGTGTTCGAGTGTTTCCCGTGTGATGATGACTGATGACTGATGGATCGCGTGCGATCGATCCGATCTGGTCTCGTTTTAAGTGCACATCATCTGTATCTGCATCTTTAACTGCAACTGTAACTGTGTATCTGTATCTTAATTTATGCCTCTTTGTTTGGTGTAGCGTGTGTGTTTGGGACGTACTGTATGCTAATGGCTGTGCAGTTCCCTAAACATTGGCAATCAATCAAATGGGGGACCAGGTATTTGGGCATTCCAGCTGATGGAAACAAGTTTATGACGCTATTAACCTGTTTGGGATTTTCTGCGATTTTCGGAATACGAATCTCTCAGATTAAGACCTGTGTCAATCGCTCTCATTACAGGGAATCATCATCATGGGATTTTATTTCGATCGGTTGACCTCTCTTCCGATGTCTTCGTTTTGGCGCTGAATCATAAATATGCAAATCTCGTAGCGTTTCTGTGAGTGTTTTATTAACTCACATTCTGTTCGCTTCCATAGAATTTCTTTGGTGTTTTTTTCTTTTGGTTTTTTTGTATTTTGTTTGGTTTTATTTTTTGTATTTTTCGGCGGTGGCGTAATGGACTGGAAGATGCTAATTCGCGGCTGCTGCGCACATTAAATGCCGGTATATAAAGATGGCCTGAAGATGTAGTAAGCCAAGTCGTCGGTCGGTTCCCGCCAAGAAAGCATCTCGCACTCTCTCCACCTAAAAAACCAACTACCTCAAAGTACCACTTAAGATGTTCAAGATTGCCATCTGTCTACTGGCCCTGGCCACCGGCGCCCTGTCCGCCAGCATTGGCCAGGTGAGCAGCACCACGGAGAAGCGTGAGATTGTGCCCCTGTTGAAGTTCGAGACGGACAAGCAGCCTGATGGCTCCTTCCACTTCTCGTACGAGGGCGGTGACCAGTCCATGCGCTCGGAGCAGGGTGTGATCGAGAATGCCGGCACGGAGGACGAGGCCTTGGAGGTCTCCGGCATGTACAGCTACATCGATGCCGATGGCAACACTGTGGTTGTTAATTACACCGCCGGCAAGAACGGATTCGTGCCCGTCGGCACCATCATTCCCGCCGAGATCACTGCCCTGGCCAAGGCTGCCGCTGATTTGCCTAAGGTATCCGAGGAGGAGGAGCAGAAGTACGAGTCGCGCCGTTCCCGATCCCAGGATGTGGAGAAGGAGGTCGCTGCCGTGGAGAAGAAGGAGGCCGTTGTTGCCGTGGAGAAGAAGGATGCTGTTGTGGCCAAGGAATCCGTCATAGTGGCCAAGTCCGAGCCTCTGCCCGCCGAATCTCAGGTGGTGCCTGTCCAGGTCGTCCTCGAGTCCGTGCCCGAGGCGGAGGTCAAGGTCGCCCCCGTTGCCGCTAAGGAGGTGGAAACCAAGACTGCCTAGACTGCCCTAGACTCTAGCTTACACAAGTATTCTTAATTTACGATTAAACCCGAGTGCGATCTAATTTAAATTTGCTAGAAAATAAAACGAAACGAAACCCTATCTTAAAGATATATATTCTCGATTCAGGCGATTCAAATGGGGCGACAGCAGCTGCATGTGAAATGTGCGGCCTCAGCGCTCTGCATATCAATACTCGTCATAAATTTCGCCTTGGTTAGTGCTAATTTAAGCAAAGATCTCAATGCAATGACGCCGATCTTGGCTTAGAACTTTATTAGTAAGTTTTTGAAAAGATTAACGATTATTATTATAATCGAGAGAAAGAGAATCAAGTGGAGAGTTTGAAAGAGTTAATTATACCGATGAGTAACGCCTCCCAAAGATTTCGTAAACAACCCATTAAGCGAGTATAGCCCGGCTTTGTTCTCACCCAACTCTTTTATTGAACATCTTTTTATAGCACACATAAAGTTACTAAGGAATTTTTAAATCGCAGAAAAAATGTATATTTTTTGGGGGATATAGCTTATATTCTGTATCTAAATATTCTAATGCAAATATTAACCATTATCAAGATGCATTTTAAAAGTCGGTCGTTAAAAAAACCTATCAAATATGTGAACAGTAGCTTTGAGTTTTGATTTCTTATAAAGTTTTATTAGAAGGAACTGATATTCCCGGACACCTCTTAATGTAGATGTTTATTGTTTAATATAGAACCTTTTCTTCTTAACTCAAAGTCATAAATATTTCTCACTGACATACAGGCCTGGGCTTTGTAGTCATCTTAAATAACTTTCCTCAACTAGATCAGACCTTATTAGCCATCTTAAAATGTCGTCCCAATTATGTGAACATGTGCACCTCATACCGCAGATAAAACGCTGCGAATTTGTGGAGACCAACAAGGATTGCCTGGAAAACGTATTTTTTATAAACTACTTGCGTTGGCACTACTGCTACGTGGATGAACGAAACAAATTCAATGCCTTCTGGAGCGTTCTGGCCATGGTTTTCGTTGTCGGATATGTCTTTTGGATGATGCAGTTCACTGTCCTAAACTAGTAAGTTCATTGGAAAAGTGTCATTTAAGCATTTTGTAGGGTATCAGCAACGTGTGTCTCCCGTCAGCTTTTGTCCCTGCTTGAAGGTAATTGCCGATTCATGTCGCCTAAGCCAGAACACGGCTGGAGTTACAGTATTGACCATGGCCAATGGATCTCCGGATCTATTCGTGGCCATAGCATCACAACTATCGGCGGGCAAATTGACCTTTGTGGCGTGTATGTCGCAGGCCATATTCCTGAATTTATTCGTCGGCGGAATAGTGATGATAACCAAGCCATTCGACATGGGGCCCCACTACTTTCTGCGTGACTTTGGCTTTCTTTTCCTGAACGTATCCTACTTTGACTTTATTTTAAAACGTCCGGAGGGGATCAGATGGTTTTTGGCTCTGCCCAGCACCTTCATATTCATTGGTTATCTTGTGGTCGCTATCGTCGACCAGAACTTGGTGGCGGCCCGTATCCGAAGTGGGTATAGCTTTAAATCTTCCTCGAATCTCATATTTAATTACCACATTATTTTTCCAACCAGAACTGGAACGATTGCGGGGTGTCCAGGAGAAAAGTGAGCATGATGAGGAGCTGGAGTGGCTGAAATCGGATTTGCCGATAAAACGCCAAGTGATTGATAGGACCGAGCGAAAAGGAGGTCGCAATCGCAAGCTATTCCAGCAGTTCTGGCACTCCATCTACAAATTCGACAAGGAGCGCTTTCGACGCGGAACAATACTATTGAAAATCTATATATTACTGCAGGTGCCAATCGAGATGTTGCAGCGTCTGCTAATCCCAGTGGTGGATGTGGAGAAGCCTCTCTACAACTGGTCCAAGCTCCTCTTCTGCTTTCAATTGCTCGCCGTGCCGACCTACGTCTGCTTCATATTATGTGAGTTTGAGTATACTTTTTTCCCAGAAATATCCATCTGACGATTCCGCCTGCAGTTAAGGATAGTTACTTTAAGGGGATCCCCTACTTCGCTATCGTGTTAATGATCATGGTCATCCCCTGTGCGTTTATCTTCTTCCTCACCCGTACGGATACTCCACCTAAATTCTTTAAGGTAAGCGCAACCTACTATCGTAATCATATGGAGTTGGAAGATGTAACCATACTCTTAACAGATGACAACCGCTCTGAGTTTCATCTCCGTAGTCATGTTGATTTTTGGTCTGCTTTCCGAGGTGAATTCCATGTTTTTCGCATTGGCCACGATTCTGTCACTGACCCCTCAGTTTGCGGCGGCAACGGTTATTTCCTGGGCCGTATGCAGCAATGATCTGGTAACCAATATCTTGCTGGCCAACCAAGGATTTGCTAGCATGGCCTATACGGCCACCTTCTCGACGCCTGTATTGCGTAATTATCAACTGAAATAATACGTTTCATCATTAAGAGGAGCCTGAACGATATGTTTCCTTGTAGAATCCTTTGTCTTTTTAGCACTGCCACTTACTCGTGAATCATTTTCGAAAGGTCTAGCAGCGGCTTATGTAAGTGGAGCAAACATTTATTATTTTGTTTTTGTAATTTTTTAACAATGATTTTTACAGTTGCCTGAGGGAAATTTGGGGGAGACGGTGTGCATCTACGCGGAGGTGGGCCTGATTATCGGTCTGCTCTGCGCCCTCACCACAAATTTCCAGATGCGAAGGGCCTGCGGCTTTCTCCTGGTGTCCTACTACTTGTTCTTTTTCATTGTTCTCTTTCTCGTGGAGTTTGAAGTGATCGCAGGCTATGGATTCGATTGAATGAATTCCACCATTGACATATTAATAATTATTATGCAAATACCTGAAATGATTTATGTCCCATTAAATGGCCAATTTGATTCTAATGCTTTCGTCTTCGTTAGGTCTTCATTTCATGTGTCTGCGATCAATGGCTAATGGACAGTGTTTAGGCATGTGTAATGATGTATTGAAGCAGGTATCTCATCGGTAGCGTAGCCCCCGGGGCGGCAGGTATCACTGGATCTGCCACCAAAGTGGCCAAACGTGTGCTTAATCATACAGCATCCCAGACTCCGATACTGTGCCAAGTTTGGGTGTGCTTTTCAAGGTCTTTTTGGGAGGGTATTTCCCTCTTTTGCACTGGGGAAAACATAATATAAGAACTTGTATAGATACAGAATATAATAAACATAAAGTGCGTCAGAGAAATATTCTTTATATAAATAATTTCTTTTGTTTTCAAATTCGTTTTCTTGACTTCCATTTCCCCCAGTGTATTTAAGCCTTCTTTGCTGCTATATAAACAAAGAATACTTTATGCAAATTAGGAATAACTTATCAAATTTTAAAACAAAAAACGCTTTGTAATATCTTTTCGATTCTTTTTATTTTTGTTTATCTAGTTACATCGCGCTGACTCTTTCGAACAATCTTATATACAAAGTCTAATTCTATGAGATCTCTTCAAGGCTCCTCCACCTGCTCAACCTTCTGGAACTTCCCAACCTTTGCGAACTTCTCAACCTTCTCCGCCTTGGGCAGATCCTTGGCTGCCTCGGCCACGGCTGTGATCTCAGGATTAATAATAGAGCCATATGGCACAAATCCATTCTTTCCCGCCGTGTAGAAAACCTCCACAGTCTCGCCCAGATCATTGACGTACTTGTAGGATCCTTTGACCTCCAGGGCCTCCTCGTCAGTGCCAGCATCCACTATAGCAGCATCCTCCTGCCGCTTGGTTCCATCACCACTCTCGTAGATGGTGTCATAGGAACCATCGTTGTGCTTGTTGGTCTCCGACTTCAGGATGGGCACCGGCGTGGATTCGCTGTCCACGGGCAAACCATGGCTGCAGACAGCCAACGCGGCCAGGACGAAAAGAGGAAGCTGCCGGAGGTTAGGGGAACATGTTCATATTATCACTTTTAGTATAAATGGGATTAGGCATTTATTTAACATTCATCACTATTAGCTTCTGAAATATCCTTCTTCTCAGACAGGAGATCTAATCCAAAAAGCGTTTCTTATCCTTTTTTATTCCACTTACGAACTTGTACATTTCTTCGAGAGTTTCTTGTGGGTGGCAGCGTAGAAAGCGAGAGTTAAAGCGCGTGTGAACTCAATGTGGATCGGCCAGTTGGCTTTTATAGTCGCGCACTCCTGCTACCAAATTGCGATCGCATCCAGCTCTTTCGGGTCTTTTGCTTAAACATGCCAAACATGTTTGCATCCCGTTTTATGTGAACGCTACGTCCGCAAACTTCCAAACGCGACGGCTTTAAATGCCAAGGTCCCCGGTGGGTCAGTCTGCTCCGAAAATGTGTCACTATGCTGTGGGGGGATATAGCATCTCTCCCTAACTGAGTCAGATTGATGACACCGATCGGCGCTTCCATTAACGGGCCCCTGTCAGGCTACATAACTCGCGCACTCGGCTCTCCCACTCGCCAGGTGTCGCGATTAATCAGTCGCACCTCACACCTTGCCCGAGATACCAATCCCAGAATCGTGTAAAATGCCAGCTTTGATGCAATTTATATTATGATCTGCTATGGGGTGTATCTCCATCTACACATCCACAGCACCCATCTATAATATATATGTATTTACAGATATATATCTGACAAATGGCTCGATTCAGAATCTCGATGGGGCGCATCATCAATTTCATTTACATTGCATCGCCATTAATTCAATCATCGGTAGTTCCGGGCCTCTATAGTTATAAACGATCGTGTTATTTTCGCTATAAATTTCAACAGCCTGATAAATACAAATCCCAACGACATTTGGCTTGTCTGCTCTCCAGGCAAAAGGGCAATCTCTGGTGCTGCTGCCGCAATCTATTACTTTGACAGCTTAACTAATTTTGAAAATCTGCCGCAAATTAAATATCTAAGCGATGAGACAGAGATTTCAGCTGGACCAAGGCACAGCGACAACAATACTATTTAAATATTTCAGAAAAATCGGGTTTCTTCCATAAAGAATTTATGAGTAGCTTGGACTGTTTTTAACTTCATTCAATCTATAAATAATCTATGCCTTTGTTAAAAGTTTCAGTTCATTACGTAGTTTGTAACATTATCTGAGAATTTAAATACTTTATAATGATTTATGATTTGAGCATTAAGTCTAATAAATATTAAAATGAAACCCCTTTGTAAATATAAACATTATTTCAATTTGAAGCACAGAATAATATACTAAAACATTACCTTTACTGATATTGAATTGAATTACAATTTAGATAGAAATCTATAATCAAAATTGATCTCTAAGATCTCAATGATAATCTCTCTTCCCGCTATTGGCAAAACCCGTTTGATTATATTTTTTCCCTGTGTTTATGCCGCTCCTTTGTGGCCCAAAGCTGGTCCGATTTGAGCCTGGATTGGAGCTCCGCTTTGGTAATTGTACTGCTAGCATTTGCAAGAATGTTTGCCCATCAAAATTAATGGCTCAATGGCTCACTTTATTTATGGGAATTCGCCTGACATGGGGCAAAAAGCCATGCTTGTCGGCCGTATAGCTCACTTCCACCGTCTGGCCAAAGTCGTCGATGTAGTGATAAATACCGGACACCTCCAGCTCGTCATTATCGTGATCATCATCTGCCTTCGGATCGGATCTCCTCACAATGCCCACCTCCTCGCGATAACTGCCATCGGCTGCCTGGTAATTGAAGAAGTACGAGCCATCGCTCTGCTGCTCGGCCACAGATTTGAGGATTGGCACTGGCACTGTCACTGCCACTGGACCACTAATGGCGGCACTCTCGGCCGTCCAGCTCCACAGGTGGCAGCACCCCGTCAAGATCAATAGCTGGGGAGGTTCGAGATGGGAAAAAGACTCACTTAACGCTCCCGTATTCATGAGCCGTCCGGCGACGACTACCACTACTTACCAATGCGAACATGATTTATGCTAATACTGGGAGCGCGCACAAAAGATTCTGCGCTTTTTATAGCCCTCCGTTAGAGAAGAACTGGACGGCGGTCCAGTTGCGGCAAAGTTATGCAATCCGAGATGCCGTTTTTGGGGTCAGTAGAAAGTAGCTGGCCCGAAGTTTGTTGAACCGCCAATCCGTTTGGATTTGCAATTCAAATTTGTGGCCATTAGAAGTGTGTCTGTCATGTTTACAATGCAGATAGCATCGTAAACACACAGGCCAGGTGCGTGGGTTCACCTCCAAAGAGGTGCAGCAGCAGCTAATGAAATTTGACAAATGCAAGGCGAAAGGTGCAGAAATGGTAACGGCTGAGAGCGCAGAGACCTCCATGCAAATTCCAAAAATTCTGCTTCAGTGGGTGGGCACCTCTGGGGCTTTGAGAAGCGGCTAACATTTATGGCAAACAGACGGCAAAACGGCAAGACAAAAAGAATTCAATAATAATTTCCAGCAATTTCGCAATACTGCCACAGCAGCAGCAGCAGCGGCAGCAGCCGAGTTTTAAGACCTGCAACCTGTGCAACTTGCGAGGCAGAAGTTGCATTTTGGCATTTGCCTTGGCCCGCCCAGTTCCAATTTCCAGTTCCACTTGCCAAAACGGCCGGGCTCTCTCGTTCGGGCAACGTGTTAATAAATTGATTCTTGGTGGCTCCCAAAGACAACTCTGGCTCTAATCCCCTCCCGAAACTTTGCTGATTTGCACTTGAAGAAATAATTGAAACAGAGAGAACTTATTTCAATTTTAATACACATTATTATAATATTAATTTTCAAGAATAAATCTTGTCTACTTAGTCTGATTTTAAATTGATTGTGATATTCTGTTTATGTATTTAATCAGCTTTTTTAAAAAAGAATCAATATGAAAAACTAATTTATTTATTTTTGTACATTTTCTGATTGTTATTTTAAAGTTTCAAAAACAAAAAATCTCCTTAAAAAGTTGCCAAAGACATAAATTCTTCTACATAATTAAGTGTCATAAAAAATCTCATAAATCATGAACTGCAGATGTTTTTATTGAAGCTGTAAATATAGTCATTGTATTGCATTTGTTTTTTCTTAAGCTTTTCCAACTTTGTTATTATTATGAACAATAAAATCTATAATAAGTAACTATTTAAACCAATTTTAAAATAAATAAACCCAATAGTATCATCATTTGATGTCCATTTCTTAATTTTGTGTTTAAGCCACTATTAAAATTTTGCTTTCATTTTATTCTTCTCCCAAAGAACTTACAATCTCGTTCCCAATTTTTCTTTTTTCCCGAGTGTGACATTTGATTCGCCTGCCGCAGAAGTGGAAACTCATTAAGGTGGCAGTCGCAATGCCGGCGAGGTCATAATTCAGAGCTGCGACACGTTGACCTTTCGCCGCGATCAGCTTCAGCCGGAACCAGTAGGCATTGGATGGAATGGATAGAATGAATACCCATTGCGGCCGCTATACGCACTCACCTCAAAGTGAATCAATTAGCCGCGCCGGCGACCATAATTTCCAGCTAATGGGAATCCGCAATTACAAAATGTCAGGCGAAGCATCTAAACCAAGCCATCGCACCGATGCAGTGCAGCTTTCTGGCTGCAGTCTATTAATAATCGTCGCAGCCGCTGTCCAACTTGGAGCTGGATCGCAAGAAGAGGTGATCCACGGATGGAGAGGGAGCCGGAGACGGAGACGGAGACGGAGACGGAGTAGCTGGCGTGGGAGGAGTGTCCGACCCGACCTGTTTTTAATGCGGTTTGCTCATCGGGCAGCAACAGCAACATTGTGTGTTTGTGCCTCGTCGCATTTCTGCATAAATTTGGCAAGCCATTTTTATGTTTTATTTTCATTTTGGGTGCCCCGCATCCGCACTTCTTGCTTGTTTTCCCGCATTTCGGTGCTCTGTTGTCTATTGCCATTATTATTTCCTCCAGTTTCGTGAATTATTCAAATGGCAAATCAATCTTCGGTGACTCTTGCCCAATGTGGGGCAGACATATTTATAATTAATATTTGACACTTACATTTGAGCAGCTCATTAGACTGAAACGTGGCTTTAAAGTCATGTATTGTATTATGTTTTAATTTTAGTCAAACGCTTGTTACACTGTGAAGGAATCATTTCCGACCCTATAAATCATATATATTCTTGATCAGCATCAACAGGCGAATCTTTCTGTGCATAAAGGAAAGATTATAAATTTTTGACAATTTTTTTTAAATTTTATAAGGGGTTACATCGTTAAAATTGTCAAAAATTGGCAAAAATGTACATTTTAAATTAAGTATTAAGTATGCAGATTTATTGCCCTAATAAAAACTAACACAGGGATGCTTTCCGAATTAAAATTAATGCTTTTTTGGCTTAGCTATGAACAAATTGGCAAATATATATATAAATAATATCGACTAAAAAATGGTAATATAGCGTTAGTCAGAAGCTTGTAACGTTATGAAGGAGTCATTTCCGACCCTATAAATCATATATATTCTTTATCAGCATCAACAGCCGAGTCGATCTTGCCATCTGCGGAAAGAAAACAAAAATTGGGAATAATTTTAATTCTTTAAAATTTTAAATAGGGCATGCAGATTTATTAGCCAAATAAAAACTAGCATAGGAAAGGTTTCCGATTCGTAATTAATGCATTTTTTGCTTACTTATGCTATTTTAAACTTTGATTTGTTAAAAATTTAGTCATTTAAAGTATGCATAAATATCGAATATATTAAGCTTTTTTTTTACGATTTTCACAGTTGCAATCTGAGAAGGTATTTTATATTATGTTCCCTAGATCACTCATCCAGTCAACTTGGCATTTATTTATATAGAAATCTTATAATTGCCTTTCTTTTTATTAAAAGTATTAGCTTGCTCTTCTCTTTGTTATACCAATTTTAACAAAATTAAACTTACAGTTCTAGATTTCAGTTACTAAATTATAGCGCATGTAAAGTTGGTTAACTTTATTTGGAACTTATTTTATTTCTAAATTTATATTAGTCTACTTTTTGGATAAGCAGCATACAAAATTGAAGCACAAAGTTTTGCGAGCATTTAGGCTTTCAATAGAAATAAATCATTCTTGTTTATTATTTGTTTTAAATAGAGAATATAAGTGATGTATGATCTCCCTTTGGGCAGCAAAATAAAAACTTCCTGTACAAAATGTAATTAAGTTTTAGAAACTATATATAAAGATTCAGCGAGACCACCATGAATTAGCAATAGTACTTGGCCCTGCCGACCTTGCTTCGGTATGGAAAATCTCATCATCATCGGAAATTAGCATATGCAATTAAAGCATGAACTGAACATGGAATAAGACATGTTCGAATTTTAATGGCAGTTGCCGGAGCAGATGACAAACGAAAATGTATGTGTCAGCCAGTAGTTGGCAGTTATAAATCACATCTCGCCTAGATCTGGACATGAGCAATCCCAGGCCGAACGCCTGATGAATAACCCCAGTGGAGCGTGGAACAATGGAACACCTCCGGCTGACAAGCTCCCACAGACTATCCTGGGGATAGGCATAATATTTCTCTATCCCATTTGACAAATGATGTTTGTAGACCAAGTTGAGGTCCGAGTGGCACCTTGACCACCAACCAGATCATGGGGATCGCGGATCCGCGGGGCACACACATAACTCACACAGACACCTGTGAAGACAGGTGCTGGAGCAAAAAGCCAACAATTTGCATACGGGGGCCGCCTCATAAACAAGTGCGCGGAAGATGAGAGCTGGCCACCATGAAGATATCAATCAGCTGGAGTCAGAAGCATAGCCACTAACTAAATTCGTTTGTCCTTCTGTCAATGGCCGATAAAAAACCAATAAAGCTGCCACCCAGCAGCAGCGAAGACTTGTTAACACGCAGATAAATTACACTGCCCCCGGGAGATGGCCATCGAGATGCGGTCAGCAGTGGGCACAGGAAGCGGCCGGGTCGCTGGGTCGATTGTTCTAACCATAAAGCTGAGCTTTAGGGCCCGCCGCTTGGATCGCAGATCGAGATTGAGACTGAGAATCGCATAAATACGGCAGCCACTGGGAGCCGCCGTTGCAGTCGTGGCACGGCGTTCGATCAGTGACTTCCAGTGGCAGCCGCATCTTAATCTCCAGCTCCATCGCCAGCTCAAACTCATTCGCAATCCGAATCCGAATCCCAGCCATAACTCAGTGCGAAAGTGAGACGTCGGGTTTATCGAGCGTGTAATTGGGAGCTCCGTACGCTCCGTCCGAGATTTATGATCCACGGCACCCGCCCACTGACAGCCTAAATGTCTAGGGCTCGCTCCCCGCGATTCCGCCAGATCCGCTGGCTCATCCTCTGGCTCTCCATAATCATCTCCATTAGTCAGGCTCAGTTGCCGGGAACTGGCTTCCAAGGACAACGGCAGCAGATTCCACCGCTGCAGCAGACCAATCCATTCCAGCGCCGCCAACCCAATCCGGTGCAGGGCCAAGGACTATTTCCGGCACAGAGGAATCCTCTTAATCCGCTCGGGAATCCCTTGGCTTCGCCACTAACTGGAGCCGGGCTGCAGAATCCCTACACGCGCTACAATCAGTACCAGCAGCAGAACTATGTACCCATCACGGCCTACCAGAACGATCTTAATCTGGATGGAAGCTTCTCCTACGGTTACTCATCCGCTGATGGAACCACTGCCCAGGCTCAGGGATATGTCAAGAACTTGGGATACGGCGAAGGAGTAGAGGCTCAGGTGGGTAGTTTTGGGGAAATTTTAGGTGGATGAAATGATTAAGAAATTTTCAGTCTTTCCCCCAAATATATGGATTTATTTGAAACTATATTTCCTCTTTCATTATCAGGTCATTCAAGGCTCTTATTCCTACACCTCGCCGGAGGGCACTCCCATCACTGTGCGCTACATTGCCGATGAAAATGGATTCAGGGCCGAGGGCACCGGAATACCAGCTTCTCCTCAATACTTTCTAGGCACCCAGCCGTATCAGCAGGCCGGTGGTGTCATCAATCCTAATCTAAACCCATATCAGACACCCTTCCGCCAACTGCCGCCTCCGCTGCCCAACGCTCCCTTTCGTCCTCAGATCCCAGGTCAGGGACAGCAACCACTGAACCCGCTGCAGCAACAGCAGCAGCAGCAGCAGCAACGTAATTTCCAGCAGCAACAGAACTCCGGTCAATATCAACCGGATCAACCGTTTAACCAGTTGCACTCTGGCAACTTGCCCGGACAGTATGCCGGCCAATTCGGTCAACCAGGACAGCAATTTGGCAGCAATCTCACAGCCCAGCAGGCGCAGCAGCAGCAACAGCAGCAGAACCTTAACCAACAGCAACAGAATCTCAACCAGCAACAGAATCTTAACCAGCAACAGAAGGAGCAGCAGAATGAGCAGCAACAGCAGGCGCTGATCACTCAGCAACTGAGGGGCAGGCCCAACAACCTGGTGGATCCCTATGGCTATAACCAGTATGGCAGACGCTTTAAGAAGTCACCGAGAACCCCAAAGGAATAATGCAGCTATAAAGGGAATGTTAACCTTCCATCGAAACAATTAATTAGTCCAAACATGTAGTCGCAACTCAAGGGCATGAAATACATGCATTCGAAAAGTCAACTGTTTGTTTTAATGAGTTTCTATAAGATTAATAGTGTAAAAGACCTTTGAGAGTTTCGTATTATAAAACCCAACAGGGGAGTTTTTCGCCTTTATACAACAATTTGTTTAGAAAGTCATCTAGTAGCTATTTCATTTAATTTCGATATTATAGTCGGAGTAAACAGAATTCTAAAATTGTTTTCAAATTTGTAATTTAGAAAAAAGGGTTTCCATTGAAAAATGTTTGCATGTTTTAATTACATTGGTAAAAACGTATTTCATATTCACTTATTTGCTGAGAAGATAAAATAAATTAAAAATTTCATTTAACGACAACATTTTTAAATTTAACAGAATTTTTGAACCTCAGACGGTCACATTGTATTTTTTCGCTGCTCGAAATTCGAAGAAAGGTTTGTTCACCAAAGTTCTCAACCACACCCTGTATTAGCCATGTTCCTCATCATTTTCCGCAAGGCCTTTATCTTATCTTTTAGCCTTTTCGTGGTATTTTTGTTATATGTCATACACAGCTTACACTTTTTGTTTCGAAAAAAACCAAAGACAACGTGTGTTGGCGTTGGAAATTCCATTTAATTGTTTGATTTCGCCAGATAACTGCTTCGTCGCGGGCCAAGAAGTTGCGGGTATCCGAAAGCCCTTTGTGGATTCTAAAGAGCACACGCCTGCACACCGATTTCACAGCGATTTCACTGCGCCCTTGGCAACAAGTAATTTCCCCCTTTCCCGTCGCTGTGCTTGAGAGAGAGAGAGAGTGAGAGCAATGCAGAACATGAAGACCAGGTCCGGTCCCAGGCCGTCGCACCAACGCCGACCCCGACCGGGAGCAGCTGCCAGCTCGACGGAGAATGCCGCGGTCAAGCCGGAGGCCACCGACTACCAAGCGGGCAGCGACGATAACGCCTGTGTGGTGTGCTTCAAGAACGTGGACATCTACTCCATTGGCGACTGCGACCACCCGGTTTGCTACGAGTGCTCCACGCGAATGCGCGTCCTGTGCCAGCAGAACGAGTGTCCCATCTGTCGTCACGTCTTGTCTAAGGTAGGTTCCCTGCGCTGCATTGGAAACCAAAATAAACACGATCCTCTTCGCAGGTTTTGTTTACGCTGGAGAAGCTGCCTTACCGCGAACTGGAGGCCAACAACCGCTCCGATTTCTACAGCAAGAAGTACCGCATTGGGTTCTGCAGTGCCGAGATTCAGCAGAAGTTCTTCAAGCTCCTCGACCATCCATGTCCCAAGTAATTATACCCGCCGAACACTCAAATAATTGTATTGTGACTCATTCTTGGTGTTGAACCCCTTTAGGTGCGATGTGCCGCCGTACCGAACGTTCCAGGGCCTGCGCAACCATGTACGTAGCGAGCACAGCCTTCACTACTGCGACCTTTGTGTTGAGACGCTGAAGATCTTCACCTTCGAGCGCCGCTGCTACACACAGCAGGAGCTGCAGCTGCACAACACCAAGGGTGATCCGGACAATCGCTCACATCGCGGCCATCCGCTGTGCGAGTACTGCAAGAAGCGCTATGTGGACCGGGATGAACTGTTCCGCCATCTACGCCGCGAGCACTACTTCTGCCACTTCTGCGATGCCGACGGCTGCAACGAGTTCTACAACGACTACGCCGACTTGGCCGATCACTTCCGCCAGGAGCACTTCCTTTGCGAGGAGGGCAAGTGCGCCACAGAACAGTTTGTTGGCGCCTTCCGCAACGAGATCGAGTACAAAGCGCACGTGGCTAACGTGCATGGCAAGTCTCTAAATAAGCAGCAGGCCAAGCAGACGCGCACCCTGCAACTGGAGATTACTTTGGGACCACGCGGGCGCAGCGGTCAAACGGAGCAGGGCATAGCCAACATGAGAGCACGGTGAGTGGAAAGTCATACCAAAAAAATTAACTCTGCTGATGTTCGAAAACCATTTTAGAAACGACGAGCACAACGATTACCTGGACGATCTCCCGTCGACAAGCAACCAGCGGCAAGTGAGCATAGATGCCGATAACGAGGAGCAGTTTCCCACTTTACGAGGTGCGTCGACAGCTCCCAGCGTGTCCCTAGTGAGACCACCGCCGCCCTCGATGCGAAATCTCAGCGGGACCTCCGGACTTGCCAGGACCAAAGAGAACTTCCCAGCCCTGGGTGGGGGAAACGGGGGAGTTGTGGGTGGCAGTAGTCTCTCCAGTAGAGCTGCCCAGTCCCAGCATCCAGTGGCTGCTGTATTCAAGAAGCCAACAAGTGGAGCTAGTTCAGCTGGCCGGGCTGCTGCGGCGGGCAATGGAATGCTCCTGCACGTGTCCAATCGACCAGCAGCGGGAGCATCAGCAGCTTCGTCAAAAAAGTCAGTCCCTCCACAACTGGACTTTCCAGCCCTGCCGGGAAAGGGAAACAAAAAGAATCTGCGCAACCTGGAAGAGGACATGTTGCCCAGCAGCTCACCAACGCCCATGACGAATGTCTCGGCCAAGCATCGCACGCTGGTCGATGATTATGTGTCGGTGGCCAACCCGACCACCTTCCAGAAGCTTCAAATGGTACAACAAGAAGAGAACGAGGCGAAGGCGCGTCAGGAAGTCTTGAAGAAGAGTGCGCCAAAGCTCACCGCTGCGGAGTTTCCCACCTTGGGACCGAGTGCAAATGCCAGTGCCAATTTCAGCAAGGCAACTGTCTCGAAGCCCGTTAACGGATCTGCTGCCTTAAACTGGTCCAAGCCAGTGTCGGAGAAGAAACAGCGGGAGCTTGAAAATCGCAAAGCTAAGGTGGCTCCCGCTCCTGTCTTGCCCACATCCTCTGCAAAGGCGGTACCCAAAGTGACCAATAATAATGGAGCAGACCAGCAAGGCAACAAGAAGGATAAGAAGTCAAAGGATAAGAAGAGCAACCAAGAAAATCAACCCAAGCCGGCGGCAGCCAAGCAAAAGAGAAAAACAATAACGAACAAAAATCAACTGCCAATGGGACCCCATCGACGCCAACACGTAATCCACCTGGCTTAGGTTCCGGTGCACCACTTAATCCACCGCCCGGTTTCATGTCCAATGTGACTGTAAACTCGGTGGCCAAGCTGCCCAACAACCTGACCTTCACGAGCTCGATGGGTGAGACCTATGACATTGTGCCTAGCCCCTACACGTACACTGACCCACCAGATACTGGCATGAGAAATCAGGTAACTTTGATTTCAAGAAACTTCAGTATAATCATAACTAATCTTCGACTTATTTTCGCTCCAGACATTGGTGAACAAATTTATTGACATACTCAAAACGCCTGAGGCTTTAAACGAATTTCGCATGCTCTCGACTAAATTCCGGGAAGGCTCATGCACCGGTCAAGCGTACTATGAGCACTGCCAGTGCGCCATGCTAAGCTCGTTCTACGAGCTGTTCCCGGAACTCTTGGCTATGCTGCCCGATATAAGCAAGCAACAGGTTAGCGACTCAGTGAATTATTGTATCTTGGTAATTAACGTTTTATCCAATTAGGAGCTGTATTTGGTGCACAAGCAGCATCTGAACAGCCTATCGCCATCGCAGCGCAAGTCCGTGCCCAGCCTTGAAGTCTGTAAGGTTTGCAAGCAAATCCTCGTCGCACAAGATTTGGACGGTCATCAGCAAGTGCACGAGCTGACAAAGAACTTTCCTGCGCTCGGAAGCTCAGCTTCCAATTCGCATCGCAAATAAAGGCGAAATGGATCCGTACATACGACTATAATAGCTTTATTTCTGTATATTTTGTATATACTATTTCCACGCCCGCACTCAAACCATGTTCCCTGGTTATGGAGTGTGTGAGTCGAAATCTGAATGTGAAGTAGTAGTTAAACTGTATAAGCGCCTCAGCCCCCCAACAAAAGCAATCTGTTCGATGTGACTTAGTCCAGGCAGTAGTGCGTAGTTCAAACTGGTGTAAATCAAGAAAGCCTTTTTATTCAATGAGTGAGTGAGCTTGTGCGTGTAGTATATGCCCGAGACCCAATAAAGTTCAAATGAATCGAATTATAAATTAGTTGTAATTAAGGCCAAAAAGTCTTACATTCACAACGGGAAATCTGATTATCGAGTGCCGCCAGCATATGGTTATCTACGAATGGACATGGGCTGTTCCAGGGAACACAGAGCTGATTTATTATCGGACATATGGAGCACTTTGCAACCTGTTGGGAAGCCCCACATTCTGGTTATCTAATTGTTTGTCTAACGAAAGCTTTTTGCTGTTTATTGGTTATTATTTCAGAGAGTTGGGTAAATATTTTTAAAGCAAAAGCTATTTTTGTGCGTAAATAGCTTTGGTTGTGTGATGAAATTGCTTGCTTTGGTTTGATTTCATATTATTAATAATTTATTTTATTATAATCATTTAAAGTTTTGTTGGTAATGAAATATTTAAAGCAACAAACATATGTAAATTGAATCTTAACATAATAATCAGTATTTAAGGCTTTTGCAATTACTACTGAGAATAATATTTATCTTATTAATTTATTAAATTTGAAATGCTAGATTTCAGCGCGCAACAGAAGCTATTCGATGTTTTTGCTCTAATAATCGCAGTTTATAAGTCGATAACCCAAGCAAGTCAAAAGCTAAAAAACCATAACTAGGTGTTGGTTTTCATTGGTTTAATATTATAATATTTTGTTAATAAATTAAGCTTTTATTGGCGAATCTTAACTGTCAAGAAATGCAGAATTATTCGGTAGAGGTGGGGAAACATTGACATTCGCAGACATCGAGGTGCAATCGATAGTATCGATAGAGCTTCAATGTTTTGCCAGCACTAATTCAAACAATAACAAAATGAACCGGCAGCGTGAGGACATACTGCGCCAGGTAATAACTGTATTTAACTATAAAAACTGATTAACAATAGACACCCTTTGTGTTAGGCGCTCGACAAAAATGCCTTTCATGCAGAGCGCTGGCAGAACTACAAGAGCGACAACGAGAACACCATCCGAAATCTAGACTTGTTCTCCCAGAAGTTAAGCGTGGACATTATGGTTCCCATTGGCAAGAAAGCATTGATGCCTGGCGAGCTGATCCACACCAACGAACTTCTTGTGAGCCACTACGAGGGCTACTTCTCCGCTTGCTCCGCCCACAAGGCCAAGGAGATCTGCAGCCATCGCATTAAACTCGCTGAGGAGCACCTGAAACAGCTGGAAATCGAAGCTGATCTCTGGCAGTAAGTTGTTTATCTGTTCCCATGAACAAAGGAAAGAGTAGTAATGTTTACGTTTGCAACTACAGAAACAAACTCAACACGCCGCTCGAGGAGGGTGCGGTTCCCAGTGGCGATCAGGTGGAGATCGTGGAAGATTTTAACGAGGAGTCACATAACAAGTGGATGGAGGAGCATAAGGAGCGGGTGCGTCAACAGAAGCAAGAGGAGCGCCTGAAACGTCAGGCGGAACCTCAGAAAGGGGACAACGATGTGCTCAAGAAACTAGAAGAGCGCGAAATGATAGAGGAATTGGGTCTGGATCCCGACGATATCAACGAAGATATGCTTGAAGACCTGCTTAACGTGGAGCAAGAACCCACAAAGTCCACAGAGAAGCCCAAGACCTTAACCGAGGAGCAGGAATCGCAGCTCTGGGAGAAACTGGAAGCCCAAGAGCAAAACGAAGCTAAAGATCTCAGTTCGGAAGCAGAAGAGAGTCTGAAAAGCACAGACAATATAGTTCGTCAACTGATGTCTGGTGAAATGGAAACTCCAAAGCCAAAAAAACGTATTGGAGGTGAAAAAATAACAAAAGAAGGGGAAGATTCCATATCAGATGATGAAGATGTGGCCCAAGTGGAGGAGGTAAAGACTATACGAGAACAAATCTCTCTGCTGCCAAGCGAAGAGCGTGAAGGCTTCCTCAGAGCCCAACTGAATATCCTAAAGGCTAAGATGCGCCGGATTCAAAAAGCCAATTTTATCAGCGACGAGCTGATTCACTTGATGAACGTTGTGGTCGTTCTGGAGGACGATTTACAGGACTTGATATTTGAGCAGGAACTGGAGAACAGCGAGGAGGAGAAAGCACCAGACGAAACTGCTAATCAGACTCCTGAAGTACCTAAAGACAGCCAGGAAACTGGAGCTCAAGCTAAAAATAACACTGTACCTAGGGATGTTATAAAGCTAGATGAAGAGAAATCTGAAATAGTACCTGAAAACGGCACCAAGACCCGTCGCATATCATTTGCAATCTCGGACGAAAAACTGGAATTCCGTCGTGAGGAAACCGTAGCTGAAATGCTACCCAATGCCCGGAAGAATTCTAGGGATGTCATAAAGCTAGATGATCCCGTGACTACCCAACCCGTATCCGAAGAGAAGCCAAATTCATCGACTAATGAAGATATCCTGAAAAAGGTTCAAAGAAATATTGAGTTTGTCAAGGAGAATCAGAGTGTTCAGGACTTTGATTTGCTCAATCAGATTCTAGAGGCGTCCACCGGACGTATTAACACCCTACACATTAATTTCAAACATTCCGATGCAGTGCCTTCTACTCACAAGAGTGACGATCAGGATGATGCCGACATACCTGGAAACCCAGCGGATTTCTATAAGAAATACGAAAAGGATTTGGCCCAGATGGGTCAATCGGCTTTCCCCATTTATGTAAACGGTTTCGATGGCGAGGAAAATGTTAAAGTTCCCATAATGAGCGAGGCCGCCCGCGGGTCAGCCTACGAAGACCCTAGAAGTGAGGTAAGATCGTCACACTAAAATCGATGATAGGAAATATATATATATCCCCTTCCTTATTTCCAGTTCTCAAAGCCCAGTATGTCACACGGAGGAGAATCCACAGACTCTGAATCCACCACTAAGTCAATACTCCGAAATAAATCCGCTGTAGAACTGGAACCTCGCGTCAGCCACAACCAAAATGCGAAGAAAGGCAAGAAGAGCCGGAAGCAGAGGAAGAAGGAGCGCACCCTAGACGACGACCTGCGCGATATGAGTGCCTATCAGAAGGTCATGCATGATCTGGTGGAGAAGGAGGAGCCCACGGCCCCAGAGCCCCTGCCAAAGGGCAAGTTTATCGACGCGCACGCGCCCAAGAAGCGGGTCAGCCGCTTCAAGGAGCAACGTGCGGCGCTCAGCAAGACATAGCGAAGAGTGAAACTTCAGCTGGGAACTACTGTTAAATCTGTTCAAGTTTAATGTGAATTTGTATTACAAACACAACGCAAACAATAAACAATAAACAACTACTACTGGTGTGGTGTACATTGGTTGTTAAGTTTTAAATTAAACACTAAATGCTAGTCCGCTGTGACGGAATTTATTTTTAAAACATTTACAGTAGGCTTCAATTTACATCAGATCAGATTGAGATAGGTCTTGACTCAAGGACTCGCTGCGATTGGATGTGCGATCTCTTCTTACAGGCTACTTTAAAAGTACATATTAACACCTAATACATACAGTACTGATCTTAAGCGTAAGCGTACTCGGATGCGTGTCTCGCAGGATTTCGCAGAAATTCCACATGTCCAAATCAAAGAGTGAAGAAGTTAATCTTCTAGGCCGAGGAACTCTCTCTCCAAGGCAGCGCCCATCATGTTCCATTCGCCGTCGTCCTCATCCTCCTGGTTGTTCTCACTATTCGAGTCGGAGCCAAACTCCAAATCGGACGGCACGTCTTCTCCTAGAAAAACGAATTCGGATCAATAGAAGTTCTAGCGAACTTTTTAGAGATTTATACCTCGTCGAAACTTGGCGCTAGGCATCTCGTCGTCATCGTCCTCTTCCTCCTCCTCGTTATTGTCATCACCCTCCTCGTTTGAGCTCTTGTCGAAGTCTATGATGTTCGGCGCTCCGATCATTACATCCTCAGCGCGTGTGAAGAAGTCGTGGGCTCTGTTGGAATTGTCATCTTCTCGCTTCCGCTTCAAAAGCTTTTTGTCCATGGGTGGATTTTCTAAAAAGTAAATCAGTAATTATTAATTAGCATCATAAGACTGTGTATGAATATGTAAGCATTGTCAGCACTTTGCAACTGTAGATGTGTACATATATGCCACGTGCTTACCAAAGTTGACTGGCCCCTCGTCGCTGGACGAGTCCGATTCGAAGAATGTCTCGTAGTCCTTGTTCATTGACTCAATGTCCGCATTAGTGAAGACCAGCAGCGGATTGAGGGTCTCGCGGAAGTTGCCGCTCTGTTCCTCCTGTTGCTTGCTGCTCGACGGAGAGATCTCGGACCGCTCGCTGTAGTTGACCACGTGCTCAGGACTGTGACAGTGAGCGGGTGGCTGGCGACCTTTGTTGCGCACCTTACGGTCCAGCGGGAAGAGCTTCTCCTCCACATGCTCCCAGCGCTCGGCGCAGGTCCACAACCAATTTGCATTAACAACTTTGATGTTGGCCTCCTTCTTGGCCGCGTTCACCTTGTAGGTGCCGGCATTTACTGCCACCAGATGCGTGATCTCCTTGCCAATGTTCTGCTGCACCTCGGCGCCCAGACTTTTGGCGATGAAGTAGGCTCGAGACTGCTCCATCTTCATCTGTGTGGGCACCAGCCCGGAGAACACCAGGTTCTGGCCGCGCAGCACCTCAGATCGGATCTTGGGAACAATGATCTTGAGGTCGGGAATTTCTGTGGTCTCGTCGTAGATGGCATAGAATCTCTTGTGAATGTTGCGTAGTATAACCTCCAAGTAGAGCAGATAGTCATCAGGATCCTCGATTTCAATCTGCTTTTGTCCGTCATGTGCTGGCGGGCTCTTTGACGTGGAAGCTAGATCCTCTCCTTTGGCCTTTGGGTTCTTATCCTCAGTCGAATTCGTGGAAGATGCCACAGCAACCTCATTCCCTTCGGCCAGCGTGACTTCCATTGCCGTAACGTCGGCATTTGTGCTATCTTTAGAATTTTCGTCAATAACAACTACGTCTTCACCCTCACTAACCGGCTTTTCTGCATCCAATGAGCCCGGTGAGCTGTCTTCTATGACCACTATTTCCTCCTTGGGGGAAGTCTTGCCATTCAACTTGTCACTCAGCTCCTTGGTTGTCTCTGTGGTGCTTGAGGAGTTGGAAACTTCAGGGTCCTTTGTTTCCCCACCCTCTAATTCAAACACATCCACGGATTCTTCATTGCCCTCATCATCTTTGCTTGTGCTTGAGACAGTATTGTCGACTTTTTCGGTTTCTTTGGGCTTTGCTCCACCGCTGGACTCAGCTTTGTCTTTGTCCTCCTTCTTCTCTGTAATCTCTGCAAGAAATGCGACAACTGTAGTGATAAGCCCTAAGGAATTCGATTAAATATTTAACCCACCTTTGAAGTCAACACCTTCGCCGTCCAACTCGTGCTTTGACAAGCCCGGCGGGGCATTAATATCGCCCGTGTGCTGAAAGAAGTGATAGGGCTTCACTTGAATCAAATTGGAGGCCATGTTCCACACATCCTCCCGGTCGTCGATAATGCACACCATAGAATCGCCGTTGGGAAATAGAGCCCTGTAATTGAGTTGTAGGGGTAAAGTAAGAAATAAAAATAATAAGAATATGTCCGTACTTTAAGTTATCCGTCTTGCTGGTGGCATTGAAACACTCATCTCTGGAAAGGATACGATGCGAGAAGAACTTGCCCTCCGGGTCCAAGAGCTGTGCTATCATGTGTGCGTAGTTTCGAGCTCCAAAGGTGCAGATGTGCAGCTCGTACAGCTGGGACATGCGCTCCAGGAACTCCGACGTGCCGGGGCGCAGGCGCGTGTGGTACCACGGCGATTGGGGGCCGTACAGCTGAAAGTGGTAGATGCCCTTGATGTTGTTCGGCACCGTGTCGTTAGTGGTGTGGATCACCGTTTGATCGAGATCGACCAGCAGCACCAGCTTGCGATCGGCCAGCAAGCGCCGGGTATCGTCATGCCCGAGCTTTTGAGCCAGCTTCTGGGTGACCTTCAGATCGGGCATAGTATGCACCATGGGCACCGACGCCTCCGACGTTTGACCCTGCAACAGAAATTATAGGTATTATGCACTGGTTGATAAAAAACAGCCGGTGGTGGTGGATATGCCGTGTGTTTACTCACATTCTCGTTCTGACGCAAGTCGGCTCCGCAGTCCGCGCACATGTCCTTGATTACCGTGGTGTGTATGCACTCCGACAACTCCAGAATGGCATCCCTAAAGGGCGGGAAGGCAGGCTAAGTTCGTGTGTATACGGCTGCATAATTGCATTCAACACCCATGCTCCCACGCACAGCCCAGCAGCACCCAAAGCCGACAGAAAAACTCACCCCTTTGTCAGCAGCTCCCCATCCTTGCGAAGACGCTTCTTCACTACCCCGGCGCGCTGGGACTTGTACTTCTGGACCGTCGAATCGCCCGATTTCCCGGGCTTTCCATCCTCGCCCACTGGCTGGTAGAGAAACAGAATTTGCGCGGCCGACACGAACTGTCCCTCGCGTACCCGCCATTTATTGATTACCGCTCTCGTCTCAGTCTCTCCCAGCGCAGCTCTCAAAACAATGATGCCGCCGCCACCGCCACCGCCGTTGCTTCCGCTTCCACCAACTTTTCCTCCGCCGTCGTCGCCATCGGGTGCTTTTGTGGCGGCCACGCCCCCGGCCTTTCGGCTGGGCGGGACGCCCACCTCATCCGATATGTTCTGCATCGCTGCGCTTGCACTTTTATATATAATTAATTTGTTTAAATCTCCTTGTTGTGTTTGCAATTTGTGTGAATATTGCCAACCATTCACATGAAAATCGCAATTCACCTCAGACCACGAACAGCTGACCGCGAGTACCGATGCAGCCCTGGCGGGAAACGCTTTCAGGTTTGAACAAAATTTGAGGAACTTTTCGGTCTTTTTCTGAGTTGCCGCGATAAGGTATGTTTTTATTCTAGAATATATATGTTAGAGTACTTTTATATCTTTCTCAAAGTCGCGGGAATCAATATACTTATACTATACCCTTTAATAACTCTGAACAAGGCACTCTTTAAAATATAGTTATATATGGTCGCGAAGGTGCAGTTAATGCTTTTAAAGGTTTCCGTAAATTTTCACTGATTTTTTTGTTTTATGTCCTTTGGTTTGCTTCAATTCGTCGCAATTCCCAATTGTGAATATTTTCCAGGCTTTACTTGGGATGAAATTTTGACACATTAAATTATCGATGACAACTGATACCGATAACTTTACAGCTGTTTATGGCGGCTTTGCAGCCCTGTTTCGCAAACGGCGGTAAAAATTTACAATCCGTGTGTTGTCTTATTTGTTAATCACACGAAATGAGCGAAAAAGGCGAAAGGGAGGATCTAAAGCGCAGTGCGCCAGCGGAGGAGGATGAACCCCATGCGGCAGCACCGGCAGACGCCGACGGAGAGGGCGAAGACGACGCCTGGATAGGACCAATGCCTTCAGAACAAAGCGCCCCGGTGCCGACCAAGAAGAAAAAGGGTAATATTGTGAAAATAACCCCTATTTATGATTTATAATAAACCCCTAAACAAAAATAGTACTGCCGTATGAGCACATCTTTCTGGAGAACCTGCCCAACGCCGAGAGCTACGAAAGGAGCTATATGCATCGCGATGTCATCACGCATTTGGTGTGCACGCGAACGGAATTCGTAGTGACCGCCAGTCTGGATGGACATATCAAGTTCTGGAAGAAGGGGGAGCTAGGCATCGAGTTTGTCAAACACTTTCGCAGCCATCTAGGTGAGTTTTGGCCTCAATTTTTCGGACTAATTACTAATAATGCCATCTTTAGTGCCCATCAAATCGCTGACCACCAATGACAGTGGCACCCTGCTCTGCTCGGCGTCCACAGATCAAACAGCCAAGGTCTTTGATGTTGTCAACTTCGACATGATCAACATTATTCGGCTGGGCTACACACCTCAGTGCAGCGAGTGGATAAGTGGGCCAGGAGATGCTGTCCAAGCATTGGCCATGTAAGTAGGGCGAAGGGGCTCTCAGCCTTAATTCTAATAGAGGCATCATCCCTGTTTAGATCGGATTCGGAGACCAGCTGCATACACATCTACGATGGACAAGGTGGTGGCGAAGTGCTGCACACACTGGAGAAACTGCACTCGGCTCCGGTGCTAGCCATGTGCCTGAATGTGGCCATGGATACAGTCATCTCAGTGGATCGCAACGGAATCTTGGAGTACTGGCAGAACTCCAAGTACGACTACAAATTTCCCCAGCGCCTAGTAAACTTTGACTCCAAACTGGACACAAGTAAGGTTCCCTTTCAGGATTGCCTACCCTCTACTTAAATTTGAATACAATATTATAGGTCTTTTCGAGTTCGCCAAGCAAAAGACACAAGTCACGGGTCTGGCGGCCTCTCCAGATGGAAAGCGCTTTGCCGCCATTTCCACAGATCGCAAGGTACGAATCTTTCAGTTTAATACGGGCAAGATGATCCGGGTATTTGACGAGGCGCTTTCTACATACACGCAAATGCAACAGACGCAGCACGCCCTTCCCAACATGGAGTTTGGCAGAAGGTATGAAATCATTTAGTTTATAAAGGAATATTATATTCATGAGATTCATTTTGAAGGATGGCTGCTGAAAGGGATCTGGAGAAGACGGCTCAGAACACAACGCTTAATATACTGTTTGATAGCACTGGCCACTTTCTACTCTATCCCACTATGCTGGGCATTAAGGTGATCAATGTGGTTACGAATCGCTGTGTCACCATACTGGGGAAAACGGACAACATAAGACCACTGCAGGTGGCACTTTTCCAGGGAAGAATCAAAAGACAAAAGGCTGCCATAACGCTCGAACAGGAGGCCAGTGAGAATCCGGCCCTACAGAATATTTTAAACGATCCCACAGCCTTTTGCACAGCTTACAAGTATGTTTCTGTAATTATTCTAGTTAAATATGTTTAAACATGAAATTATTTTGTACACTAGAAAAAATCGCTTCTACTTGTTCAGTCGAAGATTACCTTCGGATCTGCAGGATGTTGATCGTGATATATTCAACGAGAAGCCCTCCAAGGAGGACATTATAGCGGTCCCAGAAGCTACAGGTATTTTGGATATTAACTAATTTTGGTTTTAATTAATTACTAATTTACTAACCACTTTTTTCTGCCACGCTAACACTTTCAAGACGAAGGTTCAGTGTTGTGTTTCTTAAGATTGAACATATATTTAATGTTAAATGGTTTATTCTTTTAGTTGTTCAACGTATTTATGAAAATGTGGTCTTACACACCACCAAAGGCGATGTTCATATGAAGCTGTTCTTCAAGGAAGTGCCAAAAACAGTGGAAAACTTTTGTGTTCATGCGAAGAATGGGTAAAATCTCAGATTTATAACGTTGGTTACCCATTTTAATCATGAAATTCTTTAGCTACTATAATGGCCACATATTTCATCGAGTGATCAAGGGCTTCATGGTGCAAACGGGCGATCCTACGGGCACGGGCACAGGCGGAAAATCCATTTGGGGACACGATTTCAAGGACGAATTCGTACCAAGTTTGAAACATGATCGTCCCTACACGGTTAGCATGGCAAATGCAGGTCCCAACACAAACGGGAGTCAGTTCTTTATAACAGTTCTGCCCACGGTAAGTCGTATCAATGTTTTAATGTTAATAATATTAGAATATAATCCTTTTTCAGCCTTGGCTTGACAATAAGCACACGGTTTTTGGACGCGTGTTTCGTGGCATGGAAGTGGTACTCAACATATGCAATTCAAAGGCTAATCCCAAGACGGACAAGCCCTACGATGACATTAAAATAATATCCATACATCTAAGTAATTAAGCGAAAATTGTAAATAAATTAGCTTTCTTTTTTATTCAATGATTTTAAAACTAAAAATACCGTTATTGGTTTTAGTATTTTTTACCATTTTGGTATTTTATACATAACCGCCACTGGTCCCAATAATCAGCTGTGTTTGCATTTTTATTCTTCGTCGGTGTTTCTTTTGTTCATATATTCTTTTAAAATCAAGAAAAGTAGGACAAATAGCTTAATAGTAATACAATTCTTTACATTAGAAGTTTTTGAATTATGAGTGAAGCTCAATATAAGTATTTGCAAGTGATTGTTAGCTCAATTAGATAAGGGTTTCGTTTTGCGAATTATGCGGGCGTCTGCTATATGAGAAGTTTTGTTTATGCATAAAAAAATAAAACAAAGAAACCGAAGCTGACGAGTCACTTCTGCGTATCGGTAATCTATAAAACTATCTGTAGGAATATAGGTTTTGCCCCAGATTTCCAACGCCATTTACTTGCGATTGTGGTCAAACGAGGTATGTGTACTTGTATTAGCTTTAATTGGTCCCACAATCATTTCGCATATGGAACAGCTTCTTATCTGCAAAATTGTGGGCCTTTAAATTAGTCATTTACAAAAACTCTAGATAAATCCTTGATTTCAGTATGGAAAACATGAGCTAAAATCGGAAACAGCCACTTGCCATCATGTCTCAAAGCGATCCAAACGATGTACGCAGTGCTGCACAGCTCATTTTGACCAATGCGCGGCAGGGAAATAATGCCTACCACATGCAGTACGATATGTGTGAGTATTGTTATATATAATATGTTTAACTCCTCCTGTAACTATATATATCAAACTATATTTCAGCGCGATCACATTCCATCAACCTGATTACGGAGGACTTCTTGGCCGGCTACATGCAGGATGGTCGCATGTCTGTGGTGCGGCGTTTCTTCTGCCTGTTCGTTACATTCGATCTGGTCTTTGTTTCCCTGCTCTGGCTCATTTGCATAGTGGTATGTATGGAGATTTATTGCAATGAGATTCGGCAGAGCGTCATCAATAGAACCCTTTATATTTCAGATTGACGGTGACAATATATTCAATGCCTTTCGCAAGCAGATCTTGGAGTATACCATTTATAAGTCTCTCTTTGATGTGGTGGCCATCGCCATTTGCCGATTTGTGGTGCTCATCTTCTTTTATGCTATATTGTATATCAATCATTGGTCCATCATAGCGGTGGGTTTCTGATCACTAATTAACTAATACTTATAAAATCTTATCGCACTTACCTCCTATTTTACAGCTCTCTACAAGTGGGTCTTGCTTGTTCCTTATCTCTAAGGTGTTTGTGTTCGATGTAAGTTTAACTATACTCACTACCCGATCATATTCTAAATTGATAGCTCCTCATTCTCATCTCCCATTTAGTGGCTGCAAACAAAGCAACAAGTATTCGAAGTTATACTCATAATTACTTCGTTTATTCTGGCTTGGGGGGAAGCCTGGTTTCTTGATTGTCGGGTTATACCACAAGAGCGACATGCCCGACACTATTTCCGATGTAAGATTAAGTATACATCAAGCTATTATTTATAATTAAATCTATTATTTATTTTAGCCATGACATCGACAAATGATCGCACTCCCTTGGTGCAGCCAACCATTTTGACTCAGAACGAACGAGTGCCGCAAAGTGTAACTGATTTCTATTCACCAATGGACACGACCCGACACTCCGACGAGGAGGAAGAGGAGGTAAGCTATTCATTAATGCGCATTTTTAAATTTCTACGGAATAAAAAAGTGAGTATGGGAACTCTATATAAGAAGTTGTGTAGACGTTGGAAGCAGCAGCAGCCAAATGAGATCGGTAGTTCATTTTCAATTTGGCCCACCTAACTTATCTATCTTATTTGTTTGGATTTCAGGATGAAGAATACAACCAAATGGGACTGGATTGCCTGCGAAAGGCATACGCCATCATAGAGTCCAGCGATTGGAAGGTGGAGAAGGTGACACCCAAGGGCGACACCATTCACAGCATCCAGCGGGAGAAAATTGGAAAGATTTACAAGTTGACAGCTCGGATCAAGTACCCAGCAAAGGCTCTGATGGAGGATCTATTCTACCGCATTGAAGACTGTCCCAAGTGGAATCCTGCTCTGCTGGAGTCAAGGATTGTGCGAGTAAGTTTTAATACTAATTACAAATGAAGGATCCGTGATAATATTAAGTATATTCTTTAGAAAATCAACTCCTACACTGATATAACCTATCAGGTGTCCATTGGCGGTGGTGGTGGCATGGTTAAGAGCCGCGACTTTGTTAACTTACGTTCATGTCGCTTATTTTACAATGGCAAAGTCTGCGATGACGACGAAGCCGCCCAGCTAAGCAGCGACGATGATAGTCCTCTAAATCGCTCGTGTGAGGGCAGTGTGAGCACCATCTCCGATGGCGAATCGAACACACCGCTGCCCGGCAGCGTATCCAGTTGCAAGGCTAAGTTTCCCAGCTCCTCCACGGGTCCCGCCACTCCCTTCGATACCTTAGGCAACAGTTTGGGGGCCAAGAGCCTAGGTCCCATTCTAAACTTTGAAGAGGAGCCACCACCGCTGGATCAAGATGAGTTTGAGGATGCTAAAGATAGAGTTGATGAGGGAGAATCAAAACCTAGTGTCCCGAGCGTGGGTAAGACCAAGGATAAAGTATGGGTTAGCTCAGCGAGCAGTGTACAATATGCTGGAATGCCGCCCTCATCCAAGTACACAAGGTAATTGTTATAAATTAATATATCAGAGCCACTGCTTACCCTTTGTTTTCCATTGCAGAGGCGAGAACATTGTGACTGGGTTTGCCTTCCGCGAAATCGTTGGTAAACCGGACAGCTGCATTGTGGAATGGGTTCTATGCTTAGACCTGAAAGGCTACATACCCCGCTATGTTTTGGATTCGGTAAGTACATTTAGTTCTTTTTTATCCATATTTATTGTTATGGAACTCTTGGCAGGCCCTCACCTCCTCCATGACCGATTACATAACCAACCTGCGCAAGCATGTCAACGAACTGAGGCACCGGGGACGTGGCCGCGTCCCCAGGACCCACTAGTAGCCAGGAAGTGTATTTTAATTTTTAATATCTTGTAGTATCTCAGAAGTATCTTTTAGAATATTTGAATAATTTTGAAGCGAGAGCGAGGAGTTCAGTGCTGTTAGTTTATTGAGTATTGTATGATGTATATGTATGGCATAAGTATGTAACTATGTACGTATGTATATGCTGCACGGCTTACATTATAAATTTTATACATGAATTTTCTAACGTCCGGCCTTTCCACACATTCAGTCGCAGGTGCAGGCGCAGCACCTGCCGCCCACCTGCAGCTGGTGTACGAGTCGTAGGCTTGAGATCAGTTCTTGGAGGCGCTGTCGCAGGGCGTGGTCCTATTTGCTGTCGTTCTGTGGAAACCACATGGGACACGCCTCCATGGCCACCTCGCACACTGCGCTCATTTTGGCGCTATCGTAGTCTGACAGGGAGTGAAATAAGCACTAGGATAAAAGGGTTATCTAGTAGAGTATAGTTACCTAGACTGTTTCGCTTGCCAAAGATGCTGCCGTTAAAGGGAGGCTTCCTGTAGGCTGCTTCACTGGAGCCCAGCAGTATGGCTGAGACCAGGATTGTGACCAGGAGCAGAGTGAGAGTGAATCGCAGAGCCATCTTGCAGTCGTCGTCGCTTAGCGTACTTCTGGGCAGTGTGCAATTTCTCGTCCGAGTGATGGGAGCTAGCGGATGCTTCTGTGGCTATCCAAGGAAAATCCCTGACTTTTATACCCGAGCCTAGAGAGCAGAAGGACTCTTCCTAATTGGTTTACCCGCCGCTAATTGAAACGATATTGCTTTGGGGACTGCTGTGCATGAGAGACTATCAAATGTAATTAAGATATTTACATTGCATTAACTTATGCTACTACTATCCATGGACCGGGGACGGGCTCACGTCTTGGAATTCCAGTCGAGCACCTTGTTGAATTCCTTCTCGCCGAATCCGATGGCCGCCGACTGCTCCATGCAGTTGGTCTGTCGCTTCAGGTTGTCGATCATGTACAGCTGCTTTTTGTAGGCGTTGAGCAGGTCGTTCCGCTGTCGCTTCAGCGCCCGGATACGGTTGTCCCGCTGCTTCAACTCCTTGCGCTGGGCGTCCAATTGCTCGCGCTGCTCCTCGCGTAACTGCTTGAGCTCCAGGCGAGCAGTGTCCGCATCCTCCTGGGCACGGGACAGGCGGTTCTCCAGATTTACGTTCGTTTGCCTGGCCACTTTACTCTCCCGTTTCAGCTGCTCCAACTCTCGCTGCTGGCTGGTGAACTCTTGCTGTCGCTCCTTCTGCCGTCGACCAGAGTCCTCGCACTGCCGCTCCGTCCTTATTAGCTGCTCGGTCAGGTGCTTGTTGGCGTTCAGCGTCTGGTCGCGCTGATTCTCCGATTTGCGTTGCGCCTCTAGAGCTTTCTCGAGCTGCTCCTTTTGGCGGGACAGCTCACTGGCTTGCTGGGCATGGTCCTCCTCGAGAATGACCACCTTGGCCTTCAGGAATCTAAAGGTTGGATGGGTATTGTTCTTGTAATGATTACAGGTGAAGCTTCCTCACTTACTTGATAAAATTATCCTGAGTAAGTTGTTTCTTGGCCTGGCCATTCACCACGGTTGTGCTCTCCCGTTTCTGGGTGACCTCCACCTCGACGACATCGTTCTTGGTGGCTTCTTCGGAGGCGTTCCGCAACAGCATGTCCAGAGAAGGGCTCTCGCTGAAATTGGGATTCCGGTACTTCACAAACATGGCCGTCTTGCTGCTCACATCCCGTGTAAAGGTGCTGAACTTGGCCGCTCCGCGGTTGCCTGGGGGTGATACTGTGGTGGCGCCCATGGACTTGTTGTTCTTCCAATCGGGCGCTTTCGACTTGGTCAGCAGACTCGCATCAGGCGGCGGCGATGTGGCCACCGCTCGGGCCATGACAACAGCGGCGGCGGCGGCCGCATCCCTGCCCGGCGGACTTTTGGGTGTCGGCTTCGCCTGGGACGTAGCTGCGTTCTTCTTTCGGAGCAGGGTGCTCGGACCCTTCTGCTTCTGGAAGGTTGCATATCTTGTTGGTGCCGCTCCGCCAATGGCGGGCGAAGGTTTGGCTGGATACATGGCCTCGGCAGCGGAGTTGAGGGACAGCAGATTCAGCTCCTGGTTAATTTTGAACAGTTCCTTTTCGCGGCACAAAAGCTCGGCCATTTTAACGGGCAGACACTTCGATGGCGTTCAAATCTTTACTTCGCCGTATTCTGGGTTCTTGCTATAATAATTCAGATTTAATATAAAAGACCTGGAAAATCTAAATACATTGAATTTAATTCAATTTAAATTTGCTCTGACTCTCCGAAGGGTGATGTCGTCTGAGTTGAAAAACTAAGTTGATTTGATGGATTTACTTCAGAAGTAAATAACTTTCCCGGCCGCCAAACAGTGACAGTTACCCCTGGCTACCTGGTCCCCTGGTCTCTGGCCCCCCGCTCCGGGCATCGGCTTCTGGGAATCGTGGGTGACCCTCCATGTCCTGTTGCTGATGTCTTGGGGTGGTTTTTCGGTTTGTTCGATTGTCCCCTCCAGACGACTGTTGCTTGGGGGATTGAGGAATTAAATCAAACTGTAGCCAGTGTGGGTGTTAAACTTCACACAAAAGATACAAATTCGCGTGGGCTGACTATGCCAATGCTCTTCAGAATGATGATCTACGAATGATGTAACTGAACCATAAATAAATACTTGAAGCTTGAAACTTGCGGAAGAATGATTTAAAATAAGTTTAGCCTTGAATTGGTAGATGTTTAAGAGCCTATTAATTTGGTTCATAAAGAGTATGATTCTTTTTTATTTATTATATGCTACTGAAATTTTGAATAATTATTGTCGAATTGCAAGAAATTTCGGTTTAACAAATTTATGCTTTTCCGTTTTCAAAAACAATTTATATTATAAAGAATTCAATATGGAAATGTTATGTACGGTAATTGCATGGAATTCTTTCACGTTCCAAAAGAATATATCGCTCGATCTTAGAAACTCCTTCCAGAATATCAAAATGTCAGAATAAAGAGCACGCATAATAATCATAAATATTGGTATAACTAAAAGTACAAACACGCGTCTTAAAGGGGAAATATCCGAGAATAGGACAATACTGCGAGACCTTCACCGGGTGTCACAGCTACCTGTGATTGTACCTGTGACCGTGAGGGTGCAATGGTGCCCTCTGGGTTCATGGAATGTAAATGCAAGTTCAAGATTTATGGGCGGCATAAGTAAAACAAAAGAGGATAGGCAATTGTCCCACGGCGAGAGCTCGTTGAGTCAATCCAATCAGTTGAGAGGCTGAGCAGCAACAGTGGCTATATATGCCGTCATCAAGGTGTTCTGGTGACAGCCCACACATTGGCCATAATTGCAGCAAAGTCTGTTGCCAAGTTTGAGCAGAACGTGGCCACCGGTTTCAGCACAGAACAGCTGTGGCTAAAAGCATGACTATGGGTCTGGAGAGAGCCAATAGACACTTGGAATAAAGTTTGCTAAAGGTACTAAAGTTAAGAAAGGTTTTTAGTTCTTATTGAGAAAAATGAAATATTTTTCATAAGGGAAACAATTTTATTAAAATTGTTGTATAGTTTTTCTTAAGTGTAGCTCTTGGACCTTGCTATATGGGATGACCACCTCTAATTATCCCACACCGCACTCATTAGAAAGACAATCCCGAGTCGTTGGTGTGGCAAAGGAAGCCAGCGGAGCGTGGCATCCCCGTCGGGTGCAGTGCTGAAAAACTGCCAGCGACACCAGGTAATACTTACTAGAGATACTATTAACTAAAGAGCTCGCTTTAAGAGCGCACTTGGACTTGCCAAATACTCCGAAAACCGCCTAGCTACATGCCACTCCGAATCTTGGCAAGACCGGTTGTGGCGACGCCGTCTTGACGGTTTACAATCGGACTGCGAGAGCGTCTCGGCCTCAAGTGAAGTCAGTCTTGGCCAGGTTGGTGTGCGAGACACATCCACAACGCTCAACGAACACACGGATCGCACGACAGATCCGATCCGAACCGCTCCATTTCGATCCCATTCGATTCGATTCGATTCGATCCTCGTGAGTGTATGATTTTCGAGTGAAAAGTGGAGTGTTCTGATAGTGCGTTTACTCGGTTCTAATTGGATCGTGCCAGTGGATTCGAAACGCAATCCAAAAGATTTTTGATTAAGCTTTTCGAGATTCAAAAAGAGTTGCGGTTGTTGCTGTTTTTGTGTGATTTAAAGTATAGCTCCGTGTTTTTTTCCCCCGATTGTTCCTGCCCTTGGGAAGCTACGATCGAGCATTAAGCTCGACGGGTGGTTGAACCGCACCGAGTAAATACGTGCTGAATGATTTGTGAATCTTTTGAATATTTCGCCTGTATTTTTTTGGGAGGGAAGTGTAAAAGTGTCGGGAAGTTTGTTGCTTCAAGTCTTTTGTTTGTCTCTCAGAAAAAACAGCAGCAACCGCGGATTATTCGCCACAATTCGCTAGAGAGGGCCTAGACTCTCTTCCGTCTCTCCGGTTGCTCTTGGCCAAATCTCTTAAACGTGTAATTCCCGCAGCGTTAACATGTAAAACGAGTGTTGGCCACAAAAAAAAAAAAACGAACAAAATTATAGAGGAAGCCCGTTCAAAAAATACAAGCAAAATATATACACACACAAAAAATGTATTCAAGCTGAAGCTTGTGTGAAACAAAATTTTCAAAAAATCATCATTATTTTTGGCAACCAGTTTAAACCGTAGCAAAATCGCAAAAGCAAACCAAACAAATTAATAAAACAACGGGCCACATAACTAATTGGATTACGCAAAAAGGGCGAAGTTGGATAGAGGTGAGTGATGTTTTTGGTTAAAAAACCAGAAAACCCCAAAGAGAAATACAGTTAAAATCGGGCGAATCGAAGTTTGTGCCGTTTTGCAAAAACAAAACCGAAACAGCCTTAAAAGATGACTTCATAAATCGCCAGACGACGTGGATGTGGCTCAGGCTGTGCCAAAAATCCATCAGCCAAACCGGTTAGCCTCTGTTTTGCCTCGATTGAAATTCGCGGAATGATTGTGATGGGGAATATCATATTTTTTCTCGAGCCGGGAGACGCGCAGGAGCTGTGCAATTGCTTTTCTGTGCAAATGAAATGGGCCTTATCTGCGTTTTTCGCACAAAAAAATACAAAAACTGTCCCCATCTGCGGCGTATCTGAACTTGTTTTCCAAGGCTGACTTTGGCCGAAATTGGCTGCCAAGTTCGCAGCCAGTTGCATCATCTGGGGGACACATAGATGGTCGGGATGGGCAGCTGCTTGAGCAGCCACATCACGGACATCCGTCTTGCATCCGCTTTTCCATGTTGCCAGTTCCCAGTTTCCATTCCTGGATGTGCCGCGCATGTGCAATGTGTCATCGAGTTGAGTTTTCCAAGACCCAAAGTCCATTCACATTTTCCACGCATTGTGTGCGGTCATTATAAGCCAGAATCTGTTGCTAATTGGCTGACCCAACAAACTCCCCGGAGTAAGTAAGCTTGGGTTCTCCTCCTGGACGGAGTTTTAGCACTTCCACGGAACATCAAGCGATCCGTACAGGGCCATAATTATGCTCGTCGGGGTCGTGTGAGTCTTGGCGTCTAAAGAAGCAATTAGAAAATTTGATTGATGGCGGCGGGAACGGCTTCGGCTTGGCCCGACACTTGCATCATCTGGGGATGGCATGGGGATGGGAATCCAACCGAACTGAACCTTTCCTTTTTTTTGGGTGATGCATGGCCTATTAATTGGTTAATTTGTGGTTTGTTAGCTATCAAAATATTGTTGTCCGATGGCCCAATGTAACATAATGGTCTTCATCTGCTGTTGAATGCAACGCCTTGTGTTGTGAATAATGGATAATCGCTACGGATCTGGCCTATCGATGGAGTCTAAGTAGTTGCCCCCGCAACTTCTGTCGAAGATTTCCTCCTCTTGCCTCCTCTCAGCATTCTCCGAGAATACTTTGGCTTTGTTTGCCACAAGTATTTCGCTTTGGCGTTATGAGGAACGCCAACGCAAGCGTAAAATTTGTATAATTAAAAGGCGAATCCGAGCTGGCGGGCTGCCAGCTGAATACCAGTTTCTTAGCCATCATGTGTAGTTAACTTGTTTATATAACACGGCGAGGCAGAGCGAAGAAAAAGGCAAACAGCTCGAAATGTGACCTTGAGGCGGCTACAAAATGTATAAAAATAAAGACGGAAAATATGCATGTATGTAGTATAATTTTATTATTACTCTGCGGTTGGGTGATGTGAAGTGTGGAGCGAGGCAGAGAGTCAACTTCCTCCAACTTCTGTGGCTTTAAATGCAAATGCTGACGAATCTGGCGAAGCGGGTTCATGAACTAAACTCCGAACTGCGTGTGGGCATGCCAAAAGGTGTGCGTTTGTTGATCGATTTATAATCTCCTGAAATACCGAAGAACCGACAAAGAAAGCGCCAAAAAAAGAGAGTTCGTTCAACCAGGCTAAGACCTTTGGCAACGTTAGATTTTCCGCTGCGAAGATATTGATTTACAGTTCAGCCAAGAGTCCACAAACGGAAGACTTAGGCAACGAACTTGGCTCACTCGTTACTCATACGACACGTTGCCGCGCTAGCCACTAATTATGCAAAAAGCCCCAAAATGCGCCGCTAGAAAGGCGTGCCAGCCGTGAGTCATATGCTCTCCGGTCTGGACAATATGCCTGCTGCAATGGGTTTCTTGTTTGTTTTTGGCCAAAATGAAAAGTCGTCTGGCTAGTTGTACCGCTCCCCCACCGTTGACACCGCCACCTCTGGCGAATTAAATCAACATTGGCAAACTGAAGCGGACTTAAATGCAGGCTTTTACCTTAAGCCGAACCCCACGCAAAAAAAACTAACTATTGCCATTGCAGCCAAGTTTGTTCCATTCATTCGAAGTCACTTTCAAATCCGAAAAAACCTTAAATGGGGTGTGGCGGCAGGCCAAGACTTTTGAACTGCCTTGTGTTGGCCGGTCTTTGAGTGAATTAAATAGCCAGTATTGGTTCTCACATATTCTAAGCTGCATGGCGAGTTTTATAATAGAAATAATGGATCACAGATCTTTAAAGTTTGGTAAATATGTGTAATATATAGCCATTATATGTATACATTGTAGGGTATTTACATTTCAGTCAGAAGCGTGAAACACAGTAAAGAAGTCATTTCCGACCCTATAAATCATATATATTCTTGATCAGAATCAACTGCGGAATCGATCTAGCCATGTCCGGTCAAAAAATAAATTTTTAAAATTTTTCCGAAAATTGAAAATTTTATAAGGGGTTACATCATTAAAATTGTCAAAAATCGGCAAAAAATTGATTT